CAAACTCCATTCTCTTTTATTAAAAAGTAGCCTTCTAGGATTTCTCCTAGAATCTTCTTTATACCAAACCTCATTTTTATTTTTTACTTACTTTTCTTATCCTAACCTTTTCTTTACAACACCGATTGCCTGCCAATACACCGCAGGAATGATAGATATTGAAGACGAGGAAGAACCCAGCAATCCGGAGGCTCGCCTTAAAGAGAGAGATAGAATCTTCGTTTTAGACTACGAGACATACTTCGCTACAGGAGCGGCGCGTATACGCACCACGGCCACAGACCTAGCAATAAAAGAAAGTCTGAAACACAAGGCTAAAACATTTGAGAATACAGTCCCAAGTCATTACCACGACTACTCAGATGTGTTCAGCAAAGAAGATTTTGATTCCCTGCCACAAAGGAGACCATGGGACCACACTATTGAACTAACGCCAGGTTCGCAACCAATCAGCTGCAAAGTTTATCCCATATCGGTTAGCAAACAGAAGGAACTTGACAAATTCATAGAAGAGAACCTAAGAACTGGACGAATTTGGCCTTCTAAATCCCCTTGGGCTTCACCTTTCTTCTTCGTCAAAAAGAAGGATGGACGTCTCTGGCCTGTACAAGATTATCAAAAGCTAAATGAGCTGACAATCAAGAACCGGTATCCACTTCCCCTGATACAGGAACTAGTCGATAAGCTAAAACAAGCACGGTACTTCACCAAGTTGGACGTCTGGTGGGGGTATAATAACATCCGCATCAAAGAAGGCGATGAAGAAAAAGCCGCCTTTCTTACGAATTGAGAACTATTCAAACCGCTAGTTATGTTCTTTGGTCTCACGAACTTCCCTGCTACGTTCCAAACCATGATGAACGACATATTCCGAGATCTCATTAGTCAAGGACACGTAGTAGTCTACCTGGACGATATCATGATCTTCACCCAAGATCTGAAAGAACACCGTCGAATCATGCGACAAGTTTTACAGATCCTGAGGGAACACAAACTCTACCTAAAACCAGAGAAGTGTGAGTTCGAGAAGACAGAAGTCGAATACCTGGGGATGATAGTAGGAAAGGGCGTTGTTCGCATGGACCCAGTCAAAATAGAAGGAGTCGTCAATTGGCCTCGGCCCGAGTGCAAACGAGACATTCAAGCATTTCTCGGCTTCACCAACTTCTACCAAAGATTTATCCGAGATTACGGCAAAATAGCAAAGCCGCTTAGTCTATTGACAGGCAACGATACTTTTGAATGGACCGTCGAACAAGAAGTGGCATTTACGAGCCTAAAAGACGCACTCTGTTCTGCACCAGTACTGGCTATACCCAATGATGATGATCTCTACCGCATAGAATGTGACGCTTCGGACTTTGCCGTAAAAGCAGAATTAGCCCAGAAGCAAGATGGAAAATGGAAGCCTGTCGCTTACCTATCCAAAGCCATGACAGCAGCTGAAAGGAACTACGAGATTTACAATAAGGAACTTCTCGCAATCATGACTAGTCTTAACAAGTGGCGCCAGTACCTCATGGGCACCCAGCATCCATTTGAAATATGGACGGATCACAAGAACCTAGAATACTTCCGGAAGCCACAGAAGCTTAATCGCCGACAAGCCCGATGGATAACCGAACTTGCTGAATATCACTACTCGCTACATCATAAGCCCGGAAAGTCTAATGGCAAGGCAGACGGATTATCCTGTCAAAAGCGACACAATGCAGGGAAAGAGGACAATTCAGATATTGTACTATTAAAACCAGAACATTTCCGTGCCCTGATTTGTAGCACAGTATTTAGTTTAGAAGGAATCGACCAGAACTGGATTGCAGAAATTAAAAAATACAAAAAGAACCAAGATTTGTTAGTCACTATAGCATTACAGAACAAGGACAAGGACTGGAACGAAGATAGTACTGGACTCGTGACATGGAAGAATTGTATCTACATACTGGTAAATAGGAAACTCCGGGAACAGATCATTGTTCACCACCATAATACCCCGTTGGCCGGACATCCTAGCCAATACAAAACACACGAAATGGTCACGCGTAATTACTGGTGGCCCAGAATTTGAGAAGACATCCGGAAGTACGTGGCTGGGTGCGAAAAGTGTCAAAAGACCAAGGTTCACACAACACGACCCATGGGATTGCTCTTCCCCAACAAAATTCCTACACGACCATGGGAAGTAATTTCCATAGACAAAATAGGAGTATTACCGGAATCCTTTGAATACAACACCATTCTCGTTGTTGTCTGCATGTACTCGAAACAGATAATTGCGATCTCAAGTAACATCGAACTCAATGCAGAAGGATGGGGGAAAGCGCTTTGCAATCATGTGGTTGCACATCATGGATTACCCCGAAAGATTATCGGCAACAGAGGCACCGAGTTTAAGAATAAATTCATTTCTGAACTATACCGATCACTTGGAATCGAAGCCAATCCCTCAACCGCCTATCACCCTCAGACAGATGGGCAAGCAGAACGCATCAATCGAGAGATAGAACAATATCTCCGATTATTCATCAATTACCAACAAGCGGATTGAGCCGAATGGCTGCCACTCGCAGCATTCTCATACAATAACAAAGTCCATTCGTCGACCGGATATACCCCTTTCTTTGTCAACAAAGGGTATCACCCTAATGAAGAAACCCAACCGGTGCGAGAAGGACTAAGTGAGAACGTACAACAATTCGTCGATCGAATGAGTCGAGTACGTGAGGATACCAGTGCAGCCATCGGACTAGCGCAAGAATCCATGAAGCGTTTCTATGATAGGAAAAGGAAGAACGAACCAGAGTACAAGGTCGGGGATAAAGTTTGGCTGGAAGGAGTCAATATTCGAACCGATAGACCAATGAAGAAGCTCGATGATAAACGATACGGGCCGTTCAAAGTCAAACGAAAAGTCGGCATTTTGGCCTATGAGTTAGAGCTTCTCTGTCAATGGAAACAGCACCCCGTCTTCAATGAAAGTCTTCTAAGTCCATTCAGAGAACCCACATATCCCTCTCAACGACACGAACCGGCAGTCCCTGACCTCGTAAATGGCGAGGAAGAATGGGAAGTCAAAGAAATTCTTGACTCACGTCGTGATCAAAACGGAAATCTGGAATATCAAGTTCTCTGGAAGAACAGCCCCCACGGCGATCACCATTCTTGGGAATCATGGGCGAACCTGACCAATTGTCAGGAACTCCTTCAGGAATTCCATGCGAGACGTCCCGACAAACCCGCGCCAATGACGATTAGAATTCCCCCCTTGTTGACACAATCCGTACACATGCTCAAGAGAGATACCACTCTTCTGGTACAACGGATGGGTGGAATTCTCCCGAAACAAGGGTCGGAAGAAGCTGCTGGACTCGATCTCTACTCGGCTGAAAGTGCTAAGATACCGGCACGAGACCGTAAAATTATCAGTACCGGCATAGCAATGCGTGCCCCTCATGGAACCTATGCACGAATTGCGCCACGAAGCGGGTTAGCAGTCAAAGGGATTGATATTGGTGCCGGGGTCGTAGACCGAGACTACACAGGAGAAGTACGCATGGTAATGATCAATACTACCAATCAACCATTTCAAGTACACACTGGCGATTGGATCACTCAAGTCATTCTGGAACGTATTGCGTCATGCGATATCGAGGAGGTTTCAAATCTATCCAAAACTCAGCGAGGAGGAGGAGGTTTTGGTTCTACTGGTAAATAATCGTGAGGACACGATTCTAGACGGGGGGGGGAGGTAATGTCATGAATATTACATATTCCGGATGGTTCTCCCAGATTCCACAGTATTCTTTTACTTTCTATACACCTCCGTATTTTTGTAGGATAATCTAGACATTGAGTCTGACATGTATATAAGGAGCTCATACTGCTCAATAACAAGCCAGACTCGAGCTGGTCTTTCCTCACCTATTCTCCTCTTGTCTGTCTCCTCAGCTTTGTCGTAGCCCAGTCCAGTTGGATTGTAGGTTGCTGACAAAGGGCAAAGGGCAAAGCACAGAGGCCTTAATGCTCAGAGATGGCAAGAGTGGTACGCAGGACAATGATAATGCTTAGGCTCCTTCATACCAAATTGGTGTATGGTTCACCGACACACAAGAAGTGGTAGAAGTGGCAGATACCCAGAAGGTAGACATTTTTTCGTTCTATGGGAAGTATGATTTTGACAGTGCGGATCCCAGGCTCCTCGTGCACCTTGGAGCGGCAGTTTGAGAGTGGACTAAGATGCTATTCGTGCAGCTGTCAAGGGATTTGGTGAGCCTGCATGTCCAAAACCTAATACACGTGCGGCTTCCTGTAGCGCCAAACTGCAAATGCAATCACGTTTGAAATACCCGACAGTCCATGAACGTCGAGTCTCTGAAGGAGCCTATGGACATGTTTGTTTTACAACTTTGTTTGCGGGTGGAATGTTGCGTGATGGTCACTGAACGAGCACACCCCTTTTTTTCTCTAGCTCATGCATTCGCACGCTGTAGACCCTTTCCAGGAGTCCATGTCCAGCATCTTGTGCTGATTGGACGTGCAGGCGATGTGGCGTTCATCAGCGCCTCACCGTTCGTTGGTGGGTGTGTCCTCCTGGATTGGCAGAAGCTTTTTTTTTTTTACGTGTCATGTTAGACTTTTGCCGACACATGTCGCTGAGACCCAGATCGCAATCTTCGATCATTTCCGGATATCCTATCTACAGGCACTTGTGTTCTTGTGGAAGAGGGTGCGATGCCCGGGGCATCATCCCTTGGAGGATAGACGACTACTCTTCGCTTAATCGCAAGCCGCTTCTCCTAACGCGTGCTCGCATAGCTTTACTGCGGTCAGCCTGCGGTTTGATAGTGTTGGCTCACTCTTGTTCTGTGCTTTACTAGGATTTCCAATTGCCATGAAACCACAGTTCTCCGCACAACACCGTAATCTATGGACTAAATTATTCTCAAAAAGACTGTATTCATAAAGGTTTCATCGCAGATGCCGATAGCTACGCACCCAAGATGACAACCTGTGACTTCGTACCCCTTGCTGGAAACCGTGAAACGTGAGTCCCCTGGCATGCTATCTTGTTGAGCTTTTCCTCAGTCTGCTTCAGACAATTTGTTAACAATTTTAACGTCCTTCTGAGCGGTATACACCTTTTCTTGCTGTGCCTTTTGCATGTCTGACTGGGGCTATTAGCGCTTGCGCTATACGAACACTCGATCACGTTTGGCGAGGAAGTTAGGGTCATCTGGCAAAGGAAACAGACCCTGACTACTGTGCTGTTTCTCTGCAACCGCTACAATGTCCTGTTCAGTGCGACTATATTGCTATCGATGTGCATGCGCGTGACTGGGAACTCTCTGGTACGTCTCTCCACCATCGAAGATGAACAAAAACAGTCGCACTGAAAGTAATGGGCTGTAATAGACGTGAGTGGCATCATCTCATAATATTCAAGCTACGTCATATCAGCATTAGGTTCTATGTTTTAAAGAACCTTCTCGAGGTCTCCACAGTCATTGCATACTGCTTGACAGCAGGTGTTTTTGAGATCCCAGTTGATTGCTAACATTTCTTGAGACTCTGCCATAGCATTCACCGCGCTCCGAGTATATGCGCTTTGGGACAGGAGTATGAAACTATTCTATCTCATATTGGTGCTTTCTCTTGCGCCCACGATAGCTTCCTTGGTACGTTCTATAATGCCCAATGACTTATCTCCGTGCACACTTAGCAACGTTGTGACATTGTAGATATGTTTTGTGGTCGCTCGTTCAGAGCCAAGAGTAGCGCTCCAGTTGGATGGATCGTTTAAGTGCACGCTAGGGCTTGCGATGGTCCCCGAACTTCACCTGCAGTAAGTCTAGTCCTCCCTTAATGACTCATGTTTCAAGGCTCAAGCTGATAGACTCATAGGCGCAAGTTTTTCTTCCGCTACATTCTTCATAATTTCTTTCAATGACGCTTTGGCTTGCTGCAGTTGTCTGGGCTGGGCAGTTTCCGAGTCTAGTGGCCGATGCTTTGGTATTGGTCCTTACATGGAAGAAGACCTTTGGCCAGTTCCAAAATGCAAGAAAGTTACATATAAAGACATTGAGCTCTCTACTCCTGCGAGATGGGACACTGTACTTTTTGTGCGTGACTATTTCTTTTATTCGGTCTTAGCTAAGCTGAGAGCTCCTATAGCGTGCTTGCGGTCTTGAACATCGGTCAGCTGATCGTCGCGCGGGCACTGTGCCTCTCGGATCTCATATACATGTACGTAACTTGCAGCATATTCTACTCTATGTACTATTCCTAACATTAAGCTAGCCTGTCGTCCCTGCTTGTATCTCGTTTCCTCTTGAATCTGCGTCAGATGGACGAGCACCCGGCGACAGTGCGGACTGCAGGACAACTGTCGAGCGTACGATTCCTCGATAGTGTAGATCGTAGAGGGAACATTGGAGAGCCTCTGATGCTCTTCGACGGCGACGATATCCGAGAATAATATCGCACCAATCTTCGTGCAGCGTTCAGCCAAGGTGACGGGTAGTGCGGTTATGTGGCACGAGAGCCGGATGATGTTGCAGCTTTTCAGAAAGTCCGAGGTCGCGTGGTTATCTTGTACAATGACGATATGTGATCTGAAGGTACTGGGTCAGCTGTAGTCAGCGGTATAAATGCCAGCATCTTACTCCGATCAAACGATGTAAGCGTTCAGCACCTTCCGCCTTAGGTAGATGCACCTTGTTACGTAATGGTCGTCCTCCTATTTCCCAACGATAACATCTACACGACCCAGACATGCACATCTGCTGCGTGGTGTGCTTGGAAGCTTCCGAAGAGTGCGTCCAAGTGCGTAGTGTAGTCTCTCTGACTGGAACTGTTCTGGTGGGCGCTGACAGAGCTGTGGGAACAACTATCTTTCAGGAGTTTGTGTGCGGAGTCAGCCTGTCGACTAGCTTCGAAATTTCGAGGCAAAAACAGTGGGTATTTACACTTCACGCCGCACCATACGCACTTCCCACCATTGGCACACCTAAATCTCGCTGCCCGTGGCGTGGAACCATCGCTTTTATGAAGTACACAATGCATCAGACCACTCATGAACCGATCATAGTAATCCATCTAGTAACGTTTCCATCATTCCATCCGCTCTGAAGCTTTGATCGGCTCCTTTTTATGTCTGCTATCTATGCGAGCTGTTGAAGAACTTCTTTTCAGCTCACTTTCCGCCCAAGTATCCTCCCTCCTACCGCCTTTATAAAGTCGCTATCTTTACGAACGGCACACACAGCATGACGGCCTGCAACTTTGTTCGTGTTGCTAAAGTCCGTGACATGTGAGCCCCGTATGCTATGTCTCTTGAAATTCTCCTTACCTCTATCTAGATTATTCTCCAACTACATCGATTTTGCCGTATGCGGTATGTTTGATCGTATCTCCATGCACTTGGCATGTCTGGCTTATGCCGCCCTCAGCTCTCGTGCTCTACGAGCATTTGATCACCTTCAACACGGAAATAAAGGTTGTCTGGCGAAGAGAACGTACTCAGCAACCGCTACAACCTTCTAATCAGCGTGTTAATTACATTGCTGGTGCATATGCGTCTGAGTGTCGCGGTGCGTATGCGTCTTAACTTTACTAAGAATCGGTGCACCTGACAACAAATAACTGCAACAGGTGTAGGTTGTATTTTGCTTATCGAATACAACACGTCACGTTGAGCTCATCTTAGGCTCACCATTCTGCAAGGCTTGCTCGATGTGTCAATAATCCTGTCGTATTGCATGACAGCCGGTATGATTGAGACCCACGCTGGCTGCGAGCGGTCTTGCTCAAAGTTGATACTGCAGCTTTTGTTGCATTCCGTGTATATGCGCTTTGGGACAAGAACAGCAAGCTGTTCCTTCCGATCTTTGCACTTGCTATCATGCCTGCGATAACCTCTGTGGTATGTTGCTTCCGCATTCATTACGCCTGTAACCCTGTGTTAACTCTCCTAGATATGCTCCATCATCTCCCGTACAAACCCGCACCCAGCCACGGCGCGGGATGGGCCATTGCAGTGCCAACTTGAGCTGTCTATGACGCCCGAGGTTCATATGCAGTAAGTCATGTCTTCTCTGGAATACTCTGGCTGTGATACAGAATTGGCAGACGTAGGTACCCCAGCTGCCGCCGAAACACTTTTTGCTGACCAAGAACACGCGACAGTTAGCTGGGCAGCGAGAATACCGACTATCGTCAGCGACTCGGTGGTCCTGGCCCTTACTTGGATGAAGATTTTTTACCAGTTCCGAGCCGCGAGGATGCTACACATCAGGTCAATAAGCACCCCATTTCTCAGAGATGGGGCGCTCTACTTCACGTGCGTAGATCATGCCAATCCGAATATCGGCTGTAGCCTCGTAAACTGAGTGGCGAGTAGTGTGCTTGTCATCCTGAACGTCAGCTAGATTGTCGTCGCGAGATCCCTGTGTCTCTCGCAGTTCATATATGCGTACGTCGCCCGCTACACACATTGTGCCCTTACCCTAACGCCAGCCTAGCTTGACGTCGATTCTGTTATCGCGCTTCTTCTTGAACCTACGCTACTGGTTGGACGACAGCCATCCGACAACGGGGAAGATGTTGGACGACATGTCGAGCTTGCGCTTTCAGGAAGCCACCAACCTCGAGAGCGAACTCGGGAGCCCTTTGATGCGCGCCGACGGGGACTGCGATGGAACAAACGACGCTAACACTCGCGTAGCCTGTGTTCAGGATGACGGATGGCTCGATGATGGGCAACGACCAGAAGGCGTCTGTAATATCTGGGAGGTACGAACCTCGCGCTAGATTCAACCCTGAACGCAGCTCTAATGTGAGAGATCCTAGGTTCCTCGAGGTGAGGCTTCCGGTGTTGTGTAATCATTGTGGAGTACGACATGCCAATTGCACGCTTCCATCGCGTGAATCATCCGCATGGGATCTCGGCACTTTTGACATGTCCTCCGACTTTGATCGGAGACACTGCTGCCAGCACGAGCCTGACATCACGAATGTAAGCATGTGGAAGGCATTCGGCACAAAAACTGTCTTCGGGTGCCGCCATGAACATGTTCGTCCAGATAACGCCGATGATAGTAGGGCCAATCGGGTCACGGGTGCACGACGTGATACGCAAAAATTTGAATCTACGTGGAAGACCGGACGATATCAAGGCACAGACAGGCAGCACGGTGGAGAATCTACGACACTCAGCACACCGAAGAGCTCTGTAGGAAATGAAACGATGCGTCAGCAGGAAACAAGGTCAAAATGAAGCAGACATGCCGCGTTCCTCGAGTCACGTTGCGCCACGAATAGGTCCTGTGTAACATAATAAATGACGTAAGGTTTTCAATAAGTATATGCGCAAATTGCTGTTTATTGCGCTTGCTGCAGGCGAAATTCGTCACCAGACTTTGATCCCGGAAGAGGTGGCACCATCACTCCTGCATATAGGTATTTAACGTAAAGGGAGGAGAGCTGTCCAGACCTCCCGGAACTCGAGCTGACTCGGCATCCCTGTAACCCAGATGGAAATGATTCCGGCAATACGCTATGTGACTATCGGGAAATCTCCGAGCCCATGCCGTCCAGCTGGCTCCACTCGTTATCAGCCCTAGATGGACGTCGTGTCCGGTGCGCCACGCCGACCAGACAAGCCGTCGGTAAGGCAAATAGTGGAGCTTTCACCTTATTCGTGGACAATCTGCCAAGACCGCTATGCTCATGCCTTTGTTGAGGGATATACTTTGGTTAACATTACTATGCCACAGCTTGCGATAGGTTACCGATATCCCGTTGCCGAGAGATAACAGCGTTACAATACAAGGCATGTTGTTTTTGGAGCCATTCTATTACTAGAGTATCCAGCCCACTTTCGGCCGACCAGAGGCCGTTCTCTTGACATTATACTCTCCAAGCTGTACTTCTCCCAATATGATTTAAGCTTGGCATCGATTCACTCTTACGCCCGCGGACGTCCAAGAATTCCAGCCATGGTAAAGTCAATATCCTCACCCCGGGTACAATCGGGTATAATGAACCAGAAGAAATGCCTTAATAAAGGCCTCGTCGCGGAAGTCATATGCATAGCAACATGACGGCCTGCCACTTCGTAGCCGTCTCTCTTATTCGTGACATGTGAGTGCAGCAGCCTCTCTAGTCACAAATCCTACTGATCTTGTTTTAGATTGATTGCCAACTACTGCGAATTTGCCATGTGCAGTGAATGCCTTTCTTCATGCTTAAGTATTACTGCGCGTCTGACTTTGTCTACTTCAAGCTCTTGCGCTATATGAGCACTTAATCACCTTTGACAAGGAAATCAAGGTCATCTGGCGGAGGAAGTGTACCCTACCCACAGTGTTATTCCTCTGCAACCGCTACAATCTCCTTTTCAGTGTTCTGGTTACACTGTCAACGCATGTGCCCTCGGAGAAAATGGTGCGTCCCATCGCCATTTAAGATGGGGCTCACATACTTAATAGCATTAAATTGTAACAGACGTGGGTGTTGTGGTGGCGGCCAGACTCAAATTGTGCTTATTATATCTTAGGTTCACCGTTCTGGAATATTTGCTTGATGGCTCTGTGAGCGTACTGTACTGCTTGACAGCTGGTATGTTTTTTTTTTGCCCTTAAAATCTGCAAGCGACGCACATCTATAATTGCATTCCGTAGTATTCATCGCACTCCGAACGTACGTATTCTGCGGCAGAAGTATCAAGCTCTGCCTTCCCATCCTCGTGCTTTCCATCGTGCCTGCGGTGACCTCTGTGGTATGTTTCTTCCCCATCTCTTACGTTCGCAGCTAATGTTTTATCATGTCAGCTGTGCTCTGCAATTTCCCGCATGGGCCCGGGCGGAACCGCTGAGCGCGGTGGTCCATCACCATGCTACCTGGAGCTGTTTATGACACCAGAGTCTCATTTGAAGTAGGTGCTGTCCGTAATTTCCGTGCTCAGGCTTTGATACAAGTTTGACAGGCGTAAGTCCTTCGCGTATCGTAGAAGACACCGTTGGTTGATCAAAGGCGCGCGGTAGTCACTTGGGCATCAAGACTTCCGGCTATCGTTAGTGACTCTATAGTCTTGATCCTTACGTGGATAAAGACCTTTGACCACATTCGAGCTGCGAGGAAGCTGTCCATCAAGACGCCGCTTAGCACTCTGTTCCTTAGAGACGGAACACTCTATTTCATGTGCGCAGTCATCCCTGTCCGTCGAATGCAGCCTGGCTGAGCTTGGATGCCGCGTAGTGTGCTCATCGTCCTCAATATCGGCCAGGTGGTCGTCGCGCCATCACTATGTGTCTCGCAGCTCATATACACGTACGTCGCCCCATACATCTCTTGCGGCCTGCCCTCATGTCGGCCTAGTCTGTCGTCAATCCTCATGTCCCGCTTCTTTCTGAACCTGCGGCAGACTGGCGAACACCCAGCAACGGAGCGGACGGCGGACGGCCCGTCGACCATAAGGTTCCTGGAGCTTGATAGTTTCGAAGGCGAACTTGGCCATCCCCAGTGATCATCGACGAAGATGGAATGCAGGTCATGGTCAAGGTGGTACAAGGTAGAGCAACAGTGGAGTATTAGAAGATGTCCGGATATTCCGGAGGCGCGAGTCCTAGCTAAGCCAAAGCAAAACTCTGACGCTCGACGGGCCAGGTTCTTTACAGAGTGGCTTCTACTTTGGCTGAAATATCGTAGACAAGCCGCGGAACGCCATGAACCTGAATTGGTATTGCACGGACAGAATAAACGTATCGTATGGAAATACACCTGGCTCTGCACTCCGGGGGGGGGGGGGGACGCCATGCTGAACAAGCCGGCGCCCATCGCCAACAGGAGCCAGTCATTGAATCGGAACTATGTGAAGATAATCGTCTCAAAGGCGGCGGACAGGCGGACAAGCGCCAGATTGAGCGGGAGCACGCTGTACACAATGGGGCTATACACCGGCGAGCCTTTGGGATCTGCCGGAGGTGCCGACGAGGGATTTAGGGAAGCCAGCGGCCAAGTTACCACTGACACCGCTGTCGGGCTTCTTCGAAGCGTGAGACCTAAACAATATACAATCCTGTCAGCAAACCATGCCGAGGAGCTGTCGAACGAGGCGGCAAAGCTAACCCGTGGTGAAGTAGTCCTGCCACTTGTGTGATCTCCTCAAGCGTCGTCAGGCTTGTCTCTCCCAGGAGTAACATGGCCAGGAAGCCCGTTGCCGTTGCCAGCACAAAGATTCGAGGCCTGGCGTTCGCAGAGCTCATATCAGGAATCGCAGAATATTCTGACAAGAATAGACTTACGTTTTCGCGATAGTCAAGTGTCCGGTTCAAGAACTGGCTCATCATTGCGCCTAATAGGCCGGACGCGTCGAGAGTACCGCGTCAAGAACGGCCCCACTAACCAAATGCCTTGGCGACGATTGCTCGCCTAATCTCGTCCGTCATTGCCTTGACCACTTGGCTACGGGCATGTTGAATGCGTTCATCAGAGTGAACGGGACAGCGAAATCATCTTGTATCTTGAATACTAAACGGGACGCAAGGAGCGAATGGCCGCCTGCGTCGAAGAAGATCGAAGCTCGGCGGATTGGCGTGCGACCGAACAGCTTCTATGATCCTACAGAGGCGTTCCTCGACCTCATCCGTCTTCGTCCGCGTTATCATTCAGCGTAGTATCGGTGTCAGTGGCAGCACAGACTCGAAGCTGGGAGCGATCCACTTTGCCGTTGGGCGTGAGAGAAAGGGTTAGAATTCAGCATACAAGGTGGGGGGTCATGAACGATAGAAGGATTTCGCGCAGCGCCGTGACGAGGTGGTATGAGACTCTGAGGGTGAATTGGCGCGGCAGCGACAGCACTAGCCAAGTCGGCTCGGTGAATGGCTGGAAGTTCCAGTCGCTGCCCGCGGATCTTGGCTCGACCCGCGTTCATCCTCCCGATGAAATACAACTGTCCATCTGGGCTCCATCTCACAGTGTCGCCCTATTGATGAAGAATTAGACGTGGAAGGGAAGAATATGCGGAAGCGACGTACTGTGTGGCAATACCAAGACACCCTGATCGAGTTCGCCGGAAGCCTTGGCAGTCTCCTTTGGCCTTCTCAGATACCCTGGACTGACACTGACACCGCCAACGATCAGCTCGTCCATGGATTACCTAAAAGCGACGACGACGGAGGACGTCAGCGAAGGTGGAAGTGGGCCGAGCGGGACACTGAATCCTTTCAGGTATTTTGCCGAGCTCCGGAATAGAATCTCCTCGACGACTATGTCAGGACACAAATGGAGGTCCTCAATAATATCCACGAAATTATTGCAGAAGGCATCGCCAGTATTTGACCGAAAAAGGAATTTGTCATAGATGAGTTCGCAACGAGGCCCGTTGAAAATGTTGTAGCGGAGCTCGAGGTCGAGTCGTCGACCAGCAAGCTGATAGAACGGATTAATTATAGGCATGAAGTGTAGCGGCGGAATGACGAACTCTAGCTCCCTTGCCATTGGAATTTCAGTTCCGCTCAAGTGGTGGAAAATTGCGACGTGAGTGACAGAGGACGACGACTTCTGTCGTCTCTGTACGGCGGTGGATACATAGATCCGGCGGAGAACTCGGACGCTTTCTTGATCAAGGCTGGTACGTCGTCAAGAACATCCGCCAGTACAGTATGGCGTTGAACGGCAAGGCGATCAGGAATGATATCCAGCGATTGGCTAGTCCCAAGCCCTGAAAACAGAAGTTAGCCCGTGATGTGTGCGAAAAAAACGGAGCCGAATGCATCGATCGTGGTGTCCTCTTGACAAGTGTAGCGATGGTCGAACAAGTGAGTGCAGTGAGGTACAACGCGAGAAGTCCCCCACCCTTGACGAGACCCGAAGCGCATCGCAGACGGTTGGTGGCAGGACGAAGGAATGCAACTCTCGTTGCAGAGACGAGACGCGCCGTCCGGACATCTTGGGAAGTCGAGAGGGAAATGGCAGGAGACGTAATCTCGCAAGTACACCGCCACATCAGATGGAGTGAATTGGCGAAGCGACGAAGATCGCGGCAGGTCTACAGAGTAGACGTTGTCGGCAACTTGGTCCAAAACCTTGTGTATCCGGTCCGACAGGTCGACAAGCGTCTCTTCCTTGTGAAAGTGAGTGCTGTACCCAAACTCGCCAAGCATGTGGCTGTTGTTCTCCGTGAAGAAATGGATTTTCAAGTCGAGCCTCGTCACGTCGATATCAGCTCGTGAGGCGGAAGCCCGGATGTTCCCTATGGCGAACGGCGCAATCCCCGAGAGGCATCATCTCTACTGTCGGAATGGGAACCCGCCTGCGGCAGTCCGAATCGCCGCGGCTCGTCCTTTTCGCGTGCGGTGACCATTGCCATCGGAGGTGTAGGAGCCAGGGTCAACGTTGAAGAACAACACGGCGACTCGCTCTCGACGCGTCGAAGTAAAAAGTAAAATCTTGAGCGGGCGAAATGGAACGAATGCAAAGATGGAGCAAAAGCCAGGTGAAAGGCATTGGGAAACGGATGGTGCGTTGAATACCTGGTGGTGGTCGCACTGCGCAAAATGGCAAGTTATGCCGAAGCGTAACCTCGGCGTAGTCTGAGATAACGCCCAGATTCCGCGCCTGTTATGATTAGATTACGCTAACAGCAAAATCTTGTAGGCTATGCTCAGATTCCACTCAGACTACGCTGGCGAGCGTTCATGTAGAGCTGAACTCTCTTGTTCTCCTTAAATATATTTCTGGATAAGTCCTCCATTCGTCAGTAATCGTTCGTGCCCAACATAAATACCGACAATGCTCTCTGCGTGCGCCTAATCGCTTAATCCCACGCCCTCATTATCCTACCTTTCCTTTCTCTAAGTGCCCGCTGCACTGGGTGGTAAGCGCGCTTTTTTCCGGCGTAAAATTGGCCAAAAACTGATTGAACAAGGCCCCAACATTCTCCGGTTTTCACTTGAAAAAAACCGAAGGCAAAACTCATTTTTCCGCCAGTTTGACTGTGTTTTAGACCATTTTGGCTGGTTTTGCACCAGTTTCTCCTCAGTTTGCATCGGCGTAGAATCGAGGAATAACGGGGCCTTGTTTAGCTGCTTTTGCCTGAGTTTTCTCAAGAAAAAAACTGCGCTTACCACCCTGTGAGCTGTTGCTTGAAGGACGCATCGGAATCTGGAGCGCCAGAGATGACACAAATAAGACCAAGTATTCAAGCAAGGCGACACGACGAGACTCTGGACCGGACCTCATGCCACTGCACACGTCGACACTCGCTCCCGCCTAAGCTGCGTTAATAGGAGCCAAACACGACGCGTTTTTCGAGATTAGTAGCGTGGCAGACTCCCGGGCACGGTCATGCAGCACACTAAGCGCGAGCAAGCGTTGCTTCCGAACGTGTAAACGACGATGGTAGCCTTTGTAAGCTTCTAGAACGGTATATCTATCACGTCAGTACGTGTCTACATGTATACACGCGTCAAGACGCTCATCTCTTTGCTAGAGCCCTGGTGATTTAGTGACGCAAGTCGAACGCGACGCGCGACGAGCAGCACATCTCTTCTAGCATACTCGCATTCGTCCATAGCTCAAGAGTGACTCGATAGTGCCGGTGCGGGAAGATCGTGCTTTATGATGGACTAAATTGCTGTGCTTGTGAGGGTGGCGGTGCGTGCGTGTAGTTTCTACTAGAAGTATGGTCGCTAACGTCTCATAGACTTGTTCGAGGAATCGCTCGCCTCGAGGCCATCGACGCAGGTCTGCAATCATGCAACTGTACTTCTAGACATGCAATCGTAAGCTGTTGTCTCCATGTCGTGTGCACGCTTAGTTGGCTGACAAGTAGTGTTGGACCGGCAAAACAGACGATGGACACCACAAGGACTGTTTTGCTCGCCGACTTCTCATGATATCTTTGACCAAACACGGTGATCTTACCATGGGAATTTGCTGTGTTGCTACGTGCTACTAATGCATGTGCTACTCTGTATGCGCTTCTCCTGTACTGTACTTGTCCGACCTAGTACAGTAGGCCGGGGGTGTAACCTACGATGCCCATTTCACAATAGCTGTTTTTGTGTCGTGCGCAAAGCGGCCGCCACTATCTAGAGGATGTATCGGGCTTGTGACGCGTGACTGGCCTACTTGGTCGGACAGGTACAACACCAAAAGGACCTGTGCGATCGCGAACCATGGTAACAAAATTGCGAAAACGCCTTTGAGAGCGCCCTAGGAGACTCTCTGAGGCTGTCCAGGAACCTAAAATTACTATATCGGATCGCCGAGGTCCCTTGACAGTGCCGCTCTTGATAAACGGAAGACAGCAGTCCGCCAAGGGTCCTCCGCGCATGCACTCCAAACTCGCGTCTCATGCATCTTCCCTGCTCACCCGCGAGCCGAGCATGGCAAGAATCGAAAGTGTTCGCGCCGCCACGGGCCCGTGACAACCTTGCCAGCATGTCCCAGCAGGTGTACTTATGATGCCGGCCGCTAGGGTGGCTCTGCCAATGGGCCAGCTCTCGCCTTCTGTACGGCGAAGCGATCAGTCTCGGCAGACTCCATGCTTCCTCGAACACCGTTGAGAAGCTGCACAGCCCATCATCAGACGGCTATCCTTCTGACTCAAGGCGAGGGAGTCTGCCAAGGGTCCGTGAGGATCGCGAACCACGGGGCAGGCGACATCCGCCAATGATTCAGGGAATCGCTTACAAAGCCTGGTAGTGTTTCCAAGCCGCTGTCTTCCCAGCCTTTCACGTCGACGATTCCCAAGCCCTCCGCATGGCACATATCCCGGAACACAAGTTGAGATGATCTGAAGAGGAAGCCGACTTCTGCGCAGAGATTCGAGTTACTTTCGAGGATTAAATTGACCAGTCTTGCTATTGGGCTCTTCAGGTCAGGCTGTGAAGTGGTATAGGAACAAGAGACAACCCGAGCCTCAGCTGCCATCAGACGCCACCAAGTTCAATGTATATCATGTGCTTCTAGACGCCCAATTGTTTTTCGCGTATTTCAAGATCGCAGCCTTCAAATGTTCGTATCCAGTTAATATAGCAATCAGCCCGGCTAAAAAGGAGTATATACTCTCTCATCTCACATTGACATTAGTTTCTGAAGCGGGAACTATACACGCCTTAATTAAGTCACTCTACAGTACGCACACGACGCCGAGAATCGCAGGGCCGATCATGTACAAGCTGCGGATCGCCATGAGCATGAGCCAATACTGAGATGCATTATCCAGGCGGGGAAATTCCGTGCTATGGGGCCTGCACGAGTCCCAGCGCTCCAACAACCGGCCTGATCAGCCCTGAACTGTCATAGTCGACATGTATTCAATAGTGTCACGTTCAGCTTTTGAATAGATCGTGCAGCGTCTGGTGCTCGAGCACAAAGTTCTGCGATACATGAAGGGCGAATATCTTGGTCTGAAGATTGGTACGGAGAGTGTTGATAATGCGTCAGAGCAAGTCTACATAAAGGTATCGAGATTGGTCACCTAAACTGAGGACAATAACGTCGTCCTTGCGACAGATTCTGGCCCGGTATGATAAGTATATTTTTATCGCGCAGCAGCTCAGCGTACCTACATGCTCCACGTCCACAGTTATTTCCTCGAAGAATGTGTTTCCAACAGATCGTGTGTCGCACACCTACTCCGAGTCGTGTCCTCCATGTTCTCCACATTATGGCGGTGCGTTGCACACATCTGTCGTGTGTCAGTCATTGATGGCCAAACTATGCGTTGTCGACTCACCAGATACTGCAGCTCAAATGTGCCGTTTCACTCAGGAACGCATCTGCACCTCACACGGTCCTGCTCCTCCGAATTTTGTTTTTTCTTGACTGTGTAGTCTTGTATGCCCATTATCATAATTTCACATATGCTGAGGAAACACAGACCCTACAGGATATGTCAGTTTGTAGCATGTTAAAAACTACGCCCGCAAAGGTCGAAATGTTTCACGGCATATAATTGGTGTCGAGCAAAGGTGGTAAGCGCGGTTTTTTTTCTCAAGAAACCCCGGACAAAGCGGTTAAATAAGGCCTAATTTTTTCTCGAGGCAAATCAGGAAGAAAACTGTGCAAAACTGGCCAATAACAGTCCAAAATGTAGTAAAATAGGTGGAAAGCTGAGATTTGCTTTCGATTCTCTCAAGTGAAAAGCGGAGAAACGCAGGTCCTTGTTGAATCAGTTTTTGACCGATCTTGAGAGGGAAAAAATTACACTTACCATCCAGTGCCGGTGAAAAGAGGGGCCGTCACAATATTGCTTACGGTCGCCGGATAGACATCTTCTCTGCAAAGGTAGAGTAGAAGAAGCCACGATAGGCAGCCGGGACCATTCTTATGCACCCTGCATTCACACCGCAGGTGGAACAGTTGTAGCGTGGGAGGAGGGTCCGTGCCTGACCGCGTGCATTGTTGGGCACGACTGCCTGTGGTATGCTAACCAGCCGATTTGGAGGCCCAGGTCTCACGCCTGCTTTATCCAAGCTTGCTAAACTGAATTTGAGCTGTCAACTTAAGCCCATATTTTCGCTCAGAGTTACAGAAGGCTATGTCTTTGGAGCTATGGCTGTAAGTGGAACTCGAATTCGTACAACGCCACAGATTGCCATAGCTATCAGAGTTCGCAATGGTATACATGGCTGATTGAGAGGCTTTGGCCACGTCAGGTGGAGGCTTCTGTAAGCTATCCGTTGATGTGTTGCGCCTCGGCGTTTGGAAGAAAAGGCACACACGAGCGTTGCATGTGTGGAGCATATCAGACTGGCGTTGAGGAATCAGCTTCAAAAATCCAGTCGAGCCAGACGAGTGAAGATAAAAGACGATGGCATCTATCGAGAAAGGCTTATTGCTGCCGGGGTAAAATTCACACAGATCTGTGGGGCTTCCTCTGTGTAAGGTTGGGAAGATCTCCTCGAGCTCGGGAAGGAAGCCGACCCGGAGCGCGTGCTTCTCGCTCTCGAGCTCGGATTAGACATCGATGAATGCATCCTGGCCTGACCGACAATTCAGCGGCAGGACGTGCACTTGAGCATGTTGGCTATCGCCGGTGCGGAGTCCCTGGGAGACATGGGGAACGGCTAGACATGATGCTCAGCATTTCTAGCCACGAGAATTAAGTTGAGGTCAAACACACTAGTATGCCTGCTCGCATCATTCCTGCTAACAAGGCAAGGTACAACACGGTGTTGCAGCTGGTGAAAATTGTGGCCTCAGATTGTGGGCGACTCCGTCGGCGGCATGAGCAAACTCTACAAACGAGACGGCCCCAACTGGTACGCCAGGTACAGCAGACAGGAGGGCCCACGGCCGTTCAGGATTGTGCTGGGCATGAAAGTCGATGAATCCCGGTAGGATGGGGATTGAACCGTTGAGTGGGGGCCGAGCAGGTTTAGAGCACATTTCTGTGTGGGCAGGTCGATACGTCCGGCATAATATTCGTCATTCAGAGCAGCATTTAACTGACGAAGTGATTGCCGGTAAATGATGAGTAATGACCATTTAACACGGGTGAATTCAGGTCAGCACAAATTTTAATCAATAGACCACTTGCATAAAAAGTAAGAAACCATGCTCATATGGCCTGCCCCGCTAAGGCTACCACTACCTATGCAGCTCACTCGAAGAATTGGGGTGCCGCTGGTCGGGGATTGGGATAACTCTCCAGGCTCGTCCTCGCGCCTGTCTCCTGCGAAACCCTGAGGCGCGAGACGCTCCTGGCTTCCATAGAGCGCCGCGACCGGACATGGCCGGCGAGCTTCTGGTCCTGAGAAAGAGAGACCCATCGTCTGGCGAGTCCAATATGTCCGCTCCGCCGGCATTTTGGCATCTCACAAGAATAGCACGTGATGAATCTAGATTTCTCCGATGTCACTCCGGGGTGATGTTGCGCCGTCGCGCCGCATCTGCTCCAGCTTTTCGCTTTGTGCAAGGCTATGTCATATGTTTTGACATACAGACTTTACATTCGAAAGAAGACGAGAAGGCCATTGATGGTGAGTTGGAACGCTACAACTGCATACTGCCTCGTCTGGCAGTGGGACATCAGGTGAGCTCTGTCGTACGCTGAGAAGTATGTTACAACTATTCTCCGACTGACATTTTGATGATGGTACCAGTAAGAGGATAATGCGAGCATGCTGCAACAGCTGAACCTGTCTCCCACCCTAATAGAGATCTTGTATATCCTCAAGTATAGCAAGCGCTAAGATCACCTGGGCTTCATAAGTAGTTGGCTGGCTCCTAACGCCATGCTCGCGTCGTTTGACGTTACTCAGGTACAGATTGATCATTGCAAGGGGCATCACCATTGCGAACTTCAACCATGGATTACGGCATTCAACTTAAGAGTGGCTTGCCAATCATGCAAAATCGTAACCCATGTGCATGATCTCGCGCCAGATTTCCATCGACGGCTGAGACGAGGCGGTTGTCGAACACCGTCTCGACCTTTGTCGTGGTCATAGCGGGTGCGGAGATTCCAATCATCCACAGATCAACGAGCACAGACGAGGAGACCGCGGGGATCGCGGTCGTCGATATGAGCAGCAAGGCCACTGACCCCCATGGCGTGCAATGTGCCGGGGTTCTCAGGCGGCTCGGCGGGGCTGGCAAAGGCAGACAGCGAAGGTAGGGTGGGGACTGGATTGGATTGGATTTGAAAGGGGATCGGTCATGGTGGGGCAGTGCGCTCGGAGGCCATCGTACGTTGACACTTCCGACGACCCAGAAGAGGCCCGACTGGCTTGCAAATTGCCACACACCCTGGGGCTGCCTAATTTTTGGTTTGGTGTCTTGGAGGGTAAGGTTAGAAATGTTTCCGACCATTCTGACATGCTTCATCACGGCGACTTGGTCATCTGCTACCGCAACCTTCAAGGCCTTAGTCATGTCTCAAGTCAATTGGATACGCCTTATAGCAGCAATACTGGCCATTGGCAAGGTTAGAGTTGTGTGGTAAGTGGCTCGGAACATTTGGCGAAGAGATGCCCGAGGTCTACAGAAATACTCACATGAAAGATCCGTGGCCTCTAGTTCACGAGACAATAGAGAAAAATAGGCCATACAGAACGTGTCAGTCTTGGTACATGTGAGACTGTGCCTATAGGGCTGACATCCATTGTAAGTCTGCATATTGAGCACCGAGAAGGACTTAGGAGGCATCCTCACATCGCTTACGCAGATATTCTCTATGGAAATAGAACAGAAGAAACCGCGATACAGTCTCAAGCGCTTACGAGACCATTCTTACTATGCACTTCCCTGCAGCCACGCTGTGGACGGGAAAGTGGCATGGAAGGAGTGTGCCCTCGGTTTTGTACGTTTTGCTGAAAGATTACGGCTGCTGTCCATGCCTGACAGCACGCATTATTGAACATGAATGCTTGTAATATGCAAAACATAAATTTGGCGGCCCAATTCTCACGCTCGCTTTATGGAAACTTGAACTCACCAAACCGAATTCGATCTGCCGACTTCGGCTCAAAATACCTCTCAGAATTACAGAAGGCCATGTGTCTTGGAGCTACGGCTTCATATGAGTAAGTTAGTTTGGCACACGGGTCGCCATGAGGTATATGGCTGATTGAGAAATTTGTTCGCGTTAGGAATAGGCCTTTTAGGTAAGGTATTAGGCTGTCGCCTGGCTAGGATCCCCACAACGTGTGAGCAAGATTTCTACAATACTGTAGTCGTATGACCAGTCCACTGAGTCACGCATCATATTAATCCGGACGGCTGCTCTTCGAGAGCGGTGGTCACGTCGGTACAAGGGGTGCCACCAGTTTAACTCTTCTTTCTGATAAAACCAATATTTACAAAAAAGACGAGAAACCATATGCGTGCCTTCCAGAGCGCTACTAGTATACACGAATAAGGGCAAATGCAGACACTTGTCGCTGATTGCCTGGTCCTGCAGTAAGGCCGATTATAAGGCTAATAAGAAGAATATATCGCCGAGTGGAACCTGACATTTTTTTCCAGCCACCGACACGCTTTGGGCTTCTAATCTTTCCCCAACCAGATGTTACACTTTCGATGGAAGCTGCTAACTCATGGATGCATGGATTTTTGTAGTATGATGTGCGGCTGAAGGTAAAGATTGTTGCGCTGAACTGAGGTTCCAGGACAGTACAAAGGACGGCACCCAATGCACTTGTACCTAAGCTTAGATACTGGCACAAATCCACTCAGACTCAGAGCCTTCTAAGCTATCCTATACGACTCCTCTCGACATCGTTCTTGCGCATCTCTAAGACAATGGGAGACACTATCAATTCTACCACTTTGCCCGATGTCGCCTCCGAAGCTCTCCGTGACTGCGTGCCCATAGAGTTTTCTGCCGACAGCCTTGTCGCCCACGCAGACTTCATCACTGACTCGGTCACATCCACGACCATCATCGGTGGTTTGTATACAGAACTAGTCACCTTTGCTGAGCAAGCCTCTGCTTCTCTCCACGAGGTTGTGCTCGCTGCCATTCGCATCTTGCATCTGCGCTACTCTGCCCCAGTCCTGTCAGCAACTAACAATCCAACTGGACTGAGCTATGACAATGCTGAGGAGACAGACGAGAGGAGTGTGAGTGAGGAAAGACCAGCTCGAGTCTGGCTTGTTATTGAGCAGTATGAGCTCCTTATATACATGTCAGACTGAATATCTAGAATATCCTACGAATATACGGAGGTGTATAGAAAGTGAAAGAATACCATGGAATCTGGGAGAACCATCTGGAATGTGTAATATTCATAACATTACCCCCCCGTCTAGAATCGTGTCCTCACGATTATTTACCAGTCGACCCAAAGCCTCCTGATCCTCATTGAGTCTCTGTTAAACTTGACACCTCCTCGATATCGCATGACGCAATGCGTTCCAAAATAACTTGTGCGATTCAATCTCCGGCGCGTACCTGAAAGGGTTGATTGGTGGAATTAATCAACACCACGTGCACTTCTCCGGTGTAATCCCGGTCTACGACTCCAGCACCAACATCTATTCCTTTGACTGCTAATCTGCTCCGTGGTGCAATTCGCGCATAGGTTCCATGAGGGGCATGCATCGCTATGCTGGTGCCAACAATCTTGTGATTTTGTGCTGGTACCTTAACGCTTTCAGCCAAATAAAAATCAAACCCAGCAGATTCTTCAGATCCTTGCTTTGGGAGAATCCCACCCATCCGTTGTACCAAAAGAGTGGTATCACGCGTGAGCATGTGGACGGGTCGTGTTAATAGAGGGGGGATTCGAATCGTCATAGGCGCGGGTTTGTCGGGACGTCTGGCATGGAATTCCTGAAGAAGTTCCTGAAAATTAGTCAGGTTCGCTCGTGATTCCCAGAAACGGCGATCGCCGTGGGGGCTGTTCTTCCAGAGCACCTGATACTCTAAGTTTCCATTTCAGTCACGACAGGAGTCAAGAATTTCTTCGACTTCCCATTCTTCCTCGCCATTTACAAGGTCAGGGACTACCGATTTACGTCGCTGTGAGGGATACGTGGGTTCTTGGAAGGGACTGAGAAGGCTTTCATTGAAAACAGGGTGTTGTTTCCATTGGCGTGGGAGTTCCAATTCATAGGCGGAAACGCCGACTTTGCGTTTGACCTTGAAAGGTCCATACCGCTTATCGTCGAGCTTTTTCATCGGCCTATCGGTTCGGATGTTTATCCCTTCTAGCCAGGCCTTATCTCCAGCTTTGTATTCTGGCCCGCTCTTTCTCTTTCAGTCGTAGAAGCGCTTCATGGATTTTTGCGCTAGACTGATAGCCGCGCTAGTATCTTCACGTACTCGATCTATTCTTTCGACAAATTGTTGGACGTTTTCACTTAGTCCTTCTCGTACTGGTTGGGTTCCTTCATAAGGGTGGTACCCTTTATTGACGAAGAATGGAGTATACCCGGTGAATGAATGGACTTTATTGTTGTACAAAAAGGCCGCGAGTGGCAACCATTCGGCCCAATCTGCTTGTCGGTAGTTAATGAATAATCGGAGATATTGTTCTATTTCCCGATTGATATGTTCCATTTGTCCATCCGTCTGAGAGTGATATGCGGTGGAAGGGTTGGCTTCGATTCCAAGCGATCAGTATAGTTTGGAGGTGAACTTGTTCTTGAATTCAGTGCCCCTATCACTGATGATCTTTCGGGGTAGTCCGTGGTGTGCCACCACATGGTCGCAAAATGCTTTTCCCCATCCTTCTGCATTGAGTTCAATGTTACTCGGTATCGTGATTATCTGCTTGGAGTACATGCAGACGACTACAAGAATAGCATTGTATCCAAAGGACTCCGGTAATACTCCTATCTTATCTACAGAGATTATTTCCCAGGGTCGCGTAGGGATTTCATTGGAGAAGAGAAGTCTGGTAGGTCGTGTTGTGTGAACCTTGGTCTTCTGGCATTTTTTGCATCCAGCCACATACTTTCGGATGTCTTCTCGAATTCTAGGCCACCAGTAGTTACGCGTGACCATTTCGTGTGTTTTGTATTGACCGGGATGTCCTGCCAATGGGGTATCATGGTGATGAACAATGATCTGTTCATGGAGTTTCCTATTTATCGGTACGTAGATACGGTTCTTCCACATCACGAGTCCTGTGCTATCTTCGTTCCAATCTTTGTCCTTGTTCTGTAAGGCTACGGTAACTAGCGAGTCTCGGTTCTTTTTGTATTTTTTAATCTCTGCGATCCAGTCCTGGTCGATTCCTTCTAAACTAAATACAGTACTATGGATTAGGGCATGGAAATGTTCTGGTTTTAATAGCACGATATCTGAATTGTCCTCTTTCCCTGCATTGTGTCTTTTCTGTCGAAACAGTCCATCGGCCTTGCCATTCGTCTTTCCAGGTTTATGATGTAGCAAGTAGTGATACTCAGCTAATTTGGTTACCCATCGAGCTTGTCGTCGATTGAGTTTTTGTGGCTTCCGGAAGTATTCTAAGTTCTTGTGGTCTGTCCATATTTCAAATGGATGCCGGGCGCCCATGAAATACTGGCGCCACTCGTTAAGACTAGTCATGATTGCGAGAAGTTCCTTATCATAAATCTTGTAATTTCTTTCGGCTGCTGTCATGGCTTTGGATAGATAAGCGACGGGCTTCCATTTGCCATCTTGCTTCTGGGCTAATTCAGCTCCTATGGCAAAGTCCGATGCGTCACATTCTACGCGATAGGGGCCGTCGTCATTGGATATGGCCAATACTGGTGCGGAGCAGAGTGTGTTTTTTAGGCTCGTGAACGCCACTTCTTGTTCGATGGTCCATTCGAAGGTAGCATTTCCTGTTAATGAACTGAGTGGCTTTGCTATCTTGCTGTAATCTTGGATAAATCTTTGGTAGAAGTTGGTGAAGCCGAGGAATGCTTGGATATCTCGTTTGCACTCGGGTCGAGGCCAATTGACGACTCCTTCTATTTTGACTGAATCCATGTGGACTACGTCCTTTCCCACTATTATGCCCAGGTATTCGACTTCTGTCTTCTCGAACTCGCACTTTTCCGGTTTTAGGTAAAGTTTGTGTTCTCTTAAGATTTGTAGAACTTGCCGTGTGATCTGACGGTGTTCTTTCAGATCTTGAGTGAAGATCATGATATCGTCCAAGTAAACTACTACGTGTCCTTGACTAATGAGGTCTCAAAATATATCGTTCATCATGGTTTGGAACATAGCTGGAGAGTTTGTGAGACCGAAAAACATGACTAGTGGTTCGAACAGTCCTCGATTGGTGAGAAAGGCAGCTTTTCCTTCATCACTTTCTTTGATGCGGATATTGTTATACCCCCATCGAACGTCTAATTTCGTAAAGTACTGTGCCTGCTTCAACTTGTCTACTAGTTCCTGTATCAAGGGAAGCGGGTAGCGATTCTTAATCGTCAGCTCGTTCAGCTTTCGATAATCTTGCACGGGTCGAAGACGTCTGTCTTTCTTTTTGACGAAGAAGAAGGGAGAAGCCCACAGGGACTTTGAAGGTCGGATTCTTCCGGTTCTGAGGTTCTCTTCTATGAACTTGTCAAGTTCTTTTTGTTCGTTCATCGAGATTGGGTAAACCTTGCAGCTGATTGGTTGCGCGCCTGGTGTGAGTTTGATTGCATGGTCCCATGGTCTTCTTTGAGGTAGAGAATCAAAGTCTTCTTTGCTAAACACATCGGAGTAATCGTGATAGTGACTTGGGACAGTGTTTTCAAATGTCTTAGTCTCGTGTTTCAGACTCTCCTTGATGGCTAGATCAGTGGCTGTGGTGCGAATGTGCGCTGCTCCCGTAGCAAAGTAGGTTTCGTGGTCAAGAATAAAGATTCTATCCCCTTCTTCTAGGCGAGCCTCCAGATCGCTGGGCTCGTCCTGATCGGCATCAATATCAATTAATCGGGCAGCGTATTTGCAGGTAACCGGGCACTGATCAAACTGAATGACGTGTTCTTGCCAATCAATGGATGGATTATGAATCTGCAACCACTTATATCCAAGGAAGATTGGAGTCTTCCCTAGATTGGTAACTGCAAACGGGAGTCGTTCTACATGGTCCTGAATCTCTACCCTTAATTCAACAAAGTCGGTGATAGCGCCGCCAGCGTTGTGCGTGCCGTCTGCATTATAGACAGGGATCGGTGATGGCAGTTTCTTTGTAGCGATGTTGTTATCGCGGACAAACTGTGCATCAATGGAAGATTCAGTACAACCTGTGTCTAGTAGCGCTTTGACTGATAAGCGTTGCTGCGTGTCGAGGGTGGTGATGATCATGGGGACGTCCATCTGTGTCCCCTTCCTTCCTCGGATAAATTGAGGTTGCTTTCGTAATTCATTCAAGAAGTCTATAGCTTCTTCTTCTTTCATTTGCCTGATTTGGTTCACACAGGCTTCGGAGGCGTGAACACTCTTCTTTGAGTGTACCCATTCAGTCAACAATCTAAGCACTGCAGCTTCTTTGCTGACTATCCATTGGCGGATCCATGCCGCCGTCCAGGGTGTGTGGCGCTGCCACTGTGTAGGTTCAGTCTGATGTTCTGGTGTAGGTAATAATTTTTTATCCAGGGGAATTAAGCAAGAGGGTTGAATCTCTCCGCGCCGTTCTACGGATGCCCCTTTCTTCTGTATATATATGGGAACCCCAAACCAAGAACACAGATAGTTCGTGAAATTCTCTTTAGTCAACTCGGCTACATACCCGGCTGACCGCTTGCAAAACCCTTCATGGCCACGCGAATTTCTTCGCAAATTGCCGTTTTTCAGTCAAATGGTTCTGCTGTCGCGGCAGGAGCTTCATTGAGTGATGCAAGCGGTGTGAATGTATTGGTAGTGGAAACTGCCGGGGTTTCCACAGCTCGTACTTGTTGAGCTTGTTGCCAATTAGGGCAATTGCACGAAAGATGTCCTTTTTCCCCACATTGGAAGCAAAGGCCCAAGCGTCGTGCCTGGTCTAGCTCCGTTGGTTGGCCTCTGCCACCGAATGTAACGCCTGTTCCGTCGCGCCGTGTCTGAACTGGCACCGTAGCAGCTGCTGGCGTGGGTGCACTAGTTTGTGCTCGCGGTGTGTTCTGCGCCTGCTGCTGCCTTGGTTGAAACTGTCCCTGTCTTTGGGACTGTGGGTTTCTTCGGCGGTACTGTTGCTGGTTAAGGTCGATACGCACGACCCGTAACTTGTAGAGCGCGTAGGTGGTTGGAAGTTCCTCCGAGGAGTTGTACAAAAGCCGAATGATGTCAGCCCGGAGTGCTTTTTCTAGAAGCGACTTGAGTTCCTGGAAGTGCGCTTCAAAATCGTGAATGTTCGCCTGGAAAGCGCACAACTCGAACTTCGAGAAAAACTCCTGCGCCAATAGCGTCCCCATCTGCATTGCTTGCAGTGGGTCGTAGGCTTTGGCCTGCTCGTCGATCAGGAAATGCTTATCCAAATCCGTCCACAGTTCATTCATCGTCTGGATCACCGTGTTTTTGTCGGTGTCGTATTTTTTCATGTATGTGGCGACGTATTTGCCAGCATGGCCTCCTTTCATGTAGGACAAGATTATTAAGACCCTGTCAAATTGCTCGGGTAGCCGCTTCCTTTGCGTGACTACGTAGAGTTTCATTTGTGTCTTTCAAGCGATATACTTGGACTTCGTGCCATCGAAGGCATCAGGCTTCATCGCGCTTCCATTTATGAGCGCGGCATTGTCTTGGTTCTCGGCCATCGCACCGGGATCAGATGGGGATGAAGGTGGGGTGGGAGAACGTCGGGAAGGTGGGTCCGCGGCTTCAGAATCTTCTAAGGCTTCTTCCACAAAGTCTGGTGGACCTTCTGGTGGTACTTCGGTTTCTCCGAGAGCGATTGAACGGAGGTGTTCAGTGACTGAATCGAGTGTGTCGCATCTTCCTCTGGGTTCTGAGCTAGACACTATAGATTCGGGGTTGGCGAGGGACTCGCTAGGTTCTCCAGTGTTTACTCTGGTTACTAGTTCTTCGCGTAGTCCTTCTTCACACCGTGGGCAGCGAGTACTATTGTGTGGGGAGTGTGGGCACGGTTGTTGTACGCAATATTGTACGGAATCTCCGCGCTTATAGATAGTTCTATCTCCTAGTACTCGATGTTGATATCCTCGACAGTCACAAGAGAGCGTTGTCATGAGCTATCAGGTCCGTGAAGCTGATTGCAGCAAACCCTGGGACTAATTGTGTTGTAACGACCAGATCAGGGGTAGAATTTGCCAGAGATGGGAATTTCCGAATAAGAACCGAAACGCTAATTGTAATACAGTTCTAGACATACTGTAGCAGCCTAAAGAGCAATTGTGTCTCTTCGGTCCGACACCTTCAATGGGATCGTCGATCTAACTGCTACCGCTTTTCCGACGCCCGGTCGCAACTGATTGCCACATCGTACTCAGGAATATCCGCTTGCGCTGCGCAAAGCGTTTAACACCACCTATGGTAGGGCAGCGTACGATTCTAATTGGATGGAGCTCTGTCTAGCTGCCTAAGGGCTAGTGATTACAGAGGTGACTTCGGGGGTATGGTATGGTAAAAGTTTGTGCAAATGCACGGAGAAGGGTTCCAGGGGTCCGGGTCTTGATGTGATAGAGTTCGATAGGGTTAGGAGTTAGGGTGAGAGTCGGATGTGCGTATGGGGTGGATCGTCGTGTGGAGATGGATGATGGTTGGTGTGGAATTGACGAGAATTGTCGTAGGGCAGTTGGTGGAGACTTGAGCTAATGTCAGCAACTAACAATCTAACTGGACTGAGCTACGACAACGCTGAGGAGACAGACGAGAGGAGTGTGAGTGAGGAAAGACCAGCTCGAGTCTGGCTTGTTATTGAGCAGTATGAGCTCCTTATATACATGTCAGACTGAATATCTAGAATATCCTACGAATATACAGAGGTGTATAGAAAGTGAAGGAATACCATGGAATCTGGGAGAACCATCCGGAATGTGTAATATTCATGACAAGTCCACGCCGCTATCGGTAGGAGTCTTTGTTGCCTTTGCTCTGCGGTACACCGAACTGAACGAGGTTCTCAGGTGTCGACGCCTGTGGGAAGGCCGAAGGGCCTCTAGCTGTCTGCCTGCAGGTCGAGGACGGAGACAAGTTTGCAGACGTCATCTGTGCCACACATGAGCTTGTTTCGACCCTAGAGCGTCACACACTTCCGTTCGAGTCTGTTCTGCCGCAGCTCGCCACAAACAGGAACAACCCCCGCGGCGTCGCTCTCCCTGTACTCGTGTACCTCGGTGATGTCCCTGTCGGTGGCACAGCAGACGGGTAAGTTCTTTAGGTTACACCTGCTTCAACAATAACGTCACTGAGTGATCGTCGACATTAGTTTATTCGCCATGGTCTGGAGCGCCTGTCCCTCCGCGGACAATCTGCGCTTGAACATAAGCTTTGACCCGACTCGCTTCGAACCAGACACTATCCAAGCCATCCTCGACAATACTGTTGACGTGCTCGCAGCTATAGTCTCTACCCCCGACCACACAGTAGACAACATTCCGTTCTCTCATGCACTCGACCAGCTCGTCGCGGCCGGCATTCCTGTCGACCCCGTACCAATCTCCTCAGAGCCTCGTCCTACGCTCATCCAGGCCTTCTCAGACGCCGTTGTCGCCCATCATGACCTCCCAGCGCTCATTGACGGAGACCTCACCTTGACATACCATGAAGTCGATATCCTCTCTTCCATTCTCTCTCGGAGGATCCTAGAGGCCACGAAGCAGCAAGAAACACATGCTTTTGTGTCTTTCTGTATCCCCTCGGGAGCCACTGCCATCTTGACCATCCTTGCTATCGTGAAGAGCGGCGCTGCATACGTGCCTCTCGATATACGCTTCCCCGCAGAACGCCTTGAGTCGCTGGTTGAAGACTCTGGCGCATCTCTCGTTATTACCACCTCAGCATCGCCTTCGTTCGGTTTCGATCGCGAGCGTGTGGCACATCTGGACGTCACCAGCTTCCTTGATGACCGAAAGTCGCTCGTTGCTTCATCTGTCCACGAGGAGCGCGACGGATCTGTTTCGCCCGCCTCGCCCGCGGAGTCCTCAAACGATGCCGCCTACGTGCTTTACACCAGTGGCAGCACCGGCAAGCCGAAAGGCGTTGTCATCAAGCAGTCGTCCGTCGTAGCCTTCGCCACCAATCGCGACATCTTCACATGGGGCCCGGGATACCGTATCGCCCAGATCAACAATCTGGCCTGGGACGCGAGCGTGGCCGATATCTGGTGCACGCTCCTGCTGGGCGCGACACTCGTGTGTTTCGACCGCGTCGACGTGCTCAACGCGCCTGCTCTCGCGCGACGTTTTCAGACTGCGCGCATCGATGGCTACCTGCTGCCCACATCGCTTTTCCGCCAGTTCGCCGCCGTCTGCCCTGACGCCTTCCACAGGCTCACGGAGATCGTGACCGGCGGCGAGGCACTCGACTATGCGAGCGTCTGCCGAGCGCGGGCGGCAGCCCCGAGCGCCGTGATCCGGAATGCGTATGGCCCGACCGAGGCGTGCGTGATGGCAACGATCTTCAACGTTTTCCCTGGCGACGACGATGTACCGCATACCGGGCCCGTGCACATTGGTCGCCCGCTCGAGACTAGCCAAGTGCTCGTCGTCGACCGCTACAGGCGGCTCGTGCCGCCGGGCGTCATTGGCGAGCTGATCATCGGTGGCGAGGGCATCGCCGAGGGGTATCTCAACCGTCCTGCAGAGACCGCGGACGCGTTCGTCGAGCTGCACATTGACGATCTGCCTGGGAACACAAGGTTCTACCGCACGGTGAGCAGTGTCTGCTTCAAATTCGGCAAGTGAGCTGACTTATCCTCGGGCGTTTGTAGGGTGATGCTGTGCGCTGGTGTGATGAGCGATTGCAGTTCGTGGGCAGGATGGATGTTGGGCAAATCAAGATATCTGGACAGAGGCTCGAGCTCGGCGAAGTCGAGGCAAATATCCTGCGCACCGGACTCGTCGCCGACGCCGGCGTCAGCTACCACAAGCCGACCGATGCTGGCGACTCCGGCCTTGTCGCATATGTTATCCTCGGCTACGAGCAGACGCTCGAGGTTGACGATCATGTTAGTACCCAGGATACACCTGCAGCAGCGTCAAAAGGCGATTCTGCGATTGTGGACACATGGAGGGATGTGTATGATGATATGTACGCTGCGTATGATCTGTGAGTTCCCTTCATCTCATGAGCATGTCCATCTTCGTTAATCTTTGCTCGAACACAGGGCAAAAGCACGCGCAGACTTTTCAGGTTGGGACAGCATGATCACTGGAGGGCCCATCCCGAAGCTCGAGATGACCGGTTAGTCGACCACTTTCTTGGTATTTCGAGCACCCAAGGGACCTGACAAAATTCGCTTCTTCGTCAGCGTGGCTCCACGACACCCTCCGGCCGTTCCATCAGCAGCGCCCACGGTCCGCCTTCGAGGTTGGCTGTGGCATCGGCATCTTTGTCCACCAGATCCTTCCCTCCGTCGACCGCATGTGGGCCATTGAACCCTCAGCAGAGGCTACGAAGCGTTTGGAGGATGAGTTGAAGGCACTCGGGCTGGGCGACAAGACATCGATCTGGCATGCCGCCGCCGATGAGATCTCCGAACTTCCTGCGTTTGATGCGGACTTTGCATTCATGAACTCTGTCGTCCAGTACTTCCCGTCGGAGGCATACCTGCACCAGGCCATCGAAGATATTGTCGGCAAGTGCGCTCCTGGAGGCCGTATCCTCATTGGAGATGTGCGAAGTCTTCCCTTCGGCAGTCTGCTGGCTCTCGACATCGCGGCCCACCGGTGGCAGGACGAGCTCGAATCGCGAACGCTCCAGGATTTGCGGGACGAGATTCTCGATCGCGAGAAGTATCGGTCTGAGCTGTTGGTTGACCCCTCGTTCTTCACCAGTCTTCGCCTCACTATCCCTACCGTGGCACATGTCGAGATTATCCCGAAGGCGATCGAGTACTGCAACGAGCTCAGTCAGTTTCGCTACCAAGTCATCGTTCACGTCAACCAAAAGCTACCCTTGATCGTTCCTCCTGCCTGGCATGACTACGAAGCGCTACGCTGGAAGGATTCAGACCTCGAGGACGCAGTGCGCGACTTCGCCGCCGGCAACGAGAACGTTCTGGCAGTGGAACACATTCCGAATCGATTCCTGTCTTGGGAGCTCGTGGCAGCGACGGCCGTCTTCTCATCTTCGTCAGATCGCTTTGCTGACCTCGCCTCGGTACTTCCACCACGCATAGAGGCCGCAGCCGCGCAAGGCTGGTCTGCATGGGGCCTGGAGCGTCTCGCGGAGCAGTGCGGGGTGACAGTCAAGCTGAGCGTCGCGCGTCAGAAAGAAACGACGACTCTGGATGCGGTGTTCGTCAAGGGATTCCTCGATGGCGCCAACGGTGGCACCTGTGTCGCATTCAAGACTGTCGACTATGATGATGCATCTATCTCTTCGTTTGCTACTTCGAGACTACAAGAGCTAGTGTTCAGGACGCACGTGGAGAACAGCCTTCGCGAACGTCTGAGGGCGGCGCTGCCGTCCTACATGGTCCCCGACCGACTCTTGTCCGTGGATGCTCTTCCGCTCCTGACGAGTGGGAAGCTGGATCGGCGCCAACTGGCAGCGATGGCAGCGAAGGACGCTAGCCGTGATGTTCACAGAGCCGCCGAGGAAGACCAGGATATTTTGCCCGCGAACGACATGGAAGCCCGGCTATGTGCAATCTTCGGCCGCCTGCTATCGAGTCGAGCAGTTTCACCCCTAGCGAATTTCTTTCAAATCGGAGGGCACTCCTTGCTTGCGACGCGACTGAAGTCTGCGCTCGAATCGGAGTTCCACGTCGTTATCCCGCTCAGGACAATATTTGCCCGCTCCACCCCTAGACAGCTTGCAGCTAGCATCCGCGAGGGTCTCACCTCCGCGCCACCTGACCAGCACGCCAGTTTCCCGACGAAGACCATCCTCTCCCATTCCGGTCCTTCCGACCCATCTGACGAACTTTCCATGGATATGACGATACCATTTGACGGGACGCATTACCCATTGTCTTTTGCCCAACAACGACTCTGGTTCCTCTCGAAACTCGCATACTACGGATCGCAGAACATTTGTTATAACACTCCCTACGTCTTGAGGCTGGAAGGATCTCTGAATATCGACGCTCTCGAGCGCACCGTCCAGGAGGTCGTCTCTCGTCACGAAATTCTCCGCACCATTTTTGTCGAGGTGAACTATGCGCCGGCTACTCGAGTGGTCGATTTCTGTCCTCGTCTTGAGGTCGTATCCGTGGACCCTGATACTGACGAACAATCCCTGCGCACACTCATCGGAGAGTATGTCAGGCGTCCGTTCTCCCTCGACCGCGAGCCATCGGTCCGTGCAACCTTGTTCCGACTCTCACGGGACCACTTTCATCTGCTCCTATGCATGCACCATATCATAGTTGACGGCTTTTCTTTTGACGTCATTCGTCAGGAGCTAGCGGAGATCTACGTCGCTTTCCAAGCCGGTAAAGACCACGAGGTCCCTCCGCTGCCCAATCAGTACAAGGAATTCGCGCAATGGCAGCGGTCGGAAGACTTCGAGCGTATGGTGCAGCCTCAGCTCGAGTATTGGACGAAGCAGCTCAAAGGCAACCAGGCGGCGGGACTGCCGACGGACTTCCCACGGCCTCAACATCTCAGCTATGAGGGGAAGGCATACATCGCTCAATTTCCCCAGGAGCTGTTCACTCGACTGGGGCAAATATGCAAGCAGGAGCGCGTGACGATGTTCATGCTCCTGTCGGCCGCCTTCCGCATGGTTCAGTTCCAGCTCACCGGTCAGACAGACGCCTCCTTCGCCTTCCCCATCGCCAATCGCAATCGAGCCGAGACCGAGAGGCTCGTCGGGTTCTTCGTCAACACGCAAATTCTCCGGCTGAAAGTGCGTCCTGGGATGACGTTTCTGGAGCTGATTCAACAAGTGCGAGACCTGTCGATGGCGGCGTTCGAATATCAGGACCTGCCCTTCGAGCGGATCGTCTCGATTCTCAACCCGACTCGTGACCTCAATCGCAACCCGTTGGCGCAGATTATCCTCGCTTACCAGACTGTGAAGACTGCACCGTTCAACATAGGAGACGTCCGTGCTTCCAACCCGCGAATTAATATGGATCTGACGAGGTTTGATATGGAAGTCCATTTCTTCCCCGGGAGTGACGGCCAGCTGGCCGGCCAGTTTGTGTACAGCACCGACTTATTCAAGGAGGAGACCGTCATCGACTTGACGGAACGGTTACAAAAGGTTCTGGAGCAGGTCGTTGACAACGTACACTTTGCCATCAGTCCACCGCGATCCTCTTCGACGCTTCGCCAGCCGACTCCATCTGACGTGGCAGCGTACTTGCACGACTATGTCCCCTGCGAATTCCCTCTCGACATGCCCAGATGTTCGGGCAGTGTGTCTCCGCAGCGAGGGACGCACTCCTTCATCTTGCCGCCAACTATCTGCGATGTACTTCGGGCCTCGTCGCTGGGCGAGGAGGAGCTTCCTGCGCTGTACCTCACTGCACTCTCTGTGCTCAACCATCGGTACACCCGCCAAGGGGATATCACTATCGGTGCGTTCCCTTGTGTTTCTGCGTACGGAAGATGAGCTGACCTCCACGCTCAGGGCTTGCGACGAACAAGTCGCTGGATATCGTTCCCGCTCGGCTTGCCGTTTATCGTGATGCTGCACTTTCAGCTGTTCGTGACAATGCACAGACCTCGGTCAAGAAGGCATCCGAGTTCTCGGCCGTGTCTATCAAGGATGTATCCACCGCTGTACGGAGACGACAGAAGTCGTCGGCTTCTGCCATTCATGTCGTGCTTTCCCGCAAGTCAAGCAGATCTGATGTTGCGCCGCCGAGGGAGCTAGAGTTCGTACTCTTGTTACCATACTGCGTGTCCGTTAATTAACCTGCTCTATCAGTTTGCTGGTCGACCTTGAGCTCCGTTACAGCGACCCAAATGAGCCTTGTTGCCAGCTCATCTACGACCAGTCCCTCTTCCGTCCCAATACCATCGAAGCGTTCTGCGACAGCTTCGTGGACGTTCTCGAGAACTGCCTTCTCCGTCCTGACCTGGTGGTCGAGGAGATTCCATTTCAGCACTCCGTGAAACACCTGAAACGGTTTGGCGTCCCACTCGCCCCGCCTCCACCTCCACCGACATCCCCCCTCGTCGATGCTCTCAAGAAGTCTGTGGACGCACACCCCGACATGTTGGCCTTACAGGAGAGAGAATTCTTGCTGACGTATAAGCAGCTGAACACGGCCTCGTCCTTGCTGGCACGGAAGATCGTACAGGCATTGGGAGACGCGTGCGAGTTCGTCGCAATGTGTATCCCTCCGTCAACTCTCGCTGTCGTATCTATCTTCGCCATCGTCAAAGCCGGAGCTGCATATGTGCCCTTGGACGTCCGCTACCCTCCAGAGCGTCTCGAGATGCTCTTGCGCGAGAGTGGTGCAGGACTGCTTATCACGACTTCGCAGTCGCCAGAGTTCGCCGGCGACGCGGAGGGTATCACCCACCTCGACATCTCCAATTTCCTTGCTGAGATCGACCTCGCCTCCCCCGCCGACTTCGTCTGCGCTCCTCGCACGGATGCCGCCTACGTCATGTACACATCTGGCAGCACTGGTGTGCCGAAGGGAGTGGTCGTCATGCAGTCCGCGGTGGTCGCACTGGTCTCGAACACGGACGTCTTCCCATTCCAAGCTGGCGACAGGATCGGGATGATCAACAACCTCGCATGGGACGCCAGTATCATCGATATCTGGTGCACGCTCCTTTCCGGCGCCACTGTCGTCTGCTTCAACCAGTACGACATCCTGGACCTTGTCGTTCTTGCAGGGCAATTCCAGCTCTTTGATGTCACAGGCTGCTTCATGTCTGTTGCACTGTTCAGTCAAGCCCTCGACCTCGCACCCCAGCTTTTCCGCAAGCTCCGCATTCTGCAGGTCGGCGGAGAGGCCTCTTACTATGAGAATCTACAAAGAGTGAAATCAGTCAATCCGCTGATCCGTATTCTTAACGGTTACGGCCCGACGGAGACTTGTGTCTTCGCCGCCACGTTCTGGGCTGACGCTCCCAACATGCCCACGTCTGGACCAGTTCCCATTGGCCGACCGATGTCAACCGCTCAGGGTCTCGTTGTCGATACACAGGGTCGTCTAGTGCCCCCGGGCGTGGTCGGAGAGCTGATCATCAGTGGTGCTGGTGTCGGCCCAGGGTACCTGAGGAGGCCGAAGGAGACGGCCGAGGCCTTTGTTGAGCTTGGGTTTGACGAACTCGACCAAGGTGTCACTCGGTATTACCGTACGGTATGTCGCTTCCGTATACCCTTCCCTTGCGCGTTTAATAATTCGTACAGGGTGATGCTACGAGATGGGGCTCGGATGGACTGTTGCATCTTATCGGGAGGATGAATACCGGCCAGATCAAGATTCGTGGACAGCGACTGGAGCTCTCGGAGATCGAGGTGGCCATTCGCCAAAATGGCTTGGCCAACGACGCTGCGGTCGTATATCTCAAGTCTCATAAAGGCAAGGACGATCTGCTTATTGCGTACGCTGTTGCTGCTGCGCCAACATCGGCCTCGCAGCCCCACTCCCTCTCACTACGGCTCCTCGAGACGCTGCGCAAGACTCTTCCATCGTATATGATCCCTCACCTCGTGCGCTGGATTCCGACCCTCCCTCTGACGCCTAATGGTAAACTGGACCGCTCCCAGCTCCGAGCGCGTGCGGCTGCCGACGCCGATAGCATGTTGAATGTTGACGCAGAGGAGGACGATTCGGGCGAGCCCGAGGACGAGGTCGAGGAGCGCCTCTGTAGGATCATAGAGGTCCTCCTTGGTCGTACATCTATTCGTCGATCTTCGAACTTCTTCGACGCAGGTGGCCATTCGCTCCTCGCCTCCCGTTTGGTCTTCCGGATACAAGAAGCTTTCGATGTTCCGTTTGCTCTAATGGACGTGTTCCACACACCCGTAGTCAAGGCAATGGCGGGCAAGATCAGGCAAGCGATCGCTGCCAAGCCAGTTGATCAGACATCGATGACAGCTTCGACGACTGCCTCGGCGTACCAGGAGTTCCACATACCCCAAGTGCTCGTCTTTTTTGAGGAACCTCACAAGCCGTTCTTATTCTGTGTCCCCATGGTCACTGGTCTCGGTCATATGTTTGCCGCGCTGTCTCGCTCCACCGACATGTTCAACGTCGTGGCCCTCAACGACCCTGGGTATGTCGCACTCGATGACTTCTCCCAAGACCAGGTGTCAACAGGTCACGCCAGCACTCTGCGCGATTCAGACATGCACACTGTCGAGAACCAAGCAAAGTACTACTACGCGCGCATCGTCGAAGAGCTGGGCCGCATAGGCAACGCCACGCCCGGTATCGCGCCGTTCAACATCCTAGGTTTTTCCTACGGCGGGCACGTCGCGGTCGAGGTGGCGCGCCTCGCTCAGCGCGAGGGCTGGAATGTCAATCTCTTCGTGCTTGACTCGTCGGCGCATCCTGTGGATGACGCCGCGCTGACGCAGGCGAAGATCGATGAGACCGTGCTCACGGTTCTTCCGATGGCAATGGGTGCCATTGGGTTGCAGTTGGGAGACATGGGTGGGCAAGGCGTGCGCCTGGAGCACGATATCGAAGCCTGCGCCCTCGCTAACTTCCGCGCTCTCTACGTGCATGCGATGCCGCGGTACGAGGGGCACGTCACGCTGTTCCGCACGGAGTCGAACACGGACCACGGACTAGTTCCGCTCGTTAGCTCGTTGGACGAGGTCGTCTTGCACGGTAATCACTACCGCTTGCTCGAAGAAGAATCTGGGAATTTGTCTGTGATTGGTGCCAAAGTTTCTGCTGTCATCAGCGCATAGATCTCGTCGTTTTTGCTCAGCTTTTGTACATCTTGCAATTGTCATGTCACATCGTTCTTCGTATAATTCAACATCGAGGTCATCCTCGTCGAGACCCAGTTAGTTAATCCTGGGAGAGACCGGAGGAACGTGGGAGAGTGAACGATGAAATATATGGCCCGGCGGCTCAGCACCCGTCTGCCGGCATTGAGGAGCACGACTTTGTTCTCTTTTGTTCCTTGATTCGAAGTGCTACCAACGTAGGGTATTAATGTACAGACCCCCTTAGTTGGGTTTCACAAGAAACCGGCATGGGACGAGCCTACGGGATGGGAGCCGATCTATTTCAAGTTATAAGACATGTTTCATGGCCAATCTGCGTCATCAGCAGAAAAGCCGTCCACCCCTACAGCCACCGTGAACTAGCTCGAATCCATCCCACTAGTCCAAAGCAATTCTCAGATTATTTCGCCAGCTTATTTCTCAGGTGCCGGCTGAGCGCTGAGCGCTGAACAGTGGCACAGCGTGATGGGAGATAACCAATATTCCGCGTGCATTCTCAAGGCTACCTGCCAGATTGAGAGGCTTTCATGCGACTTCGAGTGCGCTAGCTGCTGAGGCCAGGGAGCTGGCACCCCTCCTCCCGTGCACATCGACATTGTGGCGTTAGCCAAATGAAGGGAACGTCCAACCCTTCCTTGCCATAGCTCTTTCTTTGCTCGCCTGGTTGGCCGAGGATGCAGTCACGGAAACCGCGGCGCTGCTCACTGGGGATGGGCGAAGAGGCTCCTACAATGCGAAGACCCTCACATTCGGTCTCCTTCTGACCACTGCGCCGGAACGAGGTAATGTTACCCGCTGTAGTGCTTGTTAGCCCACGTACTGGTGACTCAGATGTATAGCTGTACTGTGCTCGTCAGTTTGCTGACTGCCCGCTGATCTGCTCTTAACCCTACACGCGTGTTCAGATTGTTCGAACCCTAGGCTGTCTCAGTCTACCCCTAGCCAAGCCATCATGCCATCACGCTGTGCCGCAGTTCGGCCGGCGCCATGCTGGCGAAATAATCTGAGAATTGCTTAGGGCTACTATCCGGGCGATTTGGGCAAAGTTTTGGAGGGCTTGTACGGCCATCTGATACAAATGTCGGGGATCCCTGTTTCCACAAGTAGATGTGTAACCATACTACATAAAGGAACGTTGGACTTCTCCTCTAACGCACCGCCTCTTGCTCACCCCCCTACAGAGCGATGATTTGGTTTCCTGGCCCACATGGAGCGAGCAACAACATGCTGAAAATACCGCTATTGCTCATCTCGACATCTCTTGTAGTGTACGCTCAGACACCGCCCAAGGGGCCGCCCCCGACTGCGGAGGAGCATGAGAGGTATGGAGGCAGCGACTGGGTCGGGGAGAGTTCTGTGCCACTTGGTATTAAGGTCAGCCGGTAACACATGTGGGTACCACGACGTACTTATGCGGACACCATTAGGCGGGCTACTGTATCAATGCCCTATGCGAGTCCGCCGTCATCCTCTCGGAACACTTCCCCTCAACGCTGGTCGCACAGCGCGCGCCGTATGTCATCCGCGACTCGCGCCAGCTCTCACACAACATACGCATCACACCGGCGTGGCTCGCAGGGTGTCTACTCCTGGGCGCTGGCGGCGCACTACGCCTCCTCTGCTACCGCACGCTTGGCAAGTTCTTCACGTGGAGGCTCGCCGTCAGGCGGGACCATGAGCTCGTTACGAGCGGGCCGTACGCGTTCGTCCGGCACCCGAGCTACCTCGGGAATGTGTTGATCAGCGTCGGTGCGATCCTGGTCTACGTCAGCCCGGGCGGCTGGTTCCATGAGTGTATCGGATGGGACTCGCTGTGGAGCAAGGTGTTCACCGTCGTGTGGTCGGCAGTATCGCTTTCCATTCCGACGATGCTAGTACAGCGGGTGGAGAAGGAAGACGAGGTGCTGAGGAAGGAGTTTGGGGAGCAGTGGGACAGATGGGCGGAGAGGACACCGTATAAGATCTTTCCATACATCTACTAATAACTTGAAGCCGTATGCTCGTGTTCGATGCGACAGCTACCAACGTATCACGATAATCGATACCAGAGAACGACGCGTTTTGATCGCACCAGAGTCTGAGTCGAGGGGCTAAGCAGCTCAAAGGAGGTGCCTGCTGCGCACACTATGACGATCTACTCACAGATGTTCAAAAGCTGGTCTGCGACCTATCGTGTCCAGCACAGAAAGCCGCAGAGACCCAAGGGACATGTCTCCACTACCAGTGTTTGATTAGGAATTCGCCTGCGGCAGCCTAAATTCCCGCAACTCGTCATTTGATGTGCGGTGACTGCTGACGTCGGAGGCCATCCCTTGCAGGAGTCAAAGACATGGCTCCCCAGAGTCGATGCTCGCCGACATGCGTCTTCAGGTGCCGCCAAGGGACATCGAGTCAGCACTATGAACAACACGGCGGCTCGCTCTCGACGCGTCGACGCAGTAGCATCCTGTTATCAGCTCAGGCTGTTGATGAAGGCACGGCCTCGGCTCTGAAAGCTTGCGCGGGCAAAACGCGACGAATGCAAAGACGAGAAACACTGTGGTGATCGAGAACGTGCGGGCTTTGCGTCAACTCGGAGCGCCAGATGAAACATAAATAAGACTAAATATCTTACCAAGGCGGGCCAGACTCTGAACAAGAGTAATGCAAATTAAGATTTAAGATGCTTGACATACGACCAGGTGCCGTCGGCCCCGTTGTCATCGATGTTCTCTGGCATCACAGTCTCGAGCAAGAACGTCATGGCGCCAGGTGGAGCAGATCGACCCGCCGGTGAACCGATTTGCCAGAGCAGGAATCCGAGAAGTTCGCTTCAGGAGCCAAGTAGGCGACGAACAGGATAGAAACAGCGGAGAGTAGCTTTGTGAAGGTATGCATGGCCGCTGTGGGGAGGTTAATGTGGAGAGACTACTGTGTATAGAAAGCCCAGAGCACTGGAAGACTCCGAGGACATTGCCCGTGTTTTGGACTCTAGAGATGTGCTTTAAGCATGCTACAGCCCACTAATATTTGCTAACTTTGATATCGAACCCGCGAGGATACGTTCATTCGGCCCATTGTTGCATTGCGCTAATGGAGGGACAGAGACGGGCGGGCGCAGCCACGCAGGGATACAACGGCGAGGGGACTGCATTCTGCGATGTACGCCACAACACCCTGGTACCCTATCCGCGGACCCAGTCACCGACTAGTCAAATAACATGGATTTTCTGAGGATATCCTGGCAAATTTATAGACTCACGGCGTCATATTCAAGTTCCTGACTCGAATACACCGTCACGGATACGCGTACCTAGGCACAACGAGCTCCTGCGGAGACGACGACGAGAGCACCTTGCGTGACGATACGCCCTAACATGCACGGTGCACTCCCATCATCCATGGGTAAAGAAAGCTATCCATGAAGGAGCACCACCTGCTGGAGATCGCATAGGAGATGTGCTTCCCATACGGCGTGTGCCGGCAGTGCCGGAGCGCTGGAGAGAACACAAATAGGACCAAATATTCATACGAGACTCCGAACTATGCCAATGCATACTTCCACAGTCGACCGTGCCTACGCTGTGTTTGCCAGGGTCAAGCTTAAGATGACCCATTTGTCAAGATGAAAAGTGTGGTGGACGATCTTCAGGGCGCGGCTGCGTGCCCCCGGCTCCGGATAGCTCACTAAGTGCGGACAAGTGTTGCGTCCGAGCGTGCAAACGACTGGCGGTCTTCGCCAGCTTCTAAGATGCTATGCATTGCTATGTGAAGGCGTGTCTACAGGTGTATACGTGTCGAGATGTCCATTTGTTTTTGCTAGAGTTTGGCGATTTTACGGCGCAAGTCAAGCGCGACACGGGCGAGCAACGCATATCTTCTGGCTTGCCCGCATTCGTCCATAGTCCAGGAATGTCTCAATAGCGTCAGTGCCAAAGACGAGCTGCAATCCTCACCATGTCGTCATCGGAGATGTTCGAGGTCGTCATGGTCAGGCTGGAGAAGGCGCGACTTGACTTAGTGAGTTCCCGTAAACTTTGCGTTACGCTTCTTGTCCGCGGGCATGTCCCAGCCGACGCATGAAGACAAAATCGATGTTGAATTATTATGCAGCAAGATGTACAAAAATGAGTGGAGACGACGAAGCCTATGCGTTAAGGACTACGGAAACTTTGGCACCAATCACGGACAAATTCTCAGATCCTTCTTCGAGTAGACGGAAGTGATCCCCGCGCAACATGACCTCGTCCAACGAGCCAACCAACGGGGCGAACCCGTGGTTTTCATTCGACTCCGCGCGGAACAGCGTGACGTGCCCCTCGAACCGTGGCATCGCATGCGCGTAGAGCGCACGGAAGTTGGCGAGGACGCGGGTCTCAATGTCTTGCTTCAGGCGCACGCCATGCTCGCCCATGTCGCCGAACGGCAGCCCGATGACACTCATCACCGTCGGAAGGATGATGAGCGAGGCCTCGTCCACCTTCGCCTGCGTCTGCTCGATCTCGCGCGCGGGGTGCGCCCACGAGTCGACCACGAAGAGGTTGACGATCCAGCCGGCGCCCTGCGCGAGGCACGCCACCTCGAACGCGACATGCCCGCCGTAGGAGTAGCCTAGGATGTTGAACGGCGCGCTGCCAGGCGTGGCACTGCCGACACGGCCCAGCTCCTCGACGATCCGTGCGTAGTAATACTTGGCCTGGTCCTCGACGGTTTGCATGACAGAAGCGCGAAGATCGTTGGCGTAGCCTGTCGACGGTCGGTCCTTGGGTAAGTTGTCGAGAGCGAGATATCCAGGATCGTTGAGAGCGACGATGTTGAATAGTTCGGTAGAGCGCGAGAGGGCGGAGAATGTGAAGCTGAGACCGGTGACCATGGGAATGCAGAACAAGAATGGCCTGTGAGGTTCCTCAGAGAAAACGAGCACCGGGGGTATCTCGAACTTGGCCGATGCTGGGGTAGTCGTTGTTGTCGTTATCGACGGCTGAGGAGACGTTTTGTCAGAAATCAGTTTCCTGATCTTCTCTGCCATTTTCTGGGGCGTGGGCATGTTGAAGACATCCATCAGAGCGAACGGAATAGCGAAAGCTTCTTGTATCCGGAACGCCAAACGGGAGGCAAGGAGTGAATGACCGCCCGCGTCGAAGAAGTTCGAGGTCCGGCGGATTGGTGCACGATGGAGAAGAGCCTCTATGATCCTACAGAGGCGTTCCTCGACCTCATCCTCGGGTTCGTCAGAAGCATTCTCCTCTTCTGTGATGTTGTTGAGCATGCTGTCGGCATCAACAGCGGCGCGGGCTCGGAGCTGGGGACGATCCACCTTGCCGTTGGGCGAGAGAGGAAGGGTCAGGATCCAGCACACGAGGTGGGGGATCATGAACGATGGAAGGACTTCGCGCAGCGTCTCGAGTAGCCGCGATGAGAGAGCGAGGGACTCCGTAGGCGATACTGGCGTGGTGGCGACAGCATATGCGACAAGCAAATCGCTCTTGTCCTTGTTAGATTTGAGATGAACGACCGCAGCGTCGTTGGCCAAGCCGGATCGGAGAATGGCTGCCTCGATCTCTGAGAGCTCCAGACGCTGCCCGCGGATCTTGATTTGTCCAGCGTTCATCCTCCCAGCGAAATGTAGCTGTCCGCCTGGGCCCCATCTCACAGCATCTCCCTGTAGACGAAGAATTAGGCGAGCGTAAGAAGAGCGTGGAAACAATGGCGTACCGTACGGTAATACCGAGTAACACCCTGATTGAGTTCGTCGAATCCGAACTCGACGAAGGCCTCGGCAGTCTCTTTGGGCCTCTTCAGGTACCCTGGACCGACGCCAGCACCGCCAATGATCAGCTCACCGATGACACCGGGTGGCACCAGGCGGCCGTTTGTGTCGACGACGAGAACTTGAACAGTTGACATCGGTCGGCCTATGGGCACCGGTCCAGATATGGGCATGTTGGGAACATCAATCCAGAACCCGGTGGCGAAAACACAAGTCTCCGTCGTGCCGTAGGCACTGAAGAGGCGGATGGACGGGTTGACAGATTTCACCCTTTGCAAATCCTCGTAGTAGAAGGCTTCTCCGCCAACTTGGAAAAGGCGAAGACTGCTGAAAAGCTGGGGTGCAAGATCGAGAGCTTGGCGGAAGAGCGCGACAGACATGAAGCAGCCGGTGATACTCCAAAGCTGGAACTGCTCGGCCAAAGCGACCAGGTCCAGGACGTCGTACCGATTGAAACAGACGACTGTAGCACCTGTTAAGAGCGTGCACCAGATGTCAATGATGCTAGCGTCCCATGCGAGGTTGTTGATCATCGCAATCTTGTCGCCAGCCTGGAACGGGTAAACGTTCGTGTCCGAGACGAGTGCAATCACCGAGGACTGCATGACGACCACCCCCTTCGGCACACCCGTGCTCCCAGATGTGTACATGACGTAGGCGGCATCCGAGCGAGGGGCGCAGTCGAAGTCGACGGGAGAGGTGAGATCGATGTCCGTAAGGAAGTCGGAGACGTCGAGACGAGTGACACCTTCAGCGTTGTTGGCGAACTCCGGCGAGTCTGAGGTCGTGATCAGCAGTCGCGCACCGCTCTCACGCAAGAGCATCTCAAGTCGTTCAGGAGGGTATCGAACGTCCAAGGGAACGTATGCGGCTCCAGACTTGACGATGGCGAGGATGGATATGACAGCGAGCGCTGACGGGGGGACACACACTGCTACAAATTCGCACGCGTCTCTTGAAGCCTGCACGATCTTCTGTGCCAGCAAGGACGAGGCCGTGTTCAGCTGCCTATACGACAGCAGAACTTCTCTGTCCTGTAGGGCAAGCAAGTCGGGGTGCGCGTTCACAGACTTCTTGAGAGCGTCAACGAGGGAAGATGACGGTGGAGGTGGGGGCGGGGCAAGTGGGACACCAAATCGTTCCAGGTGTTTCGCCGAGTGCTGGAACGGAATCTCCTCGACCACCAGGTCAGGACGGAGAAGGAGGTTCTCGAGAATGTCCACGAGGTTGTCGCAGAATGCTTCAATGGTGCCGAACCGGAAGAGGGATTGGTCGTAGATTAGCTCGCAATCAGGCTTCTTGAGATCGCCGTAGCGGAGCTCAAGATCGACTAATAAGCTAAAAGAACAGAGTTAGTCGATAAGCATGAGTCATAGTGACTGAATGACGAACTCTAGCTCCTTTGACATCGAGATGTTGGTACTACTTGAGCCATGAGAAAGCGCGACGTGAATGACCGACGATGACGAGGACTTCTGTTGTCTCTGCATGGCAGCGGATACATCCTTGATAGACACGCCGGAGAACCTGCATGCTCTCTTCACCGAGGTCCGCGCATCGTCAAGAACAGCCGAGAGTGCGGCATCGCGGTGAACGGCAAGCCGAGCCGGAACGATATCCACCGACTCGCTCGTCACAAGCCCTGAGCACGGAGGTCAGCTTATTATCGGCACGCCAAGATATAAATGAATGCACCGATTGTGATGTCTTCTTGACGAGTGTATCGGTGGTTGAGCACAGAGAGTGCAGTGAAGTGCAGCGCGAGAAGCTCCTTCTCGCCCATTGACGAGGCCTGAAGCGCATCGCAGGCGCTTGGCGGCAGAACGAAAGAATGCGTCTCTCGTCGCGGGGACGCACTGTCCGGGCATCTGGGCAAGTCGGGAGGGAATTCGCAGGGGACATAATCGCGCAAGTACGCTGTCACGTCAGATGGAGTAGGTTGGCGAAGCCTCGAAGACTGCGATGGATCGATAGAGAAGTGTACGTCCTCGACGACTTGGTATAGAACCTCGTTGATCCGATCCGTCAGATCGACAATGGTCTCTTCCTTGAACAAATCGGTGCTGTATACAAACTCGGCGTGCAGGGTGTCGTCCTTAGGGAAGAAATGGATTTCCATGTCGAACCTCGTCAGCTTCATATCGACCCGCGCAACAGAAGCATGTATGTCCCCCACGGTAAACGGAGCAGTCTTCACAGTCTGGTACGCGAGGACGATGTGTGCCAGTGGGTTACGAGTGAGCTCACGATTTGGATTGTGAATCGAGACGATCCGCTCGAAGGGCATGTCCTGATATTCGAACGCCGCCAACGATAGATTGCGCGCTTGCTGAAGGAGCTCCAGGAACGTCATGGAGGGACGTGCTTTCAGTCGGAGGATCTGCGTGTTGACGAAGAAACCGATAAGCCTCTCTGTCTCGGGTCGATTGCGATTGGCTATCGGGAAGGCGAAGGAGGCGTCTGTTTGGCTCGTGAGCTGGAACTGGACAACGCGGAAGACGGCCGAGAGGAGCATGAACATCGTCACACGTTCCTTTTTGCAGATTTGTTCCAGCCCGGTGAGCAGCTCTGCGGAGAAGTGAGCGTAATACGTCTTCCCCTCGTGGCTAAGGTGCTGGGGCCGTGGGAAATCCATCGGCAGTTCTGCGGGCTGACTGCCTCTGAGCTGCTTCGTCCAGTACTCGGCCTGAGGCTTCAGCAGATGCTCAAAGTCTTCCGATCGTTGCCATTGTGCGAACTCCTTGTACTGGATACCCAGCGGGGCAAGAGGATGGTCTTTACCGGCCTCGAAGGCGGCGTAGATCTCGGACAGCTCATGATGAAGAACGTCAAGGGAGAAACCATCGACCACGATGTGATGCATGCACACAAGCAGGTAGAAGGACTCCTCCGAGAGCTTAAACAAAGTTGCGCGAAGCGAGGGTTCGGTGTCGAGCGAGAAGGGGCGCCTGGCATCATCCCTCATCAACGCCTTGATGGTCTGCTCGTCGGTATCCGCGGCCAGGGACACGATCTCGAGACGGGGACAAAAGTCGACCACATGAGTAGCTGGCACGTGGTCAACCTCGACGAAGATGGTGCGAAGAACCTCGTGGCGAGAGACGATTTCTTGTATGGTACGCTCGAGGGCATTGACGTTGAGACGGCCTTCCAGCTTGAGGGTGTAAGGACTATTGTAGCAAATGTCCTGCGAACCGAAATAGGCCAGCTGCGAGAGGAACCAGAGTCGGTCTTGAGCAAAAGATAGGGGGTAGTACGTTCCGTCAGATGGCGCCGCGATTCGCATGGAGAGCTTGTGCGCTGAGCCGGACGCGACGAGTTCTCGGATACTGGCCGCGAGTCCCCTGGGGCTGGAGTGGGCGAAGATCGTCCTCAGTGGGATAGCGACGAGGAACTGTGATTCGAGCGAGGACTTGAGGCGCGTCGCAAGCAACGAGTGGCCTCCGATGTTGAAGAAGCTCGCGAGAGGCGAAACTGCTTGGAGTGACAGGAGGTCGCCGAAGATCTTGCACAGTTGAGCTTCCATCTCGTCCGCAGGCGCAACATCTTGTGCGTTCCCAGCAGCCCTACGAACACCACGGCTGGCATCCTTCTCTGCCATAGCCGCCAGCTGCCGGCGATCAAGTTTCCCGCTGGTCTGGAGCGGAAGATGGAGGACCGAGAAGACCAGGTCAGGGACCATGTAGGACGGCAGCGCGGCCCTCAGTCGTTCGAGGACATCGTCCTCCAGCTGCATTCTGAAGACCAGCTCTTGCAGCTTAGAAGCGGCAAACGGAGAGACGAGCGCGTCGTCATACTCGATGGTCTTGAACGCAACAGGGGTACAGGTGTCGAGGGGTCCCTTGACGAAGACCGCATCAAGACTCGTCGTCTCCTTCTGGCGGGCGACGCTCAGTTTGACCGTCACTCCGTACTGCTCTGCGAGTTGCTCCAGGTCCCATGCAGACCAGCCTCTCGCGGCTGCGGCCCCCATATATGGAGGAAGTACCGACGCAAGATTGGAGAAGCGGTCTGGCGAAGAGGAGAAGATGACAGTCGCCGCTGCGAGCTCCCAAGACAGGAACCGATTCGGGATGCATTCCACCGCCAAAATGTTCTCGTCGCCGGCGACAAAGTCCCGCAGGGCATCTTCGAGGTCCGAGTCCTTCCATCGCAGCGCTCCGTAGTCGTGCCAGGTAGATGGAACAATCATGGGCAGCTCCTGGTTGACGTGGAGGATGACTTGGTACCGGAACTGGCTGAGCTCGTTGCAGTACTCGATCGCCTTCGGCACAATCTCGACATGCGCTATGGCGGGGATGGTACGGCGGAGGCTCGTGAAGAACGAAGGGTCAACCAGCAGCTCCGACCGATACTTTGCGCGGCCGAGGATCTCGTCACGAAGATCCTGGAGCGTCCGTGATCCAAGCTCGTTCCGCCAGCGGTGGATGGCAATGTCAAGATCCAGCAGACTGCCAAAGGGAAGGCTGCGCACGTCTCCGATGAGAACACGAGCCCCAGGGGCACACTTGCTGACGATGTCGACGATGGCCTGGTGCAGGTAGGCTTCTGACGGGAAGTACTGGACGACGGAGTTCACGAGCACGAAGTCCGCCTCGAAGGCGGGCAGCCCGGAGATCTGATCGGCAGTGGCATGCCAGACCGAGGTCTTCTCGTCCAACTTGAGACCTTTCAGCTCGTCCTCGAGACGCTTGACAGCATCTGCTGAGGGCTCGATAGCCCACATGCGGTCGACAGAGGGAAGGATCTGGTGGAGGAAGATGCCGATGCCACAGCCGACTTCGAAGGCAGTCCGTGGGCGTTGCTGGTGGAACGGCCGAAGGGTGTCATCGAGCCATGCTGGTAGGTAAGCGAGTTTCGTCAGATTCCTCAGATGCTCAAAGTGCTGTGCCAAAAGGAGCCGACTGACCGGTCATCTCAAGCTTGGGGATGGGTTCTTCGGTGATCATGCTGTCCCATCCTGAAAAATCTGCGCGTGCTTTCGCTCTGAGTTCGAACTAGGATTAGCGAAGAAGATATGCTTAAGAGGTGGAGAAAGCTCACAGATCATACGCGGCATACATGCCGTCATACACATCTCTCCATACCTCCACAATCTCAGAAGCGTCGTTTGACGCTGCAGCCGCTGTATCATGATCTCTGACTTGATCTTCGGGCTTCTGCTCATCCTTGAAAACGATATATGCGATCAGGCTAGGGTTGTTGCCATCGGTCGGTTTGTGATAGCTGACGCCGGCAGCGGTGACAAGCTCAGTGCGGAGAATGGCCGCCTCAATCTCGCCCAGCTCCAGCCTCTGCCCACGTATCTTGATCTGCCCGGCATTCATCCTGCCCGTGAACTGCAGCTGTCCGTCGCACCAGCGCACGGCATCGCCCTGCAAATATGCGAGTATAAGTCAGCCCATGCAACGAATTCACAAAAGTTGCTGCGCACCGTGCGATAGAATCTCGTGTTCCCGGAGAGGCCATCGAAGTGCAGCTCGACGAACGCGCCCGCAGTCTCGGCGGGACGGTTGAGGTAACCCTTGGCAACGCCCTCGCCGCCGACGACCAGCTCGCCGATGACGCCCGGCGGCACGAGACGCCCATAGCGATCAATGACGAGCGTCTGACATGTCTTGAGGGGACGGCCGATGGGCATGGGCCCCGCGACCGGCACGTCGTCGTCGCCGGGCAGAACATCGAAAGTCGACGCCATGACGCACGCCTCGGTCGGACCGTACGCGTTCGTGAACGCGACGTGCGGGGCCGCCGCGCGCGCCTGGCGAAGCGTCGCGTAGTCGAGCGCCTCGCCGCCGGTCAAGATCTGCATGAGCTCGCAGAAGACGTCCGGGCATGTGGCCGCGAACTGGCGGAAGAGCGGGGTGGGCACGAGACAGCCGTCGATGTGCGCCGCACGGAAGCGCCGCGCGAGTGCTGGCGGGTCGAGCACGTCGAAGCGGTCGAAGCACACGAGTGTCGCGCCGAGCAGGAACGAGGCCCACACGTCGATGACGCTCGCGTCCCAGGCGAGATTGTTGACCTGCGCGACGCGGTGTCCTGGGCCCCACTTGAAAACGTCGGTATTGGTGGCGAAGGCTACGACGGAGGACTGCTTGATGAGGACGCCCTTCGGCTTGCCAGTGCTGCCACTCGTGTAGAGCACGTAGGCGATGTCATTTGAAGATTCCGCTGGCGAGACAGATCCGTCGCGGTCCTCGGGGACAGACGCGGCAACGAGAGACTTCCAGCCATCGAGGACGTTGGTGACGTCCAGGTGTGCGATGCGCTCACGATCGAAGCCGAACGAAGGCGATGCTGAGGTAGTGATGACCAGAGATGCGCCAGAGTCTTGAATCAACGACTCGAGACGTTCTGCGGGGAAGCGTACATCAAGGGGCACATATGCCGCGCCGCTCTTGACGATAGCGAGGATGGTCAGGATGGCGATGGCTCCAGGAGGGATACACAAAGATACGAAAGCATGCATTTCTTGTTGCTTCGTGGCCTCTAAGATCCGCCGGGAGAGGTCAGAGGTCAGGATGTCGACTTCGCGGTATGTGAGAGTGAGATTTCCATCAATGAGTGCCGGGAGGTCATGATGAGCGGCTACCACGTCTGAGAAGGCCTGGGTGAGCGTGGGGCGTGGCTGTGGGGGGACTGGCGCCGGGTCCACAGGAATGTTTGCCGCGACGAGTTGGTCAAGAGCATGAGAGAACGAAATGTTGTCGACTGTGTGGTCGGGGGTGGTGACGATAGCCGTAAGCACGTCAATGAGGTTGTCGAGGAGGGCTCGGATGGTGCACGGTCTAAAGCGAGTCGAGTCAAAGCTCACGTCCACCCGCACACTGTTTGCAGTAGAACAGGCGTTCCAGACCATGGCGAACAGGCTGCCGACGATTGGTTAGTGATATTGACGTCGGTATATTCTGCGGAGCTCACCTGTCTGCGGTACCGATGACGGGAGCATCGCTGAGATGCACGAGTACAGGAAGGACAGCACCGCGAAGGCTGTTCCTGTTGGCGATAAGCTGGGGTAGAGCAGACTCGAACGGCTGCGCGTGGAGCTTTAGGGACGACACAAGCTGATGGGTAGTGCGAACGACGTCCGCAAACCTGTCTTCGTCTTCAACCTGCAGGCACATGGCCAGAGGCTCTCCGAGACCGTCACAGGTGCTGACACCTAAGAACTTGTTCAACTAGACGAACGGCAGATTGTAAGCTATACAAACTCGTACCGATGGCGGCGCGGACTACGCCAGAGCAGCGGAGATGCAGGATGCGAATGGCCGCGAGCAGAATCTCGTGCAAAGAAGCGGAGACTTGGTCGCCGAAGGCGACTAGCTGGGCATGCAGAACGGAGGCGATGGTCGTGGATTCGACCGCGCCGGTGAGGAAGTTCGCATGGGAAAGGTGGTTGTCGGCAGAAAACTCGACGGGCACGCAACCGTCAAGAGCTCCGAAGGCAGTATCAGGCTGAACACCAAGAACGGGCTTTCCGGGTCGATCTCCCATGGTCGTAGGGAAGCGCGAGTGCGACGTCGAGAGAGAACCTGGTAGGTAGGATAGTTCAAGTCTGGGGATCTCAGTGGCGCGTAGTTTGGCACTAGGGCACCCGAGCTAAGGTAAGAGTACACTAAGCACGATCCTTATGTACTGTCCTGGAGCCCCAACCATCATCCAAAGCTGCCTACTGGGTATTTGCGGCGGCAGGGATGGAATAGCAGCCGTCGGTGTCGAGGAGCGCTGCCAGTGGCTCGGGAATCAAAGGCATCCGAAGTAACAGAAGCCACATGCATGAACCCTGAACAGTTGGAATTATTGCGAGTACCGACGTCAGCAGGCTGTAGCGAATACAAGACCGTGACAGCGGGACGAGTCAATGTGCGAAAATGATACTCACTGACGCTCGTACCCTTGTCGGACTGCACGTGAGCAGGGTCCGTAACGCGTCTGTCGATCTTCCACAACGGCGCCGTTGACATGCTGGACATGTCGGGCATGCTTGTACGGGAAATATATTCTGCGAATCTCTGCAAACCCATACAAAGACGCACTCACTTTAGGGCTTTATGTAAACTAACGAGCCGCTGTCGTGCACGTTTCCACAGCACAATGCAATGCAGTACCCCATGTGCTGTCATCTTCCATTAGAGGCGTTCAGAGTGCTAGACTCTGAGGCAAATCCTGATGCGATTTCGCCAGCTTGCTTATGCGATTTCAGAGCTTAGACCGTACACCAAATTCCTGCTTAATATCGCGAACACCTAACGCGCTCCCCGCAGAGATTCCGACCGTATCCTAGCATTGCACGTGCTGGATTGACCGCCCCCAGGCTTACGATTTTTTCAATCTCTTTTACGAGAATTGAATGCTGAAGGTGAGTCAAGGTGTGTGCACGTTCGTGCCGCACGCATAGCTTTTGTCTGTTTCCCCACGCTTTAGAGTATGTAATAATTACACTCGCATGTACTAACTACTCCTTACTCGTTTGTGTTAAAATAAATTGGGGAGTCGGCGCGTGGGGCGTGTAATGCACCTATTCCCGTCGTTGTACGCCCCCACGCCCCGGTTCGCCAAGTCATTTCAACAGCGGCATGCTCCCACAATGCTATATTCCCTTGTAGTGTTACTGTGCCGATTTTTTTTAACTGCCATGACCTTGTATAACCCCAGCAGGACAGTGGCGGTGGCATTGATGACAGGTGACCTCTGGCAGTCACCGCAAAGCCGCAGCAACCGACACAAGTTAACCGACCTCTGAGGGTGTGCCGTAGGCTCCAATTTGTTGAGTTCCGTCCGTAGCATGCCCGTAAGAAAGCGGCGAGCTGGGGTCCCTGCACCCTCATGACTGCCGCTCAGTGAAGGATCAATTACGTGTCAAAAATTTCATCATAATGCATGCGACGTCCAATCGTACCATTCTCAACTTCCTCAGCTCCACAGTACGCTCGTGGCTTACTGCTGGCCCGGGCCAATTATCGATGGAAGGCGCTTGTGTTTGTGGCCTCGTTGAGATTTCCCTCTTCGGCTTACTACCCAGCAGCTTCCAAAGTGTGGCAAGGCTCCGTGACAGCTTCTGATAGACCTCTAAACCTGCTCTTAGAATGTGACAGGAGCTCCCACGCAAAAGATCTAGATGTAGATAGAGCGTGTGGCGCATTGAGCAATGATTTCCTCGGAGCTAATGGACGTCCAGCTCACAGACGTTTCCGGAGCTAGCTTGTGCGGACGACAGCGTTGGTCGTTGTGGCGTTGGCGTGGTGTTGGTGTGCCGATGGCGCTGCTGACTGCTACTCCGTTCCTCAAGCGTCGCCTGCGGTGGGATTTCTAAGGGAGGCCAAAGCTCCGGGAAGCGACTAAGCCGCTGGACTAAATTAGCGCTTCATCAAAAGATGGTTGGAGTATAGTTTATGAGTCGTCGATCGCTCATGCAGAAATGCAAGCGAGAATCGGAAGACTTGCACACAATAGACTTCAGGAATAAACCTATTCCGCATCTCCTCAATGTCAGCAGTGTCGGCCAATTGGTGGTTTGAGCGTTTTGCAATAAGCTTGACGGTAGGCGGGAAGGGGGAGAGCAGAAGCCTTGGACATGTGAGCGCGTTCGACCTCTCTTCATTTCTCTTCCCCGCCTAAGTGCTGCCAGCTCACCGTCATGGATGAGGCCACAAAGCCGTGCATGTCTGTTCACTTCTAATCTCTCCGTCCTTAGCCGACTGGCGCAAATGATTGGCGCGCGTCATCGGCAGCTCGGCAAGCGGCGGGCGGGTGGCCCCTTCAACCCTAAGCGCTAAGCGAGGGCTTCGAGAGCCTCTCCGGTATCTTGTCGGCCATGCCGCGCGTCATGACAAGACTGATCAAGTATGTGCGCCAACCTGCCCGGCGTTACGTGAACAGAGTTATGCACGCTACACCCAATCACAAACGAGCGAGAGCTCCCCGGGATCGCGAGCAAATTTTGGTAAACTTCCGTCTTCTCTTCCTCCGCTCTCCTCTCTTGGTTCCTCGCCGCCTGTCACTGGACCCTTGGCACGCATGGCGTGTTGGAAATGCCTTGGAGCCTCGCTGCAGTCTTGGAAAGGCGTTACCCTTTGTGGCGATAGGCAATACTTGTCGCAGCTGGAAGGTAAAGGTCCTGTATAGTGGCAGAGATCCTTGTAATGATTAATCACTGCTAGCATGGGGCACGCCAGAATAGCTGGGGGCGAGGCCAACCCTTTCCCCGCCAGAATTGAATTGAACCGAGAGTTGAGCAGCCCCAAGGCCCATGTTTGACTCCAGTCACTCGCGCCCCTTATAAGGCGACGGGAGTCAAGGTGGTTCTCGACCGCATTGCTCACCATGTCCGACGCCTTTCCCGCTCCTGCTCCACCTTCGCTTCCCACTTTTGCCAACCTCGGGGCCTCGCCGCCCAAGGATCCTGACGTGCGAGCCATTGGCACCGACTGGCTCACCGGCTTTGCCACTGCCGTCGACAGCCGCGAAGTCCACCGCCTCGTCTCCTCGTTCCTGCTCGCGGACCCGTGGTGGCGCGACGTCTTCGCGCTCACCTGGGATCTCCGCACCTTTTATGGCCGCGCCAAGGTCGAGACGTTCCTCAACGACCGTCTCGCCGAGGCCGGTTTCGGCAACGTCGCCTTCGCCGACGCCATCTACCAGCCCGCCGGGGTCGACCTCGCGTGGATCCTCGTTCACTTCACGTTCGAGACCACGGTTGCCCTCGGCAAGGGTGTCGCACGCCTCGTGTACTGCCCAGACGACTCGTGGCGCGCCGTCACGGTGTCGACGCACCTCGACGCGCTCAAGGGCCATCCGGAGCTGACGAGCGCGGACCGCGACCCTCGAATCAACCAGGGCGACTGGGCCGAGCGGAGGAGGAAGGAACTCGAATTTGCGGACAAGGACCCTGAGGTGCTGGTCATTGGCGGAGGCCAGGCAGGTCTTCAAACCGCAGCTCGGCTCAAACACCACAAGGTCAGTCATCTGATCATCGAGAAGAACGCCCGCATCGGGGACAACTGGAGGGCGCGCTACGATTCCTTGACTCTTCATGACCCCATATGTGCGTATTATTGTCTATACTCTTCCATCTACACTCATTTCGGGCAGGGAGCAACCATATGGCGTACCTCCCGTGAGTTGAGATTAATGGTGGAGCTCGTGCTCATATCTCATCCGTACACCCAGGTTTCCCGTTTCTTGGCCCGTCTTTCCCTCAGCCAAAAAGGTAAAGCACTCTCTTAGAAGCTTGTTATTCAGCTCACGTGCTTTCGCAACAGTTGGCAGATTGGCTAGAGTTCTACGCCGAAGCGCTAGAGCTCAACGTCTGGTTCTCCTCGGAGGCCATCAGCGCAGTCCGCAACGAAAACACCAACAAGTGGGATGTCGTCGTTCGTCGTGCGGATGGCCTGGAGCGGACGATGCATGTTGACCACATCGTGCTCGCGCACGGGTTCTTGTTCAAGAAGACGGTTTTCCCCGGCCAGGTGCGCACATCTATTATATACATGACATCATCGCTTGCTTACCAGAGGGTCTGTGAACAGGATGACTTCAAGGGGCAGCTCTTGCACTCAAGTGAGTTCAAGACGGCGAAAGGCCTCGAGGGCAAGAAGGTGATCATCGTCGGCGCTTGTTCTTCGGGTTTGTTCCACATTCCTGAGCGCTCTTCCAAGCTCTTAATCTCAATACCCCTGGTGCAGGGCACGACATCGCTTCCGACTGCGCAGACGAAGGTGTTGGTAAGTCGGCAGGACAGCTAATTTGGGGCGCCGTCGGCTGAGAGCCTCGCAGACGTGACCATTATACAGCGCAGCTCGACATGCGTCATGTCCCTCGAGAAAGGTGTTCTCACCACTCTGTCCCGTGAGTTCCATGCCTGCTCCTTGGCGCTCCGGCTGACTTGAGACGGTACTCAGGGGCGGTATGGGAAAAGGGAACGCTCGAGGAGGTGGACAACCACTGGGTATCGACTCCCTTTCACTTCACGAAACCCCTCACGCAGCGCGTGATGGCGTATATTCGGGGCCTGGACAAGTGTGTACCCCTCCGCCATCTTTTCTCTGACGCGTCAGAGCCTCTAAATCCCGCTTGCTAGAGAGCTGCTCGACGGCCTCGACAAGGTTGGGTACAGACTGAACAACGGCCCGGACGACACCGGCGTGGCCTACTCTTTCGCCGAGCGTGGCGGCGGATACTACATCGGTACGTCCTTCGCCTCTCGCGATTTTCGTTTTATTCCTGCGCCTGAGACGGAGAAACACGCACGCCGCAGACACCGGTGCCGGCCAGAAGATCATCGACGGGAAGATCAAGGTCAAGTCCGGGTCTGAGGTGGCCAGGATCACCGAGACAAGCGTCGTCTTCGAGGACGGCAGCGAGCTCCCTGCGGACGTCGTCGTCGTCGCTACCGGGTACGCGCACGCCTTCAGGGGCCCTTGCATGCTTGATTGATGTCCTCGTGCGCAGGTTCGACGACGCCCGCGCGCCGATCCGCAAACTCGTCGGAGAGGACGTCGGGGCGCGAATCCCGCCGATCTGGGGGTTGAACGAGGAGCGCGAGCCCAGAGCAGTCTGGCGCGAGATCGAGGGCCTGCCGAACATGTGGATCATGATGGGTAGGTCGCTCTTCTGTCAGAGCGCGTTATCTTGATGCCGAGATATTGATGCACCTTGCAGGCAACATTTTCCTGAGTCGCTATTTCTCCAAGAGTGTAGCGTTGCGTAAGCGGCAGTTCTCTTCGAGGCTTCGATCTGTGTTGCTCATGGTTGTGGTTTGTAGAGATCAAAGCGAAGCAGGAAGGGCTCTATGGCACGCGCTATGCGGCACTTGCGTCGTGATGATATCATCCAGCCGAGATCTAGCACGACAGACTCTCTATCTCTCAGATATGAGTATATGCTTATGTCATCTACGAATAACTTGCAAGTTCTGGTGGCAGAGAAAGACAGGCACACCCAGATTTCAAGTGACACAGCGCATGCCGAGGATCAACGACCATGGTAGATGCCTTACTACCCACAGTGTATGAGGCAAATGGCTTATGCTTTTCTTCATGCGGCGGCCGTGAGGGGAGAAACAACAACGGCTGGTCAGACAGTATTTGTCCGGTTTTTCCGATGACGCTCAGACCCCATGACCAGCAATTAATATATTGGCCGGCCCTGATTCTCCCAAACAGTAAGTTAGCATAACACCGAGGACTAAGCTGCAAGCAGCAAAGCATGGGGAACCCTAGTAAATCTAAAACAAACATACGAGTCGCGTAGGAGAAGCTGGAGAACATTACCCAGCGTGCTGTACTGTTACGACCAAATAGGATGACACGCGTCACAGAAACCTCATGCGGTAAATCGCTCCTGTCACACGTTACAAGGGGATTTGCCTGAGCAAAATATGAGCTCAAAACTTCACATGCCTCACACCTCACTGTGCAGGCTCACTGACAGGCTATAAAAATGCCACGCAGGCTATCAGTCACCCGGATACCGCCCAAATATTGCAGGTCGCCCCATACTGGTTTGGTCGTCCCATTCGTGTCACAGTCACAAGGCCATCCGGTTTGGTCGTAACGGCACGTATTCGGCCGACTATTCGCCGCAAGATGTCGCGCCTTATGACGAGGCGACGAAACGGCCCAGCCGGTTTCACCGGAAACCCGGTGTGAGACGAGCCAGGACGAGCCTGGGCACCGCGTGTGACGCCGTGATCGCTGCTCTCGAGAAGGGTGAGAGCAGCAATCGGGAGCTGCCTCGATTGGACGACGGTATTGGGCGGAATTTAGCACGATCCCGTCTGAAACGTCGCTTCAGGAACCGCACCTTTTCAGGCCACGTCTGAACACCGCCATCAAAGTCAGTCAAACCTAAACCAAACCTTCGAAAACCCTGATGTGCGACATTTTGAATCGTAACGGCCGCAATCGTGATGAGACCCTCCCCGCCTCGCGAAACTCTTTGCATGATGAAGCACCCAAGGATCGTCATGGCGCGCAGCTGCAGGTGTTTGCTGCACAGGCCTCCGACGTATATAAGCTCGCCCGACCGCCATAGCCAAACCACAGATTCCTCACCTCACTTGATTCGATATATATAGCCTCATAGCTCTTTCTACCCTACATCCTTCATACTGCCATGTTCTTCATTACCTCCTTTATCTTGGCTCTCGCTGCCACCACTGCTGTCTCGATGCCGGCCCCCAAGGAACGTCGCGATGTCCGCATGACCCGTCGCGATGTCCGCATGGCCCGTCGTTCCGCCGGCGGCGCGCCAATTATCACCACCACCACGGCCGGCGCCCAGTTAAATGCGTCTACGGTAAGTCTTCTCTTATGTCTGTGTGTTGCATGTGCTGACAAACTTGATTCCGCATAGGTGCCCTTCACGAACGTCACGGGGTCGTTCGCGATTCCGACGTTTGCTGTGCCTGCGGGCGACGATCCGAGTGACCGCTACATCGCATCCCTCTTAGTCGACCTTGGTTCCGTCAACTGCGAGAACGGCATCTTCGCTGGTATTAACATGGAGATTAAGAATGGTTCACAGTTTATCAATGGTCAGTCCGCGCTCCTTGCGCTCCTGCTCGCATGCTGACAAATCATCTATATTCTCGCAGCCTTTTGGACGAGTTTCCCTAATGGTAGCGATCACTTCTTCCCCAACGTTAGCTTCGCGCAGGGCGACAACATAACGGTTTCCATTTCCATGACGAATGCGACGTCGAGCACGGCGGTCATAACCAACGAGAGCACAGACGAGAGCTCCACCGTGGCCATTGAGACCGGCCCTATTTGCTCGCAGGCGGAAGTAGCATGGGCGCTAGATGCCGAATTGAACGATTCCAATGACATCATCCCTTTCGTCGACTTTGGCACGGTCAACATCACTGCATCTGCCGAGACCTCGTCAGGCCCTATCGACATCTCTAACGCAACCATTATAACCACAGTCCAGAACGGCACTACTGTTGCTTCCGCCTCGCTCGAGGGCGAGATCGTCACTATTGCCCTCGTCTAATGTGGCACAAGGGATGTAGGTTTTGTGGGTCTCGGAAAGTGAAAAGGAGATGGTATACGATTTATTTGGACGTCTCGCATGCTAGAAGGACACATATTTATTTGATATTACTCGTATGACTTAATTATATACCCTGCGTGTAGCTAGAAGGAACCGGTGTTTATCCAACACTACTTGCATCGTTGTATCGGTCCAAGAAACTGCATTGTTACTTAGCGAGTACTAGTGGGCACTCCGACGCCGCCACCATCACATCTGAAAAGAAGGCATGCATCATCAGCGGGACGGCTGGCTACGAGTCTGGCTAGGTGTTTCGTGGTCTTGCGACCGGCGGCAACAATAGGGCGACAACTCCCCCATGCCTTCTGCAACTTATTTGGAACGTATTCTTCGCCTCGCGGTAGATCTCAATGGTGCTCCGAGCAGCATAGACACTGACCGGTGAGGAGAGCGTTTAGAGCCAAGACCATGAAGGCGCCCGTACCGAGGATCATTGCAACAGGCGTCCACTCCATGTCGGCGAGGTCTCTTGCAATTGATATACTTCACGAATTTTTTGTTTACGAATTGCCAGCCTACCAAACTCGTCCGATCTGCCAATGTTGTAGATCTGCTGAGCCTTACAGCTTACGGCCTTGTTCACCACCCATATCCAGTTTCGGGGACCAACGCGCTGATGGCGGGACCCTGAACACTATCAGACGCCCAAATGCATCTCACAGTAGTACGTAACTAATCGGTCGAAGGCTGTGACACTGTTCATCTATAGATGCCCCAAACTGCACCAGATTTTCCGCGCGTATATTTTGTTACGTATACGCTTTACTAGTAGACGAGTATTGGATGCGTAGCGCATTCACGGCGCCCTTTGCCAGCGCCGTATGCTTAACGACTAGTACAATACACTTGTCTACGGTTTTTCCATGGCACACAACAATACATCCGAACCTTCCGCTACTACACTGCCCATGAAGACGACAAAGAAAGTCCAAGTCCGAAGAGTACTAGTATCAAGTCCTCTGCGTCCCATCTGCCTTGAGCGGCCTGACGAGATGCGCGACGACGCCCTGCATCTTGCCGTCCCGGATGGCCTCGTAGATGACGGAGATATCGCCGCCAACCGTGCCACCCTCGATGTCCGGGCCCATCGCGAACCCGTGCAGGTTCTCCGCGCCGTGCATCCGTATCCTGAGCGTGACCCGCACGAACTCGTACACCACACGCGTCCCGCGGCCGAGGTGCCTGCTCGCCGGTGCCGCGCCGCGCGCACCCTCGAGGTACTGCACGCGCAGAGTCGTCAGCGTCTCCGCAGCGCGGCGCGCGAGTTCTGCGCGGAAGCCGGCGATGTGCACGAGTTCGGCGACGAAGGCGGCGTCTGCGGAGAGGAAGTCGACCAGCGGCGTCGTGGTCGACGCAGCGACGCAGTGCATGCGCGCCGTGCAGGCCGCGGTGCTGGGCGTGCTGAGAGCGCGGAAAATGGAGCGCTCGAGGATCGGCACGAGAACGCCCGCGTGCCTGGCCACAGACGGGAAGTGCTGCGGCACAAGCTCACGAACGATGGTCGATAACGAGCATTGAAGGTCGTTGTGCATCGAACGAAGGTCGAGGGCCTGGCACAGCGCCAACAGGTAGCTCGCTGTCAACAGCGAGAGCACGTCAAGCGCGGTGATCGTGTACCGGGCCGAGATCAGCGCAAGCGAGTTGACTGCCTGGTTGTGCATCTCGGCAGATTGGATGTGCGTTGACGCCGGGTTGGCGAGGAAGCCAAGCTCACTGACGTAGGCAGCAGCGTGGATATCGATACCCTTGGCGAAGTAGTTGTGCGACGGGTCCGTCGAGGCCAGGTTGGGCGGCAGCCCGCGGTTCATCGCCGGGTTGATGAGTTCCGTGCACTGTGCGAACAGCAGCTTGCCGATATGGTAAATAGCTAGTCGAGTCTTCTCCATCGCACTGGTGACAGCCATGGCCTGGAAATTCCCACCGTGGTGCACAGTGCCAGTTTCGCCGTCGACCAGAGGGTTGTCCGTAGCTGCGGGTGGCATTCAGCGAGTTTCAGCATAAAAAAAAAGGCCGAAAAGGAACTCACTCGAATTGCACTCCAGCGTGACCGCATCCAGCGCACTGAGGATATCCTCAATTTGCGGGCCAATGAACTGCGCCGAAGTACGAAGCGGGTAGCGGTCCTGACGAAGCTCGCCCTCATCCTCGGCAATGTGGACCTCGTCCTCACGCTTCAGTGCCATCTGCGAGTCCTCGAGGAGTGCCCTGATGTTTCGTGCGACCTCAATCTGGCCAGCGTGCGGACGGGCGATATCATGGATGAAATGATCGAAGGATGCGATGGTGCCGGTCATGGCTTCGGTTCCCATCGCTGTGCAGATCTGCGCGAGCAGCGACAGGTGGACGACCTCATTGAGGGCAAGCGCACCAACGGACGCAGAGAACGCAGTGCCGTTCAAGATACCGAGGTGCTCCTTGGACGAGAGGGAGATCGGAACAACGCCGTGGTTGTCCAGCGCAACGCTCGAGGGAACAATGCGGCGCGCCCCGAGGGATGCAGGGCCGTCATAGACGTGAATCGCCGGATTGCCGATCAGGGTTCCAGCGATGTACGATAGGGGAGACAAATCTGAAACCAGGAGATTGGGTTATCTGCGGACGCCCATGCCTCGGTAGCGCGGACAGGACTGTGTACTGACCTCCGGAAGCCGAAACGCTGCCACGCAGAGGGACTAGCGGCGTAATGTTCTCCCGCAGAAGCTCACCCAGCTTCTCGATGAGCTCCCAGCGGACACCAGAGTGACCGCGGATGAGCGAGTTCATTCGGATAACGATAGCACCGCGGACCCAAGCCTCTGGCATGCTGGTCGTAGCCAGGGGGTCGCCCAGGGGAAGAACCTGGAGCGGAGCCTCTGTTTGCGATGGCAGTACACCGGCCTGTTGGTGTTGGAGAAGCGCATGACCGAGCAGAAGAGGATCGTTTGTGCGGGTGTCGGCTGTGCACACGGTTCCAGATGAGCTGAATACAGGCGAGATGGACGAAGAACCCACCGCTGCCACCGAAGCCTGTGTTGACTCCGTATACGCTGCGCTGAGCGTTGACTTTCCCCACAATCACGCGTCTGCTCTGCAGAACACGCTCACGTGTCTCGGGCTTGTCGTCGAGAGCCACGGCAGCTCCATAGCGAGCAGCGGCTGCCACTGCGGGGATGCTGAGGGCGTGGCCGTCAATAGTCACTGGCTTGCCCTCCCTATGTGTGTATCAGTTCATAGTAAGCACTGGAGCTTGAAGGAAATGGCGGCAGGCACCTGTAGGCTTGGAGTTCGTCGTACGCATCGACGAAGCGGTCCAAGAGACATGGCTTCCTATCTGTTGAAGAAAAGGCATGCCCATTGGATACAACCGAGGAGGTCGAGGGGTACGTAGTAGGGCCCTTGCTGCCGTGGGCGTAGCCATTGCCGTTGGGGGTAGGGTAGCAGTCAACGCGGGAAGACATGGCAGGGGAGATTGGGGCAGGTTAGGAAGGGAAGGCGACGATGTAAGGGCCTGGGGCGCTTCGGGCTGCATTTTGTGACTTTCCGCTGTGATCTGGAGGGGAAGTGGGTTGACGTGGGTTCTAGAGAAATGAGTGCAGGGCTAGGCTACGGTGCAGGCTGCAGAACTGGGGTGGCCGGTATGTGAGGTACGGCCGCTGACATTTCGTAGACTGGTCTGAAGAATCGCTCGCCTCGAGGTCATCGACGCAGGTCTGCAATCGTTCGACTATGCTTCTAGAATGCAATTGTAAGCTGTTCTTCATGCTATGTGTCGGCTGAGTTTGCTGACAGATATTGTTAGACAAGCAAGGCCTGTCAGGTTGGCGCTGTACGCGCTTCTCTTGCACTGTGCTTGCCTGACAAGTAGGCCCGAGGTGTGACTTGATTTTGTGCTGCGCGCAGAGCGCTGTCATGATCCGGGCGTGTGACGCGTAACCGGCCTCCTCGGACAAATCCTGCACCGCTTATAATGAATGGAAGGCAGCAGTTTGCCGAGAACCCTTACGTGCGCTCCGAACTTGACTTACTCATTTGGAGGCGGCTCTGCCAGTGGACCAGCTCTCGGCCTCTGCACTACAGAGCGATCAGGGTGTCGGCAGCGTCCGCGCTTTTTCGAAGCTTGGAAATTACCGTACAGTCCGTCATCAGACGGTTACCCTGCTGACCCAAAGCGAGGGAGTCTGCCAAGGGTCCGTGAGTATCGAACCACGGAAATATGACGACAACTGTCAACGATCGTTCGCAAGGCACAGAGGGTCCTCACACCATCGTTTTCCCAGCCCCGCACATCGTTGGTTCCCGAGCTACTTGCATACTGTAAATGGTTATTCTAGCGGCGGATCAGGCGAAAAGCGAAAAGGACTGCCATCAAATGCCACTAAGTCGGAAAGTGTAAAGCTTTTGCGAACCAGCTGGCTGGGGAAGGGTTGAAAGCTTAGAGCGCTTTAGGCAAAGATGCATCAAGGAGCCATCTTCGCTCGGTAAGCACTTACGTGAAGCACGCGTCCTCCACGAAAAGTGTAGTGATTGGACCTAGCGAGTCCACTGCTCGGCAGACGGCACTGAAACTTTCAAAAGCGTTTTTTGTTCGAGAAAATTTGACCAAGAGTAGTCAAACAAAGCCGTTCTTTTTCCCGGTGGCATGTGGAGACAAGCCGAAGTGGTCTCCGGCGCGGTGCTGGTCAAATAGTACCGACATGAGATAACTTCATCCACGGAAAAATGCAAAGTTTTGTCTCTTATTTCCCCGGTAAGAACTAGAGAAACACAAGCCCTTATCAACCAGTTGTTCACCGATTTTTTTGTGTTCAGTAGAAGGAGATTAAGTAAACAGTTAACAGTATCCAGTCATTCGGATGTGTCTCAACTTGAAGCATGTACTCACGGGCATCTAGTCGAGCATTATTCATAGAGCGGCGACTAGCATTATCATGCAGCTAGCCTAAGCATCAGTCACCGGCAGCCTGAACAATTCGAACTGTCATAGTCGAGATGTATTCAGCGGTGTTACATGCAACCCTTGACTAGTTACTCAGGGCGATCTACATCGCTTGATTGAAATCATCAGTTCCTCACATCTTCGCGAACGTCCTCTCCTACGAGAACACCGATGGCGATGGCGAGGTCGTGCAGCGTCGGGTGCTCGAATACAAAGGTCTGCGATACATGCAGAGCGAATATCCTGGTCTGAGGGTCAGCGCGGAGGGCGTTTATAATGCGAGTCCGGAGGAACGTCGCATTCAAGCTAGCAGAATCTCAGTATGATATACTGTGCGAAAGCCAGGACTCACCTGTCGAATCCCTGCCCAAATAAATCTCTAGACGGCGAGATTACATCTGAGCGATTGGCCAGAGCAGAAGCGTGTTCTTGAAGCCAGGCTTGTATGTCGGGCACACTCCATGAGGACGGTGGACGGATGCTTTCAGCATTTCCGCTGTCCTCTAAAATCGCATATCTGTATGAGGTGGTTGTGTCAGCCATGAGTAGGTGCGAGCACAAAGTTCAGCCTGCTCACAAGCTATCTATCTCCTTCTCGTAAGCTTTCAGCGCTTGCTTCCGGACAACCGTTCCCTTGGCGGTGCGAGGCAAGGGTCTGGCGCGATCTGTGACAATGATCATCTCCTTGAAGATCCTCGCGAATGCCGGGGCTGTACGATTTGCTTCTTCAACGACAGGCCTGGAGGATATTGAGTGCATTCTTTTTGAAACGTGGCGAAACAGCGTACCAAAGCTTGTTCCTGAATTTCAGCAACGCGTTCACGTCGTTCAAGCTGATAGCATGACCTTTTCTAGGCTCTACGAGAACACCACACTGGCTCTTGCCGCGACCAAACATAACAGCTCCTTGGACTATACGCGATGAGCTGATCACTCCTTCTTGTGGAATCGGAACGACTTTCTCTCCTGTCGGGTATGGTCAGAGGAAGTTCCGTAAAAGCATTAAAAATTGCTCACCCAAACTGAGAACGATAACATCGTCCTTGCGACCAATTCTAGGGCACCATAGTAAGTATGTAATCCTTGCGAAACGGCTCAGCAAATTTACATGCGCCACAATCCCTCCTTTGAAGGATGCGGTTTCCACAGGTCGTTTGTCGCGTATCCCCTCGTGTCCTCTAGGTTCTCCACATTAGGGCGGTGCGTTGCACACGTCTGTCGTGTGTCAGATATCGGTAACCCGGCCGCACAATGCCAACTCACTAGTAACTGCAGCTCGAATGTACTGTCCCCCTCAGAAACCCATCTACACGTCACCCGGTCGGAGAACGACAGCCACTCCCAGTCTGCTCTTGTCTTGCCGTTTGGGGCAGGATTGGAGGACTCGTCCATGTCGAAGACCCTTGTGTGTGGTCCGAACTCAGTGCCTCCGTACCAGGGGTACAGGTTGACGCCTTCCACTATGAGCTCGTCGCCGACTTTAGATGGCAGCGGCCCGCCACCAAAAACCTGCAAAACGACGAGTAAGCGATAAGAAGCTATAAATTCCCTATTTGAACTTACAACTATTTTCAAAGTCTTCAGGTATTCGACATCGCCCTTCAATCTCGCCCACGCCTGTATGATGAGGTTAGGCACCTCAAGATGCCTTTGACGCAAGCCAGAGCTGACCTCGACGAATGCAGGAACCGTCAAAATTCCCGTACATTTGGCAGCCATGGCCGCTTCAATGGTGTTGCGCGGGGTAGGAACCACAGGTGACGCAGGCGCTCTGGGAGCGAACAGACATACCGAAAGCCCGCTCACCAGAGGGTAGTACAATTGTACGCATATGCCCATAAGGTGAAACGTGGGTAGTGCCATCCCTCCCCAAATAACCTCACGATTCATGGAATCAGTAATAATCGCTAATACGAATAGAATATCAGCACGATATCCTTCTATCAGTCAAGATCGGCCAAGAAAGGTCACTTACAAGCGTTGCACGTATGAAGTATATCGGACTGGCGCTGAGGAATTGGCTTTGGAAAGCCTGTCGAACCAGACGAGTGAAGATAAAAGACGACATCGTCCATCGAGAAAAGCTTGTTGCTGCTAGGGTAAGGTTCGCACAGATCTGCGGAGCTTCCTCCGCGCAAAGTTGGGAAGATCTCCTCGAGCTCGGGAAGGAAGTCAATTTGGAGCGTATGCTCCTCGTTCTCGAGCTCGGATTGGACATCGGCGAGTAGGGAGTGCATACTGGCCTGACCGACAATCCGGCGGCAGGATGTGCGCTTGAGCATGTCGACTATCGCCGGTGCCGAGTTCCTGGGAGACATAGGGAACGGCTAGACATGATGATCAGCATATCTAGCCACGAGAATTAAGTCGAGTCAGACATACTACTATGCCTGCTCTCATCGTTCCTGCTAACATGGCGAGGTACAGCACAGTGTCGCAGCTGATGAGAATCGCGATAACCTCATTGTCGGGGCCTGACCTGTTTGGCCTGAGCCTGTGGGCGACTCTGTTGGTGGCACGAGCAAACTCCGCGAACGAAATGGCCTCGACCGGTAGGCCAGGTCCAGCAGAAAGGAGGGCCCACGGCTGTTCAGGGTTGTGCTGGGCATGAAAGTCGATGAACCCCGGAAGGATGGGGATTGAACCGTCGAGTGGGGGTCGAGCAGGGTTAGAGCACATTTCTGCGTGGGCAGATCGATACGTCCGGCATAATATCCGCCATTCAGAGCACTATTTAACGAAATGATTGCCGGTAAATGATGTCGATGAGTATTGGCCACTAGACACAGGTAAATTCAGGTCAGCGCAAATCAATAGACATTTACATAAAAATGTGAGAAACCACGATCATGTGGCCTGCCCCGCTACTGCTACCTATGCAACTCACTCAAAAAATTGGGGTGCCGCTGGTCGGGGATTGGGATAACCCTCCAGGCTCGTCCCCACGCCTGTCTCCTGCGAAACCCTGTGGCGAGACGCTCCTGGCTTCCATAAAGCGCCGCGACCGGACATGGCCGGCGAGCTTCTCAGGGTCCCAAGAACCAGACACTCATTGTCTGTCTAATATTGCCGCGGAGAGGCGTCTGGTGAGTTACGCCCCACTAGGCTCCACTCCACCAGCATTTCGCGAGAACAGCACGTGATGGACCCCGATTTCTCCGATGTCGCCCCAGGGTGATGATGTCCGCGGTCATCCGAGTCGGTCATCTTTCATGTTGTCACGCCGCATCTGCTGCAGCTTTTCGCTTTGTACAACGCTATGCAATATACTTTACATACAGACCTTACACTCGAAAAGAAGGCGAGAAGGCCGTTGATAGTAGTGAGTTGGAACGCTACGGGCGCATGCGGTCTCGTCCAGCGGGACATCAGGTGATCAGGTGTGGTACGCTGAGAAGTACGTTACAGATACAAATATTCTCCCACTGGCATCTTGATGCTGGTACCAGTAGCAGGATAACCCGAGCGCGCTGCAGCGGCTGAACCTGTCTCCCACCCTAATAGGAATCTTGTATATCCTCAAGTACAGCACGCGCTAAGACCGCCTGAGCTTCATGGGCAATTGGCTGGCTCCTAACGCCATGCTCGCATCGTTTGACGTTACTCAGGTACAGATGAATCATTTTATGGTGAAAGGTAAGATCGATGAGACCTTGTGCCTTCTTAAGGAAGTTTAGCAGGTACTTGAAGCGGAATCAGACCTTCATGACATGTAAGAATCCCTGCACTCACTGCGAGCCATCTTACGATACATGTCCTTGCGACCCTAGCCGTGATTGGAGCGCATGCGCTGGCTTCTGACTCTGGAGCCATCCAAGTCCACTTGCGGCAGCGCCAATCTCCGCGAACCGTGGCTATGCCCCATGGGAACCGAGAAGCACGCAGTTTTCAACAGAAACGGCACACGCGGTCATTTCCTGTAAGGGGCATCACCGTTGCGAACCTCGACCATGGATGACGGCATTCAACTTAAGAGTGGCCTACCAATCACGCAAAACCATGACCCACGTCCCTGATCTTGCGCCAGATTCATATTTTCATCGAGGATCCAGATCTGCGAGAGCCTTGCGTCGCGCATCGCCCAACTTGAGCACGGGCACATGAATCAAGCTCGCAAGAACCATTCAGACATACACGTATCTCAGTCCCAGGCTCGAACTCGCCGTCGATGATGACCCTTAAGTCCGTTGAGGAGTATCAACACCGTGACGGCGCGCCAGGAACTACCGGTGAAGGACGCGAGGTGCATGATATTGTTCTAGTGCCGGCGGCGCACGGGGGCTTTTGAATGAGAAGTGGACAAAGATTCACGCGAGGTCCGTACCGAGAGCCTGGTAGAGAGCCGCTCCCGAATCCGGCAGAGACAAGGCGGCCACCGAAGACCGTCTCGACCTTTGTCATAGCCGTAGCGGGTGCGTAGATCCCAGGTGTACATGGCTTGACGAGCACGGACGAGGAGATCGTGGTATTGCGCTTGTCGATACGAGTAGCAAAGCCGCTGGCCCCCATCGCGTGCAATGCGTCGAGGTTCTCGGGCGGCTCGGTGGGATTGGCAAAGGCAGACAGCGAAAGTGGGGTAGGGGCCGGATTGGCTTCGAAAGGGGTCGAGCATGGGGGAGCGGCGCGCTTGGGGAGCATCGTACGTTGACATTTCCGCCAACCCACAAGAGGCTCGAATGACCACGCACCCTGGGGCTGCTCATTTGCTAGTTCGGTGTCTTGGAGGGTAAGATTCCCGACCATTCTGACATGCTTCACCACGGCGACTTGGTCATCTGCTGCCGCAACATTCAAGACCTGTCATGTCCCAAGCCGATCGGATATGCCTTATAGCAGCAATTTTGGCCATTGGAAAGGTGAGAGTTGCGTGGTAAGTGGCTCGGAACATTTGGCGAGGAGATGCCCGAGGTCTACAGAAAGGCTCACATGAAAGATCCGTGGCCTCTAGCTCGCGAGGCAATAGGGAAAACTAGGCCATACAGAAGGTGTCAGTCTTGGCACGTGCGAGACTGTGCCTATAGGGTTGCTGTACGATCGATGCCCACCGTAAGTCTGCATATGGAGCACCAGGCAGGAAGTAATCTCACGTCGCTTACGCAGACATCTTCTCTGCAGATGTAGAACAGAAGAAACCGCGATACAGTCCCGGGCGCTTACAAGACTATTTTTGTGCCCTCCCCTGCAGCTACGCTATGGACGAAAAAGTAGTATGGAAGGGGCATGCCCGAGGTTTTGTACGTCTTGCTGAAAAATTTCAGCTGCTGTTCGCGCCTGACAGCGCGCACTATTGAGCATAAATGCTTGTAATATGCAAAACAACAAATTTGGCGGCCCGGTTCCCACGCTCGCTTTATGGCAATTCGCCATACCGAATTCGATCTGCCAACTTCAGCTCAGAACACCTCTCAGATTTACAGAAGGCCATATGTCTTTGGGGCTACAGCTTCATATGAGTAAGTTAATCCAGCACTCGGGTTGACATGAGGTACACGGCTGATTGAGAGGTTTGCCCGCGTCAGGAATAGGCTTTGTAGGTAAGGTAGGCTGTCGCCTGGCTAGGATCCCTACAACGTGCGAGCAAGATTCCTACGATGCTGTAGTCCGCTGCGTCACGCGTCACATCAATCCGTCCGGCCGCTCTTCGAAAGCGGCGATCACGTTGGGGGGGTGCCGCTAGTTTAATGCTAAAACCACGAGTAGGGGCAAATACAGACGCCTGTCGCTCATTGCCCGGTCCAACGGTAAAGCCGATTATAAAGCCAACAAGAACAATATATCGCCGAGCGGACCCTGACATTTCTTTCCAACCACTGATAGTCCACTGACACGCTTTGGGCTTCTAATCTTTCCCCAACAAGATTTTGGGCTGTCAATGGAAGCTGCCAACCTATGGATGCATGCTTTTTGTAGTACGATGTGCGGCTGAAGTTAGAGATTACTGCGCTGGACTGGGGTTCCAGCACAGTACATAAGGACGGTGCCTAGTGCACTCATACCTGAGCTCAGAGACTGGCACAGATTAGTTCAGAACCTTCTGAGCTATCCTATACGACTCCTCTCGACAGCTTTCTCGCGCATTCCAAAGACAATGGGAGACAATCTCGCCCCTGCCAATCAGCTCGACGTCGCCTCTGAAGCTTTCCGTGGCTGCGTGCCCGTAGAGTTTCCTGCCGACAATCACCTCGCCCACACGGACTTCATTCCCGCCTCCATCGCATCCACGACCATCGCCGGCGGCTTGTATACCAAACTGGTCGCCTTCGGCGAGCAAGCACCTGCTTCTCTGCACGAAATTCTGCTTGCCGCCGTTCGTATCCTCCATCTCCGCCACTCCGGCGTAGTCCGCGCTGCCATCGGTACGAGTTCCTCTTGCTCGCAGTTTGCGGTGCGTCGAACTGAGTGATACTCCAGGTATCGATGCCTGTGGGAAGGCCGCAGGACCTCTGGCTATCTGCCTGCAGGTCGAAGACGGAGACAAGTTTGCGGACGTTATCCGCGCTACGCATGAGCTCGTGTCGTCACTAGAGCGCCACACGCTTCCATTCGAGTCTATTCTGCCGCAGCTCGCCACCAACAGGGACAGCTTCCGGGGCGTTGTACTCCCGGTGCTCGTGCGCCTCGGCGATAACCTCGTTGGTGACACAGCAGACGGGTAAGTTCATGAGTTTATACTGACGCTTACATGACTCAATGGCTATCGCCGGTAGCTCATTCGCCATGGTCTGGAGCGTCTGTCCCACTGCGGACCATCTGCGCGTGGACATAAACTTTGACTCTACTCGCTTTGGGCCAGATACCGTCCAAGCCTTCCTCGACAACTTTGTTGACGTGCTCACGGCCATCGTCACTACCCCCGACAGCACAGTAGACGACATTCTGTTCTCCCATGCTCTCGACCAGCTCGTCGAGGCTGGCATTCCCGTGGACCCCGCACCAACTCCCTCACAGCCTCGTCCCACGCTCACCCAGGCCTTCTCAGACGCCGTCGTCACTCATCATGACCTCCCAGCGCTCATTGACGGAGACCTCACCTTGACATACCGCGAAGTCGACATCCTCTCTTCAGTTCTCTCCAGGCGGATCTTAGAGGCCACGAAGCAGCAAGAAATCCATGCCTTTGTGTCTTTCTGCATTCCTCCGGGGGCCATCGCCATTCTCACCGTCCTCGCTATCGTGAAGAGTGGTGCTGCATACGTGCCCCTCGATGTACACTTCCCTGCAGAACGCCTTGGGTCGCTTGTTCAAGACTGTGATGCATCTCTTGTCATCACCACCTCAGCGTCGCCTTCGTTTAATTTCAACCGCGAGCGTATCGCACACCTGGACGTCACTAGCTTCCTTGACGACTGGAAGTCGCTTGTTGCTGCGTCTGTCCACGAGGACCGCGACGGGTCTGTTTCGCCAGCAGAGTCTTCCAACGACGTCGCCTACGTGCTCTACACCAGCGGCAGCACCGGAAAGCCCAAGGGCGTAATCGTCAAGCAGTCGTCCGTTGTATCCTTCGCCACCAACCGCGATATCTTCACGTGGGGCCCAGGACACCGTATCGCGCAGATCAACAATCTGGCCTGGGACGCGAGCGTGGCCGATGTCTGGTGCTCGCTCCTGCTTGGCGCGACGCTTGTATGCTTCGACCGCATTGACGTGCTAAACGCGCCTGCTCTGGCGCGGCGCTTCCAGGCTGCGTACATCGACGGCTTCCTGCTGCCCACGTCGCTCTTCCGCCAGTTCGCGGCCGCCTGCCCCGATGTTTTCCACCGGCTCACGGAGATCGTGACCGGCGGAGAGGCGCTCGACTATGCGAGCGTCTGCCAAGCGCGGGCGGCAGCTCCGAGCGCGGTGATCCGGAATGCGTATGGCCCGACCGAGGCGTGTGTGATGGCAACGATCTTCAACGTTTTCCCTGGCGACGACGATGTACCACATACCGGGCCCTTGCCCATTGGTCGCCCACTCAAAACGAGCCAAGTGCTTGTGGTAGACCGCCATAGGCGACTTGTACCGCCGGGCGTCGTCGGCGAGCTGATCATCGGCGGCGAAGGCATCGCCGAGGGGTATCTCAACCGTCCTGCGGAGACTGCGGACGCGTTCGTCGAGCTGCGCGTTGATGGGCTACCCGGGAACACGAAGTTCTACTGCACGGTGAGTAGCGGCTTTTCCTGACTTTGGATGTGAACTGACGGGGATTTTTAGGGCGATGCTGTGCGATGGGTCGACGGACAGCTGCAGTTCGTGGGCAGGATGGATGTTGGACAAATCAAGATTTCTGGACAGAGGCTCGAACTCGGCGAGATTGAGGCCACCATTCTGCGTACCGGACTCGTCGCCGACGCCGGCGTCAGCTGCCACAAGCCGACCGATACTGGCGACCTGAGCCTCGTCGCATATGTTGTCCTCGACCACGAGCGGGCACCCGAGGTTGATGATCATGTTCAGGGCCAGGATGCACCGATCGCAGCGTCAAACGACGAACATGCAATTGTAGACACATGGAGGGATGTGTATGACGATATGTATGCCGCATATGATCTGTGAGTGTTTTTAATCCCATAGACGTATCTTTCATGCTGATTTTTGCTCGAACACAGGGCAAAGGCACGCGCGGATTTCTCAGGTTGGGATAGCATGATCACCGGAGGGCCCATCCCGCAGGTCGAGATGATTGGTAAGTCAACCTTTTCTCATCACGGTTCAAGAATCTGAGGGACCTGACGAACCTCCTGCGTTGATCAGCATGGCTCCATGACACCCTGCGACCCTTCCATCAGCAGCGCCCACGGACCGCCTTCGAGATCGGCTGCGGCATCGGCATCTTCGTTCACCAAATCCTTCCCTCTGTCGACCGCATGTGGGCCATTGAACCCTCGGCAGAGGCGGCCAAGCGTTTGGAGGATGAGCTGAAGGGACTCGGGCTGGGTGACAAGACGTCGATCTGGCATGCCGCGGCCGACGAGATCTCCAAGCTCCCTGCATTCGAGGCGGACTTCGCGTTCATGAACTCTGTTGTTCAGTACTTCCCGTCGGAAGCATACCTGCGCCAGTCTATCATCGATATTGTTGGCAAGTGCTCCCTCGGAGGCCGAATTCTCATCGGAGATGTGCGAAGCCATCCGTTCGGCACTCTGCTGGCTCTCGACATTGCGGCCTACCGCTGGCAGGACGAGCTCGGGTCGAAGACTCTCCAGGATCTGCGCGACGACATTCTCGATCGCGAGAAGTACCGGTCGGAGCTGTTGGTTGACCCCTCGTTCTTCACCAGCCTTCGCCACACCATTCCCGCCGTGACACACGTCGAGATCATCCCGAAGGCGATCGAGTACTGCAACGAGCTCAGCCAGTTCCGTTACCAAGTCATCATTCACGTCAACCAGAAGCTACCCTTGATTGCTCCCCCTGCCTGGCACGACTACGAAGCATTACGATGGAAGGGTTCGGACCTCGAGGACGCAGTGCGCGACTTTGCCGCCGGCAATGAGAACGTTCTAGCAGTGGAGCATATTCCGAATCGATTCCTGTCTTGGGAGCTCGTGGCAGCGACAGCGGTCTTCTCATCTTCGTCAGATCGGTTCGCCGACCTCGCCTCGGTACTTCCTCCACGCATGGATGCCGCAGCTGCGCAAGGCTGGTCTGCATGGGACCTGGAGCAACTCGCGGGGCAGTGTGGGGTGGCAGTCAAACTCAGCGTTGCGCGTCAGAAGGAGACGACGACTCTGGACGCGGTCTTCATCAAGGGATCCCTCGACGGTGCCGACAGTGGCACCTGTATTGCATTCAAGACCGTCGAGTATGACGATGGGTCTGTCTCTCCGTTTGCTACATCGAGGCTGCAAGAGCTGGTTTTCAGGACGCATCTGGAGAACAACCTTCTTGAACGCCTGAGGGAGGTGCTGCCGTCGTACATGGTCCCCGACCAACTCTTGTCTGTGGATGCTCTTCCGCTCCAGACGAGTGGGAAGCTGGATCGGCGACAACTGGCAGCGATGGCAGCGAAAGACGGCAGCCGCGATGCTCATAGAGCCGCCGAGGACGATCAGAATATTTTGCCCGCGGACGAAGTGGAAGTTCGACTGTGTGCGATCTTCGGCCGCCTGCTGTCGGTTCGAGCAGTTTCACCCCTGGCGAATTTCTTCCAAATTGGAGGACACTCGCTGCTTGCGACTCGACTCAAGTCTGCGCTCGAATCGGAGTTCCACGTCGCTGTTCCACTCAGGACGATCTTTGCCCGTTCCACCCCTAGAAAGCTTGCGGCTAGTATCCGCGAGGGCCTCACTTTTGCGCCATTCGACCAGCACATCGGTCTCCCAATGAAGCCTATCCTCTCCCATTCTCACCCTTCCGACCCGTCTGACGAGCTCTCCTTAGACATGACGACACCATTTGACGGGACGCATTACCAGTTATCTTTCGCCCAACAGCGACTCTGGTTCCTCTCGAAACTCGCATATTACGGATCACAGAACATCTGCTATAATACTCCCTACATCCTGGAACTAAAAGGCCCTCTGAACATCGTCGCTCTCGAGCGCACTATCCAGGAGATCGTCTCTCGTCATGAAATTCTCCGCACCATTTTCGTCGAGGTGAACTATGCACCGGCTACTCAGGTCGTCGATTTCTGTCCCCGTCTCGAGGTCATACCCGTGGACCCCGATACCGACGAACGAACCATGCGCGCACTCATGGGAGACTGTATCCGTCGCCCATTCGCTCTCGATCGCGAGCCATCGGTCCGCACAACCCTGTTCCAACTCTCTGAGAACCACTTCCACCTGCTCCTATGCATGCACCACATCATCGTCGACGGCTTTTCGTTCGACGTCATTCGCCAGGAGCTGGCGGAGATCTACGTCGCCTTCTCGGCCGGTAAGGACCACGAGGTCCCTCCACTGCACATTCAGTACAAGGAATTCGCGCAGTGGCAACGGTCGGAAGACTTCGAGCGTATGGTGCAGCCTCAGCTCGAGTATTGGACGAAACACCTCAAAGGCAACCAGGCGGCGGAACTGCCAACGGACTTCCCACGACCCCAACATCTCAGCTACGAGGGGAAAGCATACATTGCTGAATTTCCCTCGGAGCTTTTCACTCGGTTGGGACAGGTATGCAGGCAGGAGCGCGTGACGATGTTCATGCTCCTGTCGGCCGCCTTCCGCATGGTTCAGTTCCAGCTCACCGGTCAGACAGACGCCTCCTTCGCCTTCCCCATCGCCAATCGCAATCGAGCCGAGACCGAGAGGCTCGTCGGGTTCTTCGTCAACACGCAAATTCTCCGGCTGAAAGTGCGTCCTGGGATGACGTTTCTGGAGCTGATTCAACAAGTGCGAGACCTGTCGATGGCGGCGTTCGAATATCAGGACCTGCCCTTCGAGCGGATCGTCTCGATTCTCAACCCGACTCGTGACCTCAATCGCAACCCGTTGGCGCAGATTATCCTCGCTTACCAGACTGTGAAGACTGCGCCATTCAATATAGGAGACGTCCATGCTTCCAATCCGCGAATTAATATGGATACGACGAGGTTCGACATGGAGATCCATTTCTTCCCCAAGGGCGACGGCCTGGCTGGCCAGTTTGTGTACTGCACCGATTTATTCAAGGAGGAGACCATCGTTGACTTGACGGAGCGGTTGCAAAAGGTTTTGGAACAGGCCGTCGACAATGTACGCTTCGCTATCAATCCGCCGCGATCCTCTTCGACGCTTCGCCAGCCGACTCCATCTGACGTAGCTGCGTACCTGCGCGACTATGTCCCTTGCGAGTTCCCTCTCGACATGCCCAGGTGTTCGGACAGTGCATCTCCACAGCGAGGGACGCATTCCTTCGTCTTGCCACCAACCGTCCGTGATACGCTTCGGGCCTCGTCGATAGGCGGGGAGGAGCTTCTCACGCTGTACCTCACTGCACTCTCCGTGCTGAACCACCGGTACACTCGCCAAGAGGATATCACGATCGGTGCGTTCTCTTATTTTTTTTCGTGCGGGAGATGAGCTAACCTTCCTGCTCAGGGCTTGCGACGAGCAAGTCACTGGATATCACTCCCGCTCGGCTTACCGTTTATCGCGATGCTGCACTCTCAGCTGCTCGCGACAATGCGCAGACTTCGGTAGAGAAGGCATCCGAGTTCTCTGCTGTATCTATCAAGGATTTATCCACCGCTGTACGGAGACGACAGAAGTCGTTGACGTCCGCCATTCACGTCGTGCTCTCCCACAAGTCAAGCAATGCACCTTCAAGGGAGCTAGGGTTCGTTATTTCTTCACTATACTGTATGCCTCTCGATTGATTTGTTCTATCAGCTTGCTAGTCGACCTTGAGCTCCGCTATGGAGAGGTCAACGAGCCTGATTACCAACTCATCTACGACCAGTCTCTCTTCCGGCTCAGTACTATCGAAGTGTTCTGCGAGAACTTTGTGGACATTCTCGAGACCATTCTTCTTCGTCCTGACACGGTCGTCGAGGAGATTCCATTCCAGAACTCGGCGAAGCACTTGAAACGATTTGGTGTCCCACTCGCCCCGCCTCCGCCTCCGCCGATATGCCCCCTCGTTGATGCTCTCAAGAAGTCTGTGGATGCGTACCCCGACATGCTGGCCCTACAGGAGAGAGAATTCTTGCTGACATATAGCCAACTGAACACGGCCACGTCCTTGCTGGCACAGAAGATCGTACAGATATCAGGAGACGCGTGCGAGTTCGTCGCAATGTGCATCCCCCCGTCGGCCCTCGCTGTCATATCCATCCTCGCCATCGTCAAAGCCGGAGCCGCATACGTGCCCTTGGACGTTCGCTACCCTCCAGAGCGTCTCGAGATGCTCTTGCGCGAGAGTGGTGCAGGCCTATTGATCACGACCTCGCAGTCGCCAGAGTTCGCCGGCGACGCGGAGGGTATCACCCACCTCGACATCTCCAATTTCCTTGCTGAGATCGACCTCGCCTCCCCCGCCGACTTCGTCTGCGCTCCTCGCACGGATGCCGCCTACGTCATGTACACATCTGGCAGCACTGGTGTGCCGAAGGGAGTGGTCGTCATGCAGTCTGCGGTGGTCGCACTGGTCTCGAACACGGATGTCTTCCCGTTCCAGGCTGGCGACAGGATCGGGATGATCAACAACCTCGCGTGGGACGCCAGTATCATCGACATCTGGTGCACACTACTTACCGGCGCTACGGTCGTCTGCTTCAATCGATATGACGTTCTTGACCTGGCCGTTCTTGCGGGGCATTTCCAGTTGTTTAGCATCACAGGCTGCTTCATGTCCGTTGCACTATTCCGCCAAGCCCTCGACCTCGCACCCCAGCTATTCCGCAAGCTCCGCATTCTGCAGGTCGGCGGAGAGGCGTCCTACTACGAGAACTTCCAAAGAGTGAAATCTGTTAACCCGTCGATCCGCATTCTCAACGCCTACGGCCCCACGGAGACTTGTGTCTTCGCCGCCACGTTCTGGACTGACGTTCCCAACATGCCCACGTCTGGACCTGTTCCCATTGGCTTACCAATGTCAACCGCTCAGGGTCTCGTTGTCGATACACAGGGTCGTCTAGTGCCCCCGGGCGTGGTCGGTGAGCTGGTGATTGGCGGTGCTGGTGTCGGTCCGGGGTATCTGAGGCGGCCGAAGGAGTCAGCCGAGGCCTTCGTCGAGCTTGGGTTCGACGAACTCAACCAAGGTGTGGCTCGGTATTACCGCACGGTATGTCGCCTCCGCTTGTCCATCCCTTACGTGTCTCATTCTTCGTGCAGGGTGACGCTATGAGATGGGGCCCGGATGGACAGTTGCATTTCGTCGGGAGGATGAATGCTGGCCAGATCAAGATCCGCGGACAGCGACTGGAGCTCTCGGAGATCGAAGTGGCCATTCGCCAAACCGACTTGGCCAACGATGCCGTCGTCGTCCATCTCAAGTCCCACAAAGGCAAGGACGATCTGCTCATTGCGTACACTGTCGCTGCCGCGCCGACTTCGGCCTCGCAATCTCATTCCCTCTCACCACGGCTCCTCGAGTCGCTGCGCAAGAGTCTTCCATCGTATATGATTCCCCATCTCGTGCGCTGGATCCCGACTCTTCCTCTGACGCCTAACGGCAAGGTGGACCGCCATCAGCTCCGAGCCCGTGCTGCGACCGACGCCGATAGCATGCTGAAAGACGACGCAGAGGAAGACGGATCAGACGAGCCTGAAGATGAGGTCGAGAAACGGCTCTGTAGGATCATGGAAGCTCTTCTCGGTCGCACGTCTATTCGTCGGTCCACGAACTTCTTCGATGCGGGCGGCCATTCGCTCCTTGCCTCCCGTTTGGTCTTCCGGATACAAGAAGCTTTCGACATCTCATTCGCTCTAATGGACGTGTTCCACACGCCCGTAGTCAAGGCAATGGCGGGCAAGATCAGACAGGCGATCGCCGCTAGGCCAGCTGATCAAATATCGACGACACCTCCGACGCTTGCCCCGGTATACGAGGAGTTCCACGTACCCCCTGTGCTCGTCTTCTCTGAGGAGCCTCGCAAGCCATTCTTGTTCTGCGTTCCCATGGCCACTGGTCTCGGCCACACGTTCGCTGCGCTGTCTCGCTCCACCGACCTGTTCAACGTCATAGCTCTCAACGACCCTGGGTATGTCGCACTAGACGACTTCCCCCAAGACCAGGTGTCGACAGGTCACGCCAACACCTTGCGCAATCCGGGCATGCACACCGTCGAGAACCACGCCAAGTACTACTACGCGCGTATTGTCGAGGAGCTGGCCCGCATCGGTACTACCAAGTCCGGCGCCGCGCCGTTCAACATCTTGGGCTACTCCTACGGTGGACACGTCGCAGTCGAGGTGGCGCGCCTCGCGCAGGACGAGGGCTGGACCGTCAACCTGTTCGTGCTCGACACGTCGGTGCACCCGGTGCATGAGGCCAAGCTATCGCAGACGCAGATCGAAGAGGCCGCGCATGTTGTCCTACCGACTGTGATGAGCGTCGTGGAGCTGCCGTTCGGCAACATGGGAGAGCAAGGAGCACGTCTGAAGCACGACATCGAGGTCCGCACCCTCACCAACATCCATACGCTCCATGCGCATGTGATGCCGCGGTACGAGGGGCATGTCACGTTGTTCCGCACAGAGTCGAATTCTGGCCACGGCTTCGTCCCGCTCGTTGGCTCGTTGGACGAGGTTCTCCTGCACGGGAACCACTACCACCTACTCGAAGAAGAATCTGGGAATCTGTCCGTGATTAGTGCTAAAGTTTCTGCAGTCCTCAATGCGTAGGTCTCGTCGTCTCTGGTCAGTTGTAACTGTTGTATATCTTGCTGTATTGCACCGTTTCCGCTGTATAAATAACATCGAGTTCATCTTCGCCGAAATGCGGACAGTTGGTCTATTCATGACTCAAACCCCAGAACGCAGAGCCTACCGTCAGCTGGCACACGCCCCTACGAATGCCTTCATTGCAGCGACTGCGCGCTACGGATTGTTGGCGTTGTAAAGTACAGTCAGTACAGAATGCGTCATAGGTCTGCTAGGATGTTCACAGAGTGAGCACCCCAGTCATCGAAAGGTGCGCCCAACTGAGCAGTGGTGGTGCCTTGGCATTCATGTGCGACCTTACAGCAGCACTGGTGTGTCCCGCCTCGTAACTGTCTCTCCACGATAGCGCGTGGTACCTCGGCAGTAACGATCTACTGGCACTCGACAACGTTTTGCTAAAGCAAAGCTCGAAGATCCTTCAGTAGTAAGAGCTTCGATACACTCAGAATCGGTCCAAGAGAGAGAGAGAGGGCGGAGGGACGGAGCTGATTAAGGAACTAGGGTCATGGCCGCCCCATGCGTCTTGTCAGTCTCGAAGCTGGTAAAGTACTTTTTGTATCCTCCTACTACACAGCGCTACTCAGCAAATTCTTTGAGGACCCGGCTTTCGGCCTTGTTGGTGATAGAGATTAGGACGTCGGCACTCGGCAGCGAGGCGTTGTCGTTGCGGGCTCCCCACGAAGGAGTAAAAGACGAATGGGATGCCGGAAGGGGAGGCCTTAGGGCGTAACTTTGCCTGTAGCTTGGCGGGTCGTCGCTGGAGTTGTCGCTTCGCATGAGTTCGTACTGCAGCACGCATCTTATCTAGGAGGCCCACGAGCCAACGAGTCGACCAGCCGCTTAACCTTCCCCGCTTTCCATCTCAACCTCTACACGGAGGAACGACGGTACTGCCTTCTCAGAAAATTATGAGGCCAAAGGCGAGCCTAATTTCCGGTATGAAGGTTACGACGTCGCTCACAGAGTCACAGCTCAGTGTCAAGTTCAATCAGCGCTGGATAGTCTCGACGAAATCATTCTGAGACGGCACCTTTGACAGCTGTAGTATACTTTCTTCCGTCTTCTGAACGGAGCTCAGAGAGCCTGACACAGAAGAAGCCAAGACATATCTCAACCGGCCGCTCGAGAACCATCGCCTTGCGTTCTAGAGCATGAGTCATAAATATCTGCATCCGGGTGAGGATGAACACGAGCATCATATTGGACAATACAGCTGATAGTATACTAAAACTGAGCAAAGTCGACTAAGCCTACCCGACGATGGCTGCAGAAACCTTGGCACTGATCACGGACAAATTCCCAGATTCTTGCTCGAGTAGGCGGAAGAAGTATCTCGTCCAACGAGTCAACAATCGGGGTGAAGCCGTAATTTGCGTTCGACTCCGTGTGGGACAGTATAACGTGCCCCTCGTACCGTGGCATCGCATGCGAGTAGAGCGCACAGAAGTTCGCGAGGGTGCGGGCCTCGATGTCCTGCTTCAGCGGCACGCCCTGCTTGCCCATTTCTCCGAATGGCAATCCAACGGCACTCATCGCCATCGGGAGTATCGCAATTGTTTCGTTTCAAACATGGAGAGCGCCAACGAGTCGACCACGAAGAGGTTGACGTCCCAGCCCTCGTCCTGCGCGAGGCGCGCCACCTCTACCACGACGCGTCCCCCGAAAGAGTAGCCCAGGATGTTGAACGGCGCGTTACCAGGCTTGGCGCTGCCGACACGGCCTAGCTCCTCAACGATCCGTGCGTAATAGTACTTGGCCTGGTTCTCGATAGTATGCATGTCTGGATTGTGCAGGGTGCTGGCGTGACTCGTCGACGGCTGGTCTTGGGGCAAGCTATCGAAGGAGAAGTACCCAGGGTCATTAAGAGCGATGACGTTGAACACGTTGGTGGAGAGTGAGAGCGCGGCGAACATGTGGCCGAGACCGGTGATCGTGGGGACACAGAACAGGAACGGCTTGTGAGGTTCCTCAGAAAATATGAGCACCGATGGTACGTGGAACTTGTCAGATACCGGAGCAACCATCGGAGTTTTCGCTGATGGCTGGTCGGACGCTTTCGCAGTAATCGCTTCCCTGATCTTGCCCGCCATTGCCTTGACTATAGGCATGTTGAAGATATCCACCAGAGTGAACGGGATATCGAAGGCTTCGTGTATCCGGAATACCAGATGGGAGGCAATGAGCGAGTGGCCGCCCGCGTCGAAGAAGTTCGAAGATCGACGGATGGGTATGCGACCGAGAAGAGCTTCCATGATCTTACCAGAGGCGCTGCTCGACTTCATCCTCGGGCTCGCTCGAATCATCTTCTCCCGGGATGTCATTCAGCATGCTGTCGGCGTCAACGATGACACGGACTCGGAGCTGGCGGCGATCCAACTTGCCATTAGGCGTCAGAGGAAGAGCTGGGACCCAGCACACGAGATGAGGGATCATGAACGACGGGAGGATTTCGCGCAGCATCTCGAGTAGCGCTGATGAGAGTGTGTGAGATTCCGAGAGGGACATTGGCGCAGTAGCAATAGTGTAGGCAACGAGCAGATCGTCTCCATTCCTCTCGGATTTGATATGAACGACCGCGGCGTCGTTTGCTAAGTTGGTTCGGCGAATGGCCGCCTCAATCTCCGCAAGTTCCAATCGTTACCCACGGATCTTGATCTGACCAGCGTTCATCCTCTCGACGAAATGCAATTGGCCGTCCGGGCCTAGTCTCACAGCGTCGCCCTGTAGATGAGTAATTAGACGTGTATGGGAATGGAATGGAGGAACAACGTACTGTGCGGTAATACCGAGCGATACCCTGGTCGAGTTCGTCGAATTCAAGCTCAACGAAGGCCTCAGCAGTCTCCTTCGGCCTCCTCAGGTACCCTGGACCGACACCAGCACCACCAATGATCAGTTCACCGACTACGCTCGGCGGAACTAGCCGGCTCGTCGTGTCGACAACGAGGGCCTGAACGGTTGACGTTGGTCGTCCAATGGACACAGATCCAGATAAAGGCATGTTGGGAACATCAACCCAGAACCCGGTGGCAAAGACACAGGTCTCCGTCGGGCCATAAGCGCAGAAGAGTTGGATTAACGGATTGACAGATTTCACCCTCTGTAAATCCTCGTAGTAGAAGGCTTCTCCGCCGACCTGCAGAATGCGGAGCTTGCGGAATAGCTGGGGCGCGAGATCAAGGGCTTGGCGGAAGAGCGCAATGGACATGAAACAGCCCGTGACGTCAAACAACTGGAACTGCTCGGCAAGAACGACCAGGTCCAGGACATCGTACCGATTGAAGCAGACGACCGTGGCGCCGGTAAGTAGCGTGCACCATATGTCGATGATACTGGCGTCCCACGCGAGGTTGTTGATCATCCCAATCCTATCGTCAGGCTGGAACGGGAAGACGTCCGTGTTCGATACTAGTGCAACCACCGAAGACTGTAAGGCAGGCACCCCCTTCGGCACACCAGTGGTCCCAGACGTGTACACGACGTAGGCGGTATCCGTCCGAGGAGTGCAGGCGAAGTCGATGGGAGAGATGAGATCGGTCTCGGTCAGGAAGTCGGAGATGTCGAGGTGAGTGACACCTTCCACGTCGCCGGCGAACTCTGGCGACTGTGAGGTCGTGATCAACAGTCGTGCACCACTCTCGCGCAGGAGCATTTCTAGTCGTTCAGAAGGGTATCGGACGTCCAAGGGAACGTATGCGGCTCCGGCCTTGACAATGGCGAGGATGGACACGACAGCGAGAGCCGAAGGGGGGATGCACGTTGCTATAAGCTCGCCTACGCCTTCCGATATCTCCGTGATATTCTGTGCCAGCAAGGACGAGGCAGTGTTCAGTTGCTTGTTCGACGGCACGACCTCTCTCTCCTGCATGGCCGGCATGTCGGGGTGTGCGTCCACAGACTTCTTGAGAGCGTTGATGAGAAGGGACGACGTTGGAGATGGAGGCGGGGCGAGTGGGGCACCAATGCGTTTCAGGTGTTTCGCCGAGTTCTGGAACGGGATATCCTCGACTGCCAGGTCAGGGTGCAAGAGCAGGTTTTCGAAGACGTCCACAAAATTGTCGCAGAACAATTCGATGGTACCTGGCCGGAAGAGGGATTGGTCGTAGATGAGCTGGCAATGAGACCCGTTGGTATCGCTGTAGCGAAGCTCGAGGTCCACTGGCAGGCTGACAGAACGGGTTAATGCATAGACATGGATTGTGGCGACAGATTGACGAACCCTAGCTCTCCCGACAATGACCTATCAGCCCCAATCGAGTTGCGGGAAAGCGCGACATGGATTACAGACGGCGCCGACGCCGACTTCCGTCGCTTTTGTAAAGCGGTCGACACATCCTTGATAGATACACCAGAGAACTCAGACACTCTCTGGATCGAGGTCCGCGCATCGTCGAGAACAGCTGAGAGCACAGCATCACCATGAACTGCAAGACGAGAAGGAACGATGTCCAGCGATTCGCTTGTCGCGAGCCCTGAACACACAACTCAGCTATCTTTCATGCGCAAAGACAGAAGTGAACGCACCTATCGTGATGTCCTCTTGTCAAGTATACCGGTGGTTGAGCACAGAGAGTGTGGTAAGGCACAGCGCGAGAAGTTCCTCCTCGCCTTTCGACGAGTTCTGAAGCGCGTCGCAGACGATTGGCGGCAAGGTGAAGGAATGCGTCTCTCGTCGCGCGGCCGTATTGTCCGAAAGCCTGGGGAAGTCAAGAGGAAACTCGCAGGGGACATAGTCATGCAAGTACGCTGCCACGTCTGATGGAGTGGGTGGGCGAAGTCTTGAAGACTGCAGTGGATCGATAGCGAAGCGTACATCGTCGACAACTTGGCTCAGAACCGCGTGTATCCTGTCCTTTAGGTCGACAATGGTTTCTTCCTTGAACAAGTCAGTGCTATACACGAACTCGCAAAGCAGCTGGCCGTCGCCTTCGGGGAAGAAATGAAGTTCCAAATCAAGCCTCGTTGTGTCTACAATGGCTCGTGAGATGCAAGCATGAACACTCCCCACGGGAAATGGCGCAGTCTTCAGTCTGGTACGCGAGGACGAGTTGCACCAGCGGGTTGCGACTGAGATCGCGAGTCGGGTTATGGATCGAGACGATCCGCTCGAAGGGTAGGTCCTGGTGCTCGAACGCCTCTATCGATATATCTCGCACTTGATGGAGCAGTTTCAGGAACGTCATCCCAGGACGCATTTTCAGCCGGAGAACCTGCGTGTTAACGAAGAACCCGATGAGCTTCTCGGCCTCGAGTCGATTGCGATTGGCCATCGGGGGGGGGGGCGAAGGAGGCGTCTGCTTGGCCGGTAAGCTGGAACTGGACGATGCGGAAGGCGGCCGACAAGAGCATGAACATCGTCATACGCTCTCGCCTGCATATCTGTCCCAGTCGAGTGAACAGCTCTGGAGGAAAACGAGCGACGTATGTCTTCCCCTCTTGGCTGAGATGCTGAGGTCGGAGAAAGTCCGTCGGCAGTTCTGCGGGTTGATTTCCTTCGAGCTGCTTCGTCCAGTACTCGATCTGAGGTTGCAGTAGATGCTCGAAATCTTCCGATTGTTGCCATTGCGCAAACTCTTTGTACTGGGTGCTTAGCGGGGGGAGGTCGTGGCCTTTGCCGATCTCGAAGGCACCGTAGATCTCAGCCAGCTCGTGGCGAATAACATCGAAGGAGAAACCGTCGACCAAGATGTGGTGCATCGACGGAAGCAGGTAGAAGCGGTCCTGTGAGAGCTGGAACAGAGTTGCACGGAAAGGTGGTTCGAGATCAAGTGAGAACGGGAGCTGGGCGTACTTTCCGACGAGTAATTGCATAGACCGTTCGTCGATCTCGGGATCCACGGGCACCACTTCGAGACGAGGGGCAAAAGTTGACGACCTGAGTAGCTGGCGCACAGTTAACCTCGACGAAAACACTGCAGAGAACCTCGTGACGAGACGTGATCTCTTGGATAGTACGCTCGAGAGTGTCGATGTTCAGAGGTCCTTCTAACTTCAGGACGTAGGGGGTGTTGTAGCAAATGTTCTGTGAACCGAAAGATGCGAGTTGTGAAGGGAACAAGAGTCGCTGCTGGGCGAAAGACAGGGGGTAATGCGCTCCGCCAGATGGTGCCAAAACCTCCTCGTCAGCTTGGGGGAGTGCGAGAATTTCGCGCATGCTAGCCGCAAGCTTTCTAGGAGTGGATGGGAAAAGATGGTCTTGAGCGGTACAGCAACGCGAAACTCAGATTCTAGCACAGCCTTGAGTCGCGTTGCGAGTAACGAGTGTCCCCAGATGCTGAAAAAGTTCGCGAGGGGTGGGGCCGCCCCAATGGATAAGAGGTCGCAAAAGATGCCGCACAGTCGAGCTTTCATGTCGTCTGTGGGTAAGATATCCTGGACGTCTTCAGTGATTCCACGCATACAACGCCTCGCGTCTTTCTCTGCCATCGCTGACAGTTGACGCCGATCCAGCTTCCCGCTTGTCTGGAGCGGAAGAGCGTTCACAGAGAAGATCCGGTCGGGAACCATGTAGGACGGCAACAGCGCCCTTAGACGTTCGAGAAGGCCATTCTCCAGATGCGTCCTGAACACCAGCTCCTGAAGCCTGGAAGTGGCGAATGGAGAGAGAGATGCGCCGTCATAATCGACGGTCTTGAACGCAAAGTAGGCACCAGCGTCGAGCGGTCCCTTGACGAACACCGCATCCAGAGTCGTCGTCTCCTTCTGGCGCGCGACGTTGAGTTTGACCGTCAGCCCGTACTGCTCTGCGAGACGCTCTAGGTCACATGCAGACCAGCCTCGCCCAGTAGCGGTGTCACTGCGCGGAGGGAGCACTGAGGCGAGATCGGCAAAGCGATCTGATGAAGATGAGAAGACGGCTGTCGCTGCCACGAGCTCCCAAGACAGGAATCGATTTGGAATGTGCTCCACCGCAAGAACGTTCTCGCCGCCAGCGGCGAAGTCCCGCACTGCGTCCTCGAGGTCCGAATTCTTCCACCGCAGCGCTTCGTAGTCGTGCCAGGCAGGAGGGTCGATTAAGGATAGATCCTGATTGACGTGGAGAATGACTTGGTAACGGAACTGACTGAGCTCGTTGCAGTATTCGATCGCCTTCGGGATGATCTCGACATGTGCCACCGCCGGAATAGTGCGACAAAGGCTCGTAAAGAATGAAGGGTCGACCAGCAGCTCCGACCGAGACTTCTCGCTATCGAGAATCTCGTTCCGCAGATCCTGGAGTGTCTTCGACTCGAGCTCATCCTGCCAGGTGTGGGTCGTGATGTCGAGCGCCAGCAGACTGCCGAATGGAAGGCTTCGCACATCTCCAATCAGGATACGACCTCCAGGCGTGCACTTGCCAACGATGTCGACGATGGACTGGTGCAGGTATGCCTCCGACGGGAAGTACTGAATGACAGAGTTCATGAGCGCAAAGTCTGCCTCGAATGCAGGAAGCTTGGAGATCTCGTCGGCCGCGGCGTGCCAGATCGACGTCTTATCGCCCAACCCGAGTCCCTTCAGCTCATTCTCCAGACGCTTGGCCGCCTCTGCCGAAGGCTCGATGGCCCACACGTGATCGACAGAGGAAATAATCTCGCCAACGAAGATGCCGATACCGCAGCCGATCTCGAAGGCGGTCCGTGGGCGCTGTTGATGAAAGGGTCGGAGAGTATCGTGGAGCCATGCTAATCAACGTTTGGAGTTTTGTTAGGACCCTTAGATACTTGAACTGTGATGAGAAAAGGCCGACTAACCGATCACCTCAACCTGCGGAATGGGCCCTCCAGTGATCATACTGTCCCAACCTGAGAACTCTGCGCGTGCTTTTGCTCTGTATTCAAGCAAAAATCAGTAACGAAAGACGTGCTTACGAGATGAAGAGAACTTACAGGTGATATGCAGCATACATGTCGTCATACACGTCCCTCCATGTGTCCACAATCGCAGATTCATCGTTTAACGCCGCAGCTGGTGTATCCTAGTTGCTCATGTGATCCTGAACCTCGGGCGACTGCTCGTGGTCGAGAACAACGTATGCGACAAGGCTCGGGTCGCCACTATCGGTCGGCTTGTGGTAGCTCACGCCGGCGTCGGCGACGAGCCCGGTGCGAAGGACGGTCGCCTCAACCTCTCCCAGCTCGAGTCTCTGCCCACGGATCTTGGTTTGCCCGGTATCCATCCTGCCCACGAATCGCAGCTGTCCATCGCACCAACGTACAGCATCGCCCTGCAAGTGCCCGAGTGCAAGTCAGCTCGCGTCCCAGATATGTGAGAAGCTGGTACTCGCCGTGCGATAGAACCTCGTCTTCTCCGGCAGGCCATCAATGCGTAACTCGACAAACGCGCGCGCCGTCTCGGCGGGACAGCTGAGATACCCTTCTGCGACGCCTTCGCCAGCCGATGAGCAACTCGCCGATGACGCCCGGCGGCACGAGCCGCCCGTGGGGGCCGACGACGAGCACCTGGCTTGTCTTGAGGGGGCGACCGATAGGCACGGGCCCGGCGTGCGGCACGTCATTGTCGTCGGGGAGAACGTCGAAGCTTCGGTTGGGCCGTACACGTTCCGGAATGCGGCGCCCGGAGGCGGTCGCGCGCGCTTGGCAGACGCTCGCGTAATCGAGCGCCTCGCCGCCGATCACGACCTGCGCGAGCCCGTGGAAGACGCCCGGGCAAACAGTGGCAAGTTGCACGAGAGAAATTTGGAACTTTTTTGTCACAGAAAATATGCAAAAACAGCTTGAAAAAATAAGTAAGGAAAGGTCGTATGTTTTCTCTCGGTATCCGGCAGCCCGGCAACTTGGCAATCCGGCAGCCGAGTTGATTGTCCGCCAGGCCATTTACTAAAGCGCCCGGGGACGGCGGCACCCAGACGATATTCGGCTCGGCTGCCAGATTGCCGAGTTGCCGGACTGCCGGATACCGAGCGGAAAATATGACGCTCCTGCTGGGCGCGACGCTAGTGTGCGTCGACCGTTTCGACGTGCTCGACCCGCCGGAGCTCACGCGGCTCTTCTTAGCGACCACTACTGCGTCATCACAGTAATATGCCCGGGACTGACAACTACACCAAATTCCACTGAATATGGGGTGTACTCACTGGCACCCACTGGTATCCAGTGAAGTCCAGTGCTAGTCTCCAGTGGCTGCTGCTGTTGGCTGGTGGGTATCAGTGAGTAACAGTGGGCGGCAGTGAGACACACCGGATCCCACTGGGCTTCGCAGGTTGCCACCGGCTACCGGCACACATCACCAGCAATTTGCATCAAACATTGCTTGAAGCCACTGGCTTATCAAGTACCAATATAGATACAAATATTTTTCTGTAATAAGCTCAATACATGCTTAGCCACCGGCATCTGTATAGATGCCTATTCTCCTCTGAACTGTGCACTATCCCAGAACTCAGCTCTCACTGAAGTGTCTCTACGCGGTACACTGTCTGAGTGCAAAAGGTGTGTAAAATTGATTGCCGGATGTGTCCCCAAGTGGAAGCAGCTGCAAGTAATTCTTTGAAGCATATTAAACTACACAGACCTGGTTAGAGGCTCCTGAGATTTTTTATAAACTTTCTATAAGCTCAGGAATGAGCTATCAGGCAGTGGGGGCAGGCTGCCAGCAGTCACATTAATATTTCAACAGCTATGAACCTTGTTGTTGTGATTCTCAGGTAAATGTATATTTTCTGAGTGAGAATATGTGTAATATAAGCCATCTATGCACAAAGCATGAGACCAAACCTGCCAGATACTAGTCTTAAAACAATTTGTTCATGAGAGTTAGCCCAACCTGGAAAGCAAGTCACACACCATGGCCCAATGTCACACACTTTTGCCCAAAGACCAGTGAAAAATGCCAAAAATTATTATTCAATGACATACTAACAATAAACAGCATATGCTGATGGATAGTGGCCACTGCCTGCCAGTGGATGTCACCAGTGTTTGGTGGTGTCTGCCACCTGCCATGTGAATCGACCGGACCAAATACCAGTGGCAGCCAGCATAACATGCTGAACACTGGTATATCCCAACATACCCCACTACTTGCCACTGATACACAGCAATATTCACCAGTTGCTGCTGTATTCCGATGGGTTCCAGTGGACAACGAACGGTGGTGTTCACAAGCGCTCACAGTGACGCACCCGTATATGGCAAGGACCGCCGGCGAACACCAATGGCCACCGGCGAACACCGGTGGTTACCGCTGGAAGTTGGCGAACGCCGAAGTTGCAAGTCACGGGCTTATAACTCCGTCATCACCACGACACTCTTCTGCCAACACGAGAGAAATTTGGAACTTTTTTATCGCAAAAAATATGCAAAAACAGCTTGAAAAAATAAGTAAGAAAATGTGCACCACACGTCGATGACGCTCGGATCCCAGAGAACGGAAGAGAGGATGTCGACTTCGCGGTATGTCAAGATGAGGTCTCCATCGATGAGTGCCGGGTGATTACGGTGGGCGACGACTGCGTCTGAAAAGGCTTGGGTGAGCGTGAGACGAGGCTCTGAGGGAACTGGCGCGGGGTCGACATGAATGCCGGCCGCGACGAGCTGGCCGAGAGCATGGGAGAATGGGATATTGTCGACTGTGCGGTTGAGGTCAGTGACGACGACCGTGAGCACGTCGACAAGGTTGTCGAGGAAGGTTTGAATAGTATCCGGTCCAAGCGAGTATACGTAGAGTCAAAGCTCTTCGGTCTGGTGGTATCCCGACACGGATTCAAGGTTGCTTCATGGCACTGATCACCGATCATCGTTTGCATCATTCTTTATCCTTTTTCCGTTTGCTTGTCTTTCCGTATTTGGACTTATCTGGGTCGGCAAGATATATTTTACCTGAGCTACAGTATGTGGTGTGTACTTAGCGTAGTCGACTCCAATTCACCCTGCTCCCCTCGCCTGAAACCACGTTCGCTGTTCCAATACAGCGGCGCCGCTGATGTGCCGGAAATGCAGAGCGGAGGACGTCTGTCGCGAGCGTAAGCGTTATAGCTGGTTCAAGAACGATAGATACCCCCTCAACAAATTTTCAGACCTCCGAGTTCGAAAACTTCGCAGGCACCAGAGCGAGCAAAGGAGACGCGTCCGCCGCGTTTGGTAAATCCACCGTGGTAGCACCTAAGGTAACGGCGGGATGAAATTAACAAACGCCTGCTCGCTCTAGCGCCTGTGGAGTTTTCGGACTCCAGGTTCTGAAAGTTCGCCGGGGGTGTCTATCGCCCTTGGAACAGCTGCAACATTTTGGAAGTGCTTGTATCGCTGGAGCTCGGGTCGTATCTTGTTCCTACGCCACTACACATAGGTGCGCCGGCTGAGACACGCTCGCGGACAAGGTCGCCACGGGTATGTGGGGGGCGTGATCACTTACGTTTCCTGCCATGCTAAGCTCGCAAGTGAATAGGGAAGGTGCGTCATGATGCATGAGACGCGAGTTCAGAGCGCACACGAGGACCCTTGGCTGCCTGTATTAGCTGCCTTTCATTTATCGAGAGCGGTGACTCGTCCGGCCAAATGATAGGCTAGTCACGCGTCACAAACCGACACATCCCTCGAATTGTGGCAGCCTCTGCATGCAGCACAAAAGCGGCCATTTTAAAATGGGTATCGCAGGTTACACTCCGGGCTTACTTGGTCAGGCAAGTATCATATAGAAGAAGTGCGTACAGTGCGGAGCTATATAGCAGATTATGCTGATCCTACAATACCCATCAGCAAACTCAGCCGACACATAGCATGGAGGCAGCAGCTTACAATTGCATATGTAGGAACACGGTCATACCATTGCAGACTTGCGTCGACTCTACGAAAAAGTCTATGGAGCCTTCACTACCATCGCATACCGGCCACCCCATTTCGGTGGCCCACCGACAAGACACGCAGCATAGTGCTTCTACACTCACTTCCATAGAACTTACGCCAGCCCCACACCCCCTTCCAGATCACAAGCCGAAAGTCACAAAATGCGGTCGAACTCGCCCCAGATCTTTGCATCTCCTTGCCAGAGGGCCCTACCGCTCCTCGCTTGCCCCAGTCTCCCGCACGTCAACAGCACTATTATGTCTCCCCACATCGACTTCTGCCCTACGTCCGACGGCATGCTCACAACGGCAGAAACTCTGCCATATACCCCCCGAACGACTCCGTTGCATCCAATGGACATGCCTCTTCTTCAACAGATAGGAAGCCTGGCCTTTCGGACCGCCTCGTCGATGCGTACGACGAACTCCAAGCCTACAGGTTCGTGCCGCCACTTTATTCTAACACTTAATATGGACTGACACAAACATAGGGAAGGCAATCCAGTGATTGTCGACGGTCATACCCTCAGCATTGCCGCAGTAGCAGCCGCTGCTCGTTATGGAGCTGCCGTGGCTCTCGGCGACAGGCCTGAGACACGCGAGCGTGTCGCGCGGAGCAGACGCGTGATCGTGGACAAGGTCAACGCTCAGCGCAAGCGTATACGGAGTCAGCACAGGTGTCGGTGGCAGCGGTGAGTTCTTCGTCCAACTCGCTTTCATTCAGCTCATCTGAAAACCGTCTACACAGCCGATACTCGTTCGAACAACCCTCTCCTGCTCGGCCAAGCCCTCCTCCAGCACCAGCAAGCCGGTGCACTGCTATCGCAAACAGAGGCTCCGCTCCAGGTGCTTCCCCTGGGCGATCCCCTCGCTATGACCAGTATGCCAGAGGCTCGGGTCCGCGGTGCTATCGTTATCCGAATGAACTCGCTCATATGCGGTCACTCTGGCATCCGCTGGGAGTTGATCGAGAAGTTGGGCGAACTTTTGCGAGAGAGCATCACACCTCTCGTTCCTCTTCGTGGCAGCATCTCAGCTTCCGGAGGTCAGTCTTGCGCTGCCGAAGCACAAGCGGATGATGCTGACCCAATCGCCTTGTTTACATCTTTCCCCTTTATCGTATGTTGCTGGAACTCTGACCGGCAATCCGACGATTCGTGTCTATGATGGCCCTGCATCCTTCGGGGCGCGCCGCATTGTTCCCTCGAACGTTGCGCTGGCGTTGTTCCGATCTCCCTCTCGTCCAAAGAGCACCTCGGTATTTTGAATGGCACTGCGTTCTCTACGTCCATCGGTGCGCTTGCACTTAATGAGGTCGTACACCTGTCGCTGCTCGCGCAGGTCTGTACAACGATGAGCACCGAGTCCATGACTGGCGCCGTCGCATTCTTTAATTCTTTCATCCATGTCGCTGCCCGCCCACACCCTGGCCAGATCGAAGTCGCACGCAACATTAGGATACTCCTTGGGGACTCTCAGATGGCACTGAAGTATCAGAACGAGGCCCACATTACTGAGGATGAAGGCGAGCTTCGTCAGGACCGATACCCGCTTCGTACTTCGGCGCAGTTCCTTGGCCCGCAAATCGAGGATATCCTGTCTGCACTCAATGCGGCTACGGTGGAGTGCAGCTCGAGTAGGTCTTCTTGCCGTGTATTCCCTGACGCTCGCTAAACTTAGGCCGCAGCTACCGACAACCCTCTGGTCGATGGCGAAACTGGAGCTGTGCACCACGGTGGGAATTTCCGGGCCATGGCTGTCACCAGTGCGATGGAGAAGACTCGGCTGGCTATTTACCATATTGGAAAGTTGCTGTTCTCACAGTGCACGGAGCTCATCAACCCGGCAATGAACCGCAGACTGCCACCCAACTTGGCCTCGACCGATCCGTCACACAACTACTTTACCAAGGGTGTCGACATTCACACCGCCGCCTACGTCAGTGAACTCGGCTACCTGGCGACCCCGGCGTCGACGCACATCCAGTCTGCGGAGATGCACAATCAGGCAGTCAACTCGCTTGCGCTGATCTCGGCTCGGTACACGATCACTGCGATTGACGTGCTCTCGCTGCTGACAGCGAGCTACCTGCTTGTGCTGTGCCAGGCCCTTGACCTGCGCTCGATGCATCACGACCTTCAGTTCTCGTTGTCAGCCATCGTGCGCGAGCTTGTGCCGAAGAATTTCCCGTCTGTGGCCAGGCATGCGGACGTTCTCATGGCGATCCTCGAGCGCGTCGTCTTCCGCGCTCTCGACACTACGAGCACTGCGGACTGCAAGGCGCGCATGTACTGCGTCGCTGCGTCGACAACGACGTCGCTGGTCGACTTCCTCTCCGCGGACCTCACCTTTGGCGCCAACCTCGGGCATATCACTGGCTTCCGTGCGGAGTTCGCGGAGCGCGCTGCGGGGACGCTGATGGCGCTGCGTATGCAGTACCTCGAGGGTGCGCGCAGCTCCGCACCCGCAAGCAGGCACCTCGGCAAGACACGAGCGGTGTACGAGTTCGTGCGGGTCACGCTTGGAGTGCGCGTGCACGGCGCGGAGAACCTACGTGGCTTCGAGATGGGCCCTGGCGTCGAGGATGGCACGGTCGGTGGCTACATCTCGGTCATCTACGAGGCCATCCGGGACGGCAAGATGCAAGGTGTCATCATACAGCTCGTCAGGCCGCCCAAGGCGGGTGAGGCGCCGAGGGCCTGATATTCTTGGGACTTAGACTTATTTCTTCTTCTTGGATAATGTAGATATAGAAAGTGTAGTGTATGGCAGCAATACCATGCCTGAGATCATGAACTTGAAGAAGGGCCTGCCTCGCGCGCGCTCCGAACTCGCGTCTCATAATGCATCTTCCCTGTTCACTTGCGAGTTGCTCACATGCCCGTGAAGAACTAACTCACGAATGTGTCCCGTGATACCTGCTGCGGGAGCCGAGGCAGCTCAGGGCGACGCCAATCATAGGGCTTCCCACGTAGCTCTGGGAGCACGCGACGGCGTAGGGTCCGTGGGTGGCGAGCACTCACCCCTTCTCTACGGTCAGCTCCCGCGGAAACTGTTTCCACGCTAGAGCTTGGCTCATCGGGGGTGGCTCGGCCAGTGGGCTAGCAACTCTCTCGGCAGACTCCATGCTTCCTCGAACCCTGTTGGAAAGCTGTACAGTCCATCATCAGACGGCTATCCTGAGGCGAGCCACAGGGCAGACCACACAGACCACATCATCATCATCTGCGGGCAATTCAGCGAGTCTCTTGCCAGCTCCAAGGGCGTCTCCACGCCATTATTTTCTCAGCCCTTCGCATTGGCGATTCTCAAGCCCTTGCATCGATGATTATCCGGGCGCATACCCTGGAAAGCAAGCTGAGGTGACCTGAGATAAAAATTGACGTACTTCGGTGCAAAGATCACCGGGTTCCGAGGCTTAGAATGACTAGCATTGCTACTAGGCTCTTCTGGTCAGTCCGTGAAGTCGTACAGGAACAATAGACGACTTGGTTCACCTTTCGGATGTGTCCCAAGCATGTGCTCGCGGGCATCTAGTCGAGCAATGTTTTAAGAAATAGCAACAAGCATCACTATACAGACAGCCTAATCGGTCATCGCCGATCTGCAGCCTGATTCACCCGAGCGTTCGTGGTCGAGATGTGTTCCGACCATGTTATATTCAATCTTTGACTAGGTACTCAGGACGATCTACGTTGCTTGACTAAACCTATGAATTCTTCACCTCTTCCTGAATGTCCCCTTCTACGAGGATGCTGATGGCGATGGCGAGGTCGTGGAGCGTCGGGTGCTCGAACACAAAGTTCTGCGATACGTGCAGGGCGAATATATTAGTCTGAGGGTCGGTACGGAGGGCGTTGATAATCCGGGTCCGGAGGAATGTGGCATGCAAGCTGGTTGAATCTCAGTATGATACCCTGTGTGGAAAGATAGGACTCACCTGTCGAACCCCTGGTCAAACAGCGCTTGAGACGGTGAGATTACATCTCGGCGATTGACAAGAACAGAAGCGTGTTCTTGGAGCCAGGTCTGTATGTCTGGAACAGTCCACGAGGACGGTGAGCGGATGCTTTCAGAGTTTTCGCCGTTATCAAAAACCGCATATCCAGGTGAGGTGGCTGTGTCAGCCACAAGTAGGTCCGAGCACAATGTCTGACCGCTCACAAGCTATTGATCTCATTCTCGTAAGCTTTCAGCGCTTGCTTCCGGATAACCGTCCCCTTGGCGGTACGAGGTAAGGGCCTGCCGCGCTCTGTGACAATAATCATCTCCTTGAAAATCTTCGCGAATGCTGGAGCCGTGCGATTCGCTTCTTCAACAACAGGCCTGGAGGATATTGAGCGATGATATTCTCAAGCGTAGCGAAACAGCATACCAAAGCTTGTTTCTGAATTCCGGTAACGCGTTCACGCCATTCCTACTGACAGCATGACCTTTCTTCGGTTCGACGAGAATACCACACTGGCTCTTGCCCCGACCAAACATGACAGCTCCTTGGACCATACGCGACGAGCCTATTAGTCCTTCTTGCGGGATCGGCACGACTTTCTCTCCTGTCGGGGATTGTCAGAGGAAGTCTACTTGAAAATACAGGAAGATGCTCACCCAGACCGAGGACAATAACATCATCCTTGCGACCAATTCTGGGCCACTGTGGTAAGTATCTCTTCCTCGCACAACAACTCATCAAACTTACATGCGCCATAAATTCTTCTTCGATGGATGCGGTTTCCATAGGTCGTTTGTCGCGTACCCCCTCGTGTCCTCCAGATTCTCCACATTAGGGCGGTGCGTCACACATGTCTGTCGTGTGTCAGCCACCGATGGTCCGGTCATGTAACATCAGCTCACCAGAAACTGCAGCTCAAATGTCCCGTCCCCCTCAGGGACCCATCTGCACGTCACACGGTCAGAGAACGACAGCCATTCCCAGTCCGCTCTCGTCTTAGCGTCTGAGGCGGGATTGGAAGAATCACCCTTGTCGAAGATTTTCGTGTGCGGTCCGAATTCGGTGCCTCCGTACCAAGGGTACAAATTGACGCCTTCCGCTGTGAGCTCGTCGCCGGTCTTGGATGGCAACGGCCCTCCACCGAAAACCTTGAGATCGACAAGTAAGCGATGAATAGCTACAAATCTCATTATTTATACTTACGACTATCTTCATTGTCTTCAGGTATTCGACGTCGTCCTTCAATCTCGCCCACGCCTGCACGATGGAGTTCGAGTCTCAGGTTGTCTCTGATGCGAACCAGAACTCACCTCGACGAACGCAGGGATCGTCAAGATTCCCGTACAGCCGGCGGCCATGGCCGCTTCAATGGTGTTGCGCGGGGTAGGAACCACAGGTGACGCAGGCGCTCTGGGAGCGAACAGACATACCGGAAGCCCGCTCACCAGAGGGTAGTACAACTGTACGCATATGCCCATAAGGTGAAACGTGGGTAGTGCCATCCCTCCCCAAATAACCGCACGGCTCATGGAGTCAGTAATAATCGCTATTACGAATAGAAGATAAGCACGGTATCCTTCTATCGGGCAAGCAAGGCTACGCACGAGCGTGGCATGTATGGAGGATATCGGCCTGGCGTTGAGGAATCGGCTTTGGAAAGCCAGTCGAACCAGATGAGTGAAGATAAAAGAAGTTGTCGTCCATCGAGAAAGGCCTGTTACTAGGAGGGTAGGGTTCGCACAGATCTGTGGAGCTTGCTCCGCGTAAGGCTGGGAAGATCTCCTCAAGCTCGGGAAGGGAGTCGATTTGGAGCGTGTAATTCTCGTTCTCGAGCTCAAATTGAACATCGGGGAGCATAGAATGCATACTGGGCTGGCACACAATCCTGTGGCATGACGTGCGCTTGAGCATGTCGACTATCGCCGGCGCAGGGTTTCTGGGAGACATGGGGAACGGCTAAAGATGATTTGGTGGTCATCAACAGTTCTGGTCATAAGAGATGAGTTGAGGTAGGACACACCACGATGCCTGCTCTCATCATTCCTGCCAACAAGGCGAGATACAGTGTCGCGTCGCAATTCACGAAAATCGCAACGACCTCATTGTCGGGACCTGATCTGTTCGGCCTCAGCTTATGTGCGACTCTGTCGGCGGCACGAGAAAACTCCGCGAACGAAATGGCCTCGACTGGTAGGCCAGGTCCAGCAGAAAGGAGGGCCCACGGCCGTTCAGGATTGTTCTGGGCATGAAAGTCGATGAATCCCGGAAGGACGGGGATTGAACCGTCGAGTGGGGGTCGAGCAGGGTTAGAGGACATTTCGGCACAGGTAGGTCGGTGTATCCATGCCCGCTATCTGGAGCAGTATTTAATTGGCGGGGAGATCCCCCAGCGAATGACGGTAATGACCATTTGACACGAATGATGACTTAGACCAATTCTGGTCAAAATAAGTATACGAGGCGCGCGACACTCTTGCCGACGGCTTGGACGAGAAGTGGACTAGGATCCTCGGTCGCCTGACAGACGGCGCTGACGAAGGCAGGGCCGACGAAACCGGTCGAGGCGAGGCGGTCGTCGAGGAACGTCTCGGTGTTGGGCAGCTCTGCGTCGAGGATGGTAAAGGGAGCCGGATTAGTGTTCAGAAAGGAATGGGGCGTGGTAGGACAGCGCGATTGAGGGCCGCCGGCCATCTTTGACACTTCCGCGGTCCACAAGAGGTTCGAATAGCCACCAAAACTGGGCTGCTCAATTCGGTTCGGTTTGCGTCTTGGAGAGTAAGGGATGGCGATGTTCCCAACCGTTCTGACATGCCTCGCCACGGCGATTTGGTTGCGGTGAGGGTTCCCTGCTGCCACAAACTTTAAGCTCAAGGGTAGCCACGTTCCAAGTCGGTCGGACATGCCCCACCGCAGCAAATATAATGTCGCAAATTTCTGTTTACCCTCACGAGGGAGATGCCCCAAGATTGCATCAAAACTGCATCAAAATTGTCTGGTGACAATCGTGAAGGCCTCATCAAGCGAATTTCGTGTCGTGGTAGACATCACGATGCCTTCACGAGGCTTGAGAGAAAAGATCGCTATTGATGCATCGTGATTTTGGGAAGGTAAGCTGAACCCAGCGAGATTGACAGTCCAAAGGGGGCTTACCTAATGTTTGGCCGCGCGTGCGAAGAAATTTGCGACAATTCTTGGTCACCGGCAAGCTTAGAGTGGGTGACAGCAGTGTTGTGCCGGTCAGCAAGACTGGTCAATGACCGAGTCAGACATGACCGTGATTGGCCGGTTTCTGAGTCCCACTCCAAGTGTCCAATTATATCTATATCGTAGAATGCCATCAGATACCGCCGCCCACGGGGTCTGCCTCCCAGACGCTTGATGCGACCGCCCATCTATATTCATTAACATTGAATATTGACCGGTCATGACCAGCTGTCAGTTAATGACCGTGACCGAGATGACTCGGCCATTGACTACCCAACACTGCTAGGTGACGTACAACTTCTAAAACGCGTGTCAGTGACATCCGCCGTGTCCTGCGACATTTTGTACGTCGCTCCGGTACAGCCAGGCTCAGGGTTCGAATCTGTACCAGCGTTGGGCAGTCAATGACCGAGTCATCCCAGTCACGGTCATTCACTGACAGCTGGTCACTGATGGGTCAATGACTGGGCGGTTTCGTGATCCCACGCAAGCGAAATGCCGGGGTCGAGCGCTTGGGGGGACAGACCCCAATGGAATGGCAGGGCCTGATGGCGCCCTGCGATATGGTTGGCTGCCAAGGTGGGACCCGGAAAACCGGCCAGTCACGGTCATGTCTGACTCGGTCATTGACCAGTCATTGACCAGAGTGACCAGTCACTGACCAGTCACTGACTGGCACAACGCTGCAGAATCTGTACCATACCAGTTTTCGGTTCGAGGCTTGACTGTCGTATCTGATCTGCGAGGTGCGTGAGTCATCCGGTAGGCTCGCAGGTGTCATACGGTTACGTCTAAACGAGCGTCCGAGTGAGAGGACCCAGAGAACGCAGAACGCCGTGCGTCGAGTGCGATGCACGTCGCGCACCGTATCCTCTGTACACACTCTTCACTATGATCAACATTGTATACGACAGCAGTACCAGTAAGCAGTCAATAGGACTTAATACCACTGTGGAACCAGAGGCCTGATGGCTGTCAAGCGGACTTGTTGCATTTTCAAACTACTATGCGCAGAAAGGAACTCATCTCTTTGCTGGGAGAAACAAGTATGGTGGAGTATCCAATCGATGACGACTACTTTACTTGCCGTTCATTACATGCCCTCGCGTAGATTGGAGATTGGCCGCCACTTGAGAAGCCAATAATACAACAAGATACAGCTGAGACTTACAAAGTGGGGGGAAGACGCACGTTTTTGACAGCTAAGTATGCCTTGGCTCCCCGCATGGACGACGCCGCCCTCTCATGATGACGACTGTCGCGTACCTAGACGTCTCTACGCGACACAGCGCAGAGTTGATGCTGTCATCTGGCTTGGCCTCTGATGACGCCTGTCCTGGTGTCCCTCTGACGGGGCTTGTTGTGGATGCTGCCAGTGCGGTCGGCTGGACGCATCTTCGCCTGCTTTTGACGTCGTGGTCCTATATGGAGCGGTGTGGCAGAGGTCGAAGCTATATAGTCCTTCGTTTCGGGCTAAGAGGGTCAGAGCAGAGCATGAGACATCCGTCCGCACGACGCGAAAGAGGAGAGAGGAAAGTGCACGAGTAGTCGAGAACCTGGAGGGAGAGAGGCTCTGAGCATCATCGATGGGCTTGGCGGCAGCGGAGGGCTTGACGGAAGTGGTGGCTGTGGAAGGAGCAGCCTGTAAGGCCGCGCCTATAAGACGGCGTGGAAACCCTAACACCCGGACTCTATCTACATGAATAACGACTTGCGCTTTCGTGCCCCGTAGTTCAACTCGTATACGAACTCCTAGATTATGAAAGGATTAAATTACCCTCCTTCCATCAGCGGCTGAAATCGAGATGTCCAGTGGTCGATTTCGCTGACGGAAATTATGAGCCTGAGGGATAGTATCCACGAAAACAGCTACTAGAACATTATACTCTAATTTCTAGAGATATACGACGCCTGTTTCGCACAGGGTATCTTTCTACGAGTAGAAACGGTGACACTCGTGCCCAAAATTGAGGCGGAAGTTAAGACTCTGCCGTTCTGCTGTTCCGCGCAAGGTCGAACATTTTTGCGTTCCGAAATGCCGGCACTGCCGTCGCCAGTTCTAGCAAAGGCACCGGTAACCGTGACTGTGTGAAATCAGGGAGGAGGGCCCGGGGCAAGCAAGCCGTCCAACCCCTGCCCAAGGCCTTCGAAGATCCACTCCGCGTCTTGCTCGCAGAGCGCGTTGCTCGACGTGATGTCCTACGTGGCCGTCTGGTCTTTGCTGTTTTTCATCATGACAGCCGTGCCCGACGTCGTGCTTGTCGCAGTCACGGTGAGAGTGACGCTGTTGCCGGGGAGGAAGCTAATGCCCTAGAAGTCGTACGCGTAGTCGGGTACTGTTCGTACCAGCCTGCGCGAGAAATTTAGCGCGTGGAGATGTTAGAGCAAGGCAGACGCATCGCAGTAGGACACCGAGGAACCGGAGATGGTAAAATCGAGGCTAGTCTGCAGGATAGCACCATCGCAGGTGCCGCTGTCGATGGCAGCCCAAGTATCCGCATAACCTAAACAACACGAGGGACGGAACGCGACGTACCAGCGAACACCCTTGCGCCCAAAGGCCCTGTGGTCGAAGCAAACAGCAGACGGCTTGTGTTAACGGACGTGCAGGAGCACTCCAAGATGGTGACCGTGGAAGCGGAGATCTGCATCTGCGGCTTCCATGCAGGCAGCAATGGTGCGAGCTTGCGGGAGTGGTCGCGCTGAGGCTGAGGGCCTGCAATTCGATGTAGGAGGCGAAGGACGTAGCGATGTTCACGCCGGTCTGTGCTGAGCACCGGAGACGCTGGCGGAGATGTGGTCGGCGTGGGACGACGCTCGCGGAGCAGGGGGTTCAAGTTGTCGGCGACTGAGCTCAGGTAATCTCTACTGCGGCATTCAGCATAGCCTGCAGTTGGGCTCTAGCAGCGCTGTTAGTTACCGAGCCAAAACACAGCAGCTCCCGGCCTACCCTAAGACCAGGCAGTCATTGTGCATAGCCAACGTGCGCGTTCTCATAACGAGGTTTCTTGGTCGCATCAAGCGCGTGCTTCGTTGGCGATAACCTGTTCGTAGCTACGGGAGCTGTTGCGTTCAGCGCAAGAATGATACCACGTATACCACTGGCGGTCGACGCATAACAGCGGGCTTGCTTTGCTCATCGCCACCATCCCGTTCGTGCCCTTGGTGCGTACACTGCAAGTCTAGCCGATCAAGTTGAACCTCGGAGCTTAAATCATGTCGAGATGGGTGGGAACGTAATGTACAAGAGACAGGCCAGCGGTTGCGGGCCAGGTGAACCACAGTAAGATAGTCATCTTGGACCGTGCAAAGGCCAAGAACTGCTTGGGCTTTGGCTCCTCGTCCATAGCTCTAAATGCGTAGGTCCTGCCAGAGAGATAGGTCGCCATCTGCTCGAAGCTTCAGCGAGCGGAGCTTGCCCTTTAGTGCGAGTGTATGCGCGCCGTCGTGTTCCATCAGCACTTTGTGCGCCGCGTCGTCCGCAGCGAGCGTAAGCAAGCCTGCCTTGGGCTGATACGTCTGACAACGGTGTCAAGCAACTTTGTGCGCTGGCGTGTAAATGGACGTCATGAAAGGTTTGCTGAGGCAGCGCGAGCGCGTGCTTTTTGTGGTGTGCTTGTGCTAGCATTTGTTGAGACGCGTCAAGAATATACGGAGAGTTTGGGGAGTGGGTCTGGGGATTGGGTCGGGTGGGTGTCGTGAATGGGCCCATGTGGCCGCTCGCTAAGACATTGTATTGACGGATTGCAGGGTGTTAGAGATGACCCGTTTGACAGCAGGTAGCTTGCCAGTCGCGGGCAGTCATACAGCGACTTGCGCATCCGAGCGGGCCGGAGTCGTTCAATTTTGCTTCTGGACAATATCAATAACGGGGTAGATATATGAATGTGCACTACACGCACTTTGGCCCCTCGACGTCTTGCTTATGTCCACATTCCACCTCTCCGCTCTCCGCTCTCCGCTCTCCGCTCTCCCGCCTGCCCTAACCTCCTCGAGCGATACCCGCACCTAATCCGAGAGCCTGTCTCACCCATCTCATCCGATCACTGATTTCACTCACTTCCATCTGTCCATTCACAGCTACTGGACCACTCGGTCCGCTCATTGTCTTCGCTGATAGCAACGTGGGCAGCCTTTACCTCCATACGATCGTTATACGTCTTCTCAGTGTCGTGTTTGTTCCCCAGTGGATGGCATATGTGGGAGGAGAGCGTAGGCATCTCGACATGCGCAAGCATGCGCGTGCGCTCTGCAAACTTCTGAACCTACAATGGAACGTACTGGAGCTTCACGGACTGGCGCGCTGAAGCTCAGGAGGGATGCTTGCTTGCGGTCTTGGGATGTCGTGTAGGATTCACGGCCGCACGGCCGGGCCAAGGAGTCCGCCAAAGCTGGCCTTGACCCGAAACAGAGTTGATGGCAGGAGATCGGACCGAGCGCGGGCGTGCAGTGCACCGACATGGATGTTGGAGATGTTGGTCTGGCCGTTTACATATTTGGTCTTATTTGTGCCCTATCATGGACGCGTGACGTCACGCGTCGCCCGCGCGTTCTTGTCACTTGATCGCCAAAAGAAACGCTCGACGCGCTGCTTTTCGCTCTGCCGCCTCATTCGGCGTAGTCCACAGGCTCAAATGTTTTGGGACTATAGCCGTGTCCTTGCCGGTAGCTCAAATCGAGGCGCTGCGCTCCCAACGCGTATCAAGTGCAAGTTGCCATGTTGTGTTTCGTCGGGCTGCGGCCTCGATAATACCCTCGGTGGCAGGCTGAGGGTGTGACCTGCGACACTCGTTCCACAACGGCTGCTTTTGCGTTTCATACAGAGCGACTGCCATAATCAGAGGGAGGTGTAATGTGTGACTGGCCTATTTACAAATACACCATCGCTCAGTAAATGAAATGCAGCAGATCCGGGGGCGTATCCCGAAAAGCAAGTCGGGGTAACCTCGAGTGAAAGTTGACGTACTTCGGTGTAAACATTGCCTCTGAGGCTTAGATGGACCGGCCTTGCTGCCGGGCTCTTCAGGTTAGTCCGTGAAGTTGTATAGGAACAAGAGACGACCCGACTCGCCTTTCGGACGTGTCCCGAGCATGCAGCCGCGGGATCTAGTCGAGTGATGTTCGTTAAAACAGCTACGAGCATAACTATACAGCCAGCCTGATCGACGCTCATGGTCTAGATAGGATCCAGCGGTATTAGATTCATTCCTTGGCTAGCTACTCAGGACGGTCTATATCACTTGACTCAAACTCTTCCTTCGCTTATTCGCGAACGTCCTCTCCTACGAGAACACCGATGGCGATTGCGAGGCTTTGGGGCGTCGGGTGTTCGAACACAAAGTTCTGCGATACGTGCGGGGCGAATATATTGGTCTGAGGGTCGGCACGGAGGGCGTTGATAATCCGGGTCCGCAGGAACGTGGCATGCAAGCTGGTGATAGTTCAGTACCGTATCTTGTGCGGAAGGTGGAACCCACCTGTCGAACCCCTGGTCAAACAGCTCCTGAGTTGGTGAGATTATATCTCGGCCGTTGGGCAGAGCGGAAGCGTGTTCTAGGAGCCAGGCTTGTATGTCAGGCACAGTCCACGAGGACGATGGACGGATGCTTTCAGGGTTTCCACTGTCTTCCAGGATCGAGTATCTAGATGGAGTCATTGTGTCAGTCATGAGAAGGTGTGAGCACAGAGTTTAACTACGCTCACAAGCTATTGATCTCCTTCTCGTAAGTTTTCAGCGCTTGCTTCCGGATAACCGTTCCCTTGGCGGTACGAGGCAAAGGTCTGGCGCGGTCCGTGACGATAATCATTTCCTTGAAGATTCTGGCGAATGCCGGGGCGGCGCGATTCGCTTCCTCAACAATCGGCCTACTGGGTATTGAGCGACAATGTTCTAAAGCGTAGCAAAGCGGCATACCACAGCTTGTTTCTGAATTCCGGCAACGCGTTCGCGTCGTTCCGGTTGATGGCATAGCCTTTTCTGGGCTCGACGAGAATACCGCACTGGCTCTTGCCCCGACCAAACATGACAGCTCCCTGGACTATACGTGATGAGCCTATCACTCCTTGGGGGACCGGTACGACGTTCTCTCCTGTTGAACATGATAAGAGGAAGTCTACACAGAGGTATTAGAAGCTGCTCACCCAAATTGAGGACAATAACATCGTTCTTGCGACCAATTCTGGGTCACTACAGTAAGCATCTTTTCCTCGCGTAACAGCTCGGCAAACTTACATGCGCCACAGTCCTTTCTTCGAAGGATGCGATTCCTATAGGTCGTTCGTCGCGTACCTCCCCGTGTCCTCCAGGTTCTCCACATTAGGGCGGTGCGTTGCACATGTCTGTTCGAGTGTCAGTCACCGATGACCCGGCCACGTAATGTCAGCCCACCAGATACTGCAGCTCGAATGTGCGGTTTCCCTCAGGAACTCACCTGCACGACACACGGTTGGAGAATGACATCCATTCCCAGTCCGCTCTCGTCTTGGTGTCCGGGGAGGGACTGGAAGACTCGTCGATGTCGAAGACCTTCGTATGCGAGCCGAATTCGGTCCCGCCATAGCATGGGTACAAATTAACGCCTTCCGCGATGAGCTCGCTACCAATCTTGGATGACAGCGGCCCTCCTCCGGAGGCCTTCAGACAGACAAGTAAGCGGGAGAAAAAGCTCGAAATTCTATCAAACATACTTACGATTATTTGCAAAGTTTTCAGGTATTCGACGTCGTCCTTCAATTTCGCCCACGCCTGTACAGTCGAGTTAGATGTCTCAAGATACCTCTAGCGTAAATCAGAACTCACCTCAACAAACACAGGGACCGTTAAGAACCCTGTACATTTGGCAGCCATGGCTGCTTCGATGGTGTTGCGCGGTGTAGGAACCACAGGCGACGCAGGCGCTCTGGGTGTAAACAGGCATACCAGAAGCCCGCTGACGAGAGAAGAATACAGTTGATTGCATATTCACATGATGTGAAACGTGGGAAGTGCCATGGCACCCCCAATAACTGCGCGATCCGCACAATCAGAAATAATTGCTAGTACGATTGAAAGATAAGCATGATATCCTCTAATCTGTCGAGAAAGGCTACGCACGAGCGGAGCACATATGAAATATGTCGGCCTGGCGTTGAGGAATCAGCTTTGGAAAGCCGGCCGAGCCAGACGAGTGAAGATAAAAGATGATATCGTCCGTCGAGAAAGGTTCGTCACTATGTGGGTAAGGTTCGCACAGATCCGGGGAGCCTCCTCCGCGCAAGGCTGGGAAGATTTCCTCGAGCTCGGGAAGAGAGTCGACTTGGAGAGCGTACTTTTCGCTCTCAAGTACGCTCTCGAGCTCGGCTCGGACATCGGTGAGCAGGGAATGCATACTGGTCTGGCAGACAATCCTGCGGCAGGACGTGCGCTTGAGCATGTCGACTATCGCGGGCGCAGAGTTCCTGGAGACATGGGGAATGGCTGGAGGGGATGACACGATGCTCAGCACTTCAAACCACTAAAGCTAAGTCGAGGTAGGACATACCACTATGCCTGCTCTCATCATTCCTGCCAACAAGGCGAGATACTACACCGTGTCGCAGTTGACGAGGATGGCGACAACCTCACTGTCGGGACCTGATCTGTTCGGCCTGAGCTTATAGGCGACTCTGTCAGCGGCACGAGCAAGCTCTGCAAACGAGATAGCGTCCACCGGTAAGCCAGGCCTAACTGACAAAAGGGCCCACGGCTGGTCAGTTGCTGGGCATGAAAGTCGATGAATCCCGGAAGGATGGGGATTGAGCCGTCGAGTGGGGGTCGAGCAGGGATAGAGGACATTTCGTCGTAGGGAGGTCGATGCGTCAGGTTTAATAGCCGCTTTGTAGGGCAGTATTTAACTGACGGGATAATTACCCAGTAAATGACCATTCGACACAGGTAATGGCCTGATTCAATTCAGGTCAAGGAAAGTATGCGAGGCGCGCGACACCTGTGCCGACGGCGAACCGGGGCTTGGAAGAGACTTGGACGAGGGTCTACATGAGGTGTGTTCTGGTCTGTCCGCCTAGTAGACGGCGTTTACGAAGGAGGGGCGGTCGTCGACGAACGTCTCGACCTCTGGCGTGGAGGTTCCAGGCGTTCGTGGGCGAGAAGACGAAACCGTAGACATCGGGATTGCAGACATGGCACAGGGTGGTAAGCGCAGTTTTTTTCTTGAGAAAACTCAGGCAAAAGCGGCTAAAGAAGGCCCAGTTATTCCTCGATTCTACGCTGATGCAAACTGAGGAGAAACTAGTGCAAAACCAGCCAAAATGGTCTAAAACACAGTAAAACTGGCGGAAAACTGAGTTTTGCCTTCGGTTTTTTTCAAGTGAAAACCGGAGAAAGTTGGAGCCTTGTTCAATCAGTTTTTGGCCAATTTTACGCCGGAAAAAAGTGCGCTTACCACCCAGTGTGGGCGACAAGGCTGCTAAGCCGATCGCGTGCATTAGGTCGGAATGTTTGAGCAGCTCGGCACCGGGATTGGCAAAGGTTGACAGTGAAGGCGGAGTAGGGATTTCAGAAGGGAGTCGGGCGTGATGGGGCGAGGTCGCCGGTCACCGGTCACCTCTGGCATTTCAGAAGAGATTTGAATAGCCACGGGCTGCTCTATTCCAGGGATAGTGACATCCCTAGCCATCCCGACATATCTCGCCATGGCGGAGGAAACAAAAGAAAGAAAAATTTGCACACAACGTCCGTGGTCTCTAGCTTGCAAGGCAATAGGCCCTGGAGGATATATCAGTCCACAGCGCGTGCGAAACTGTGCTCGTCTGGTCCCCGCCTGTGTGTAGTTTTACGACCGCAGCGGATGCCACAGGTCACAGGGCCCTCATCCCGTCCGGTTTTTCGCCTCTGTCACATGTCGCAAAGGTGTCCATCCGGCCGTGACACCCGAGAAGGAACTTAGGTCGCATTTTTTTTCAGGCCTGCACCGCCCTGTACTAGTACCGTAGAATGTATCATCATACCAGCAGAGCTACCCAGGTAAAATACCGTAGCCGCGCTCGGTCGTCCGTTAGCCAGCGGATGTCACAGGTCACCGAATTCATTTGCGACAAAGCGGTGCGTACGGACTGGCGCAGGCCCTGCGTTCGTAACATGAGTTACGAATAGATCAACTGTTGGCACATGGCGTCTCGATTAAGACGAACTCAATATTATATTATACAGCGAAAATGATGAGATACAGCAGCAAGATGTACAAAAGCTAAGCGAAGGCGACCAGACCTATGCGTTGAAGACTGCGGAAATCTTCGCACTAATCACAGACAAATTGCCAGACTCTTCTTCGAGTAGGTGGTAGTGGTTCCCGTGCAGGAGAACCTCGTCCAACGAACCAACGAGCGGGACAAACCCGTGGTTTGTATTTGACTCCGTGTGGAACAGCGTGACGTGCCCCTCGTACCGCGGCATCACATGCGCATGGAGCGTATGGATGTTGATGAGGGTGCGGACCTCGATGTCGTGCTTCAGACGTGCTCCTTGCTCTCCCATGTTGCCGAACGGCAGCTCCACGACGCTCATCACAGTCGGTAGGACAACATGCGCGGCCTCTTCGATCTGCGTCTGCGACAGCTTGGCCTCATGCACCGGGTGCACCGACGTGTCGAGCACGAACAGGTTGACGGTCCGGCCCTCGTCCTGCGCGAGGCGCGCCACCTCGACTGCGACGTGTCCACCGTAGGAGTAGCCCAAGATGTTGAACGGTGCGGCGCCAGGCTTGGTAGTACCGATGCGGGCCAGCTCCTCGACAATACGCGCGTAGTAGTACTTGGCGTGGTTCTCGACGGTGTGCATGCCCGGATTGCGCAAGGTGTTGGCGTGACCTGTCGACACCTGGTCTTGGGGGAAGTCGTCGGGTGCAACATACCCAGGGTCGTTGAGAGCTATGACGTTGAACAGGTCGGTGGAGCGAGACAGCGCAGCGAACGTGTGGCCGAGACCAGTGGCCATGGGAACGCAGAACAAGAATGGCTTGCGAGGCTCCTCAGAAAAGACGAGCACCTGCGGTACGTGGAACTCCTCGTATACCGGGGCAAGCGTCGGAGGTGTCGTCGATGTTCGATCAGCTGGCTTAGCAGCAATCGCCTGCCTGATCTTGCCCGCCATTGCCTTGACCACGGGCGTATGGAACACGTCCATTAGAGCGAACGGGATGTCGAAAGCTTCTTGTATCCGGAAGACCAAACGGGAGGCAAGGAGCGAATGGCCGCCCGCATCGAAGAAGTTCGTGGACCGACGAATAGACGTGCGACCGAGAAGAGCTTCCATGATCCTACAGAGCCGTCCCTCGACCTCATCCTCGGGCTCGCCCGATCCATCTTCCTCTGCGTCATCGTTCAGCATGCTATCGACGTCGGCGGCAGCCCGCGCTCGAAGCTGATGGCGGTCCACCTTGCCGTTAGGCGTCAGAGGAAGAGTCGGGATCCAGCGCACGACATGGGGAATCATATACGACGGAAGACTCTTGCGCAGCGACTCGAGGAGCCGTGGTGAGAGGGAATGAGATTGCGAGGCCGAAGTCGGCGCAGCAGCGACAGCGTACGCGATAAGCAGATCGTCTTTGCCCTTGTGGGACTTGAGATGGACGACGACGGCATCGTTGGCCAAGTCGGTTTGACGGATGACCACCTCGATCTCCGAGAGCTCCAGTCGCTGTCCGCGGATCTTGATCTGGCCAGCATTCATCCTCCCGACGAAATGCAACTGTCCATCCGGGCCCCATCTCATAGCGTCACCCTGCACGAAGAATGAGACACGTAAGGGATGGACAAGCGGAGGCGACGTACCGTGCGGTAATACCGAGCCACACCTTGGTTGAGTTCGTCGAACCCAAGCTCGACGAAGGCCTCGGCTGACTCCTTCGGCCGCCTCAGATACCCCGGACCGACACCAGCACCGCCAATCACCAGCTCACCGACCACGCCCGGGGGCACAAGCCGGCCCTGTGTGTCGACAATGAGAACTTGAGCGGTTGACATTGGTAAGCCAATGGGAACAGGTCCAGACGTGGGCATGTTGGGAACGTCAGTCCAGAACGTGGCGGCGAAGACACAAGTCTCCGTGGGGCCGTAGGCGTTGAGGATGCGGATCGACGGGTTAACAGATTTCACTCTTTGGAAGTTCTCGTAGTAGGACGCCTCTCCGCCGACCTGCAGAATGCGGAGCTTGCGGAATAGCTGGGGTGCAAGATCGAGGGCTTGGCGGAATAGTGCGCCGGACATGAAGCAGCCTGTGATGCTAAACAACTGGAAATGTCCCGCAAGAACGGCCAGGTCCAGAACGTCGTACCGATTGAAGCAGACGACCGTGGCGCCGGTAAGTAGTGTGCACCAGATGTCGATGATACTGGCGTCCCATGCGAGGTTGTTGATCATCCCGATCCTGTCGCCAGCCTGGAACGGGAAGACATCCGTGTTCGAGACCAGTGCGACCACCGCAGACTGCATGACGACCACTCCCTTCGGCACACCAGTGCTGCCAGATGTGTACATGACGTAGGCGGCATCCGTGCGAGGAGCGCAGACGAAGTCGGCGGGGGAGGCGAGGTCGATGTCGGCGAGGAAGTTGGAGATGTCGAGGCGAGTGATACCCTCGGCGTCGCCGGCGAAGTCTGGCGACTGCGAGGTCGTGATCAAGAGACCTGCACCACTCTCGCGCAAGAGCATCTCGAGACGCTCTGGAGGGTATCGGACGTCCAAGGGCACATATGCGGCTCCGGCCTTGACGATGGCGAGGATGGATATGACAGCGAGGGCCGACGGGGGGATGCACATTGCGACGAACTCGCACGCGTCTCCTGATACCTGGACGATCTTCTGTGCCAGCAAGGACGTGGCCGTGTTCAGCTGGCTGTACGTCAGCAAGAATTCTCCCTCCTGGAGGGCCAACATGTCGGGGTACGCGCGCACAGATTTGCTCAGAGCATCGACGAGGTGGGATGTCGGCGCGGGTGGGGGCGGGGAAAGTGGGACACTGAAATCTTTCAGGTGCATGGCCGAGTTCCGGAACGAGATCTCCTCGACGACCGTGTCAGGATGGAGAAGGAGGTTCTCGAGAATGTCCACGAAGCTGTCGCAGAACACCTCGATGGTATTGGGCAAGAAGAGTGATAGGTCGTAGATGAACTGGCAATCAGGCTCATTGGCATCGCCGTAGCGGAGCTCAAGATCCACTAGCAAGCTGAGAATATAGGTTAATCAACAGACATGCAGTACGGTGGCGAGATCACGAACCCTAGCTCTTTCGACGGTGCGATGCTTGACTTATGGGAAAGTATAACGTGGATGGCAGAAACTAACGACTTCTGTCGTCTCCGTACAGCGGTGGATACGTCCTTGATGGACACGGCGGAGAACTCGGATGCCTTCTCGATCGAGGTCTGCGCATTGTCGCGAACGGCTGAGAGCACAGCATCGCAACAAACGGCGAGCCTAGCGGGAACGATATCTTGCGACTTGCTCGTCGCAAACCCTGAGCGCGGAGGTCAGTTAATCTTCCACACACATAAAGATAAGGAGACGGACCAATCGTGATATCCTCTTGGCGAGTGTAACGATGGTTAAGCACAGAGAGTGCAGTGAGGTACAGCGTGAGAAGCTCCTCCCCGCCTATCGACGAGGCCCGAAGTGCATCGCACACGGTTGGCGGCAAGGCGAAGGAATGCGTCTCTCGTTGCAGAGACGCATTGTCTAAACGTCTGGACATGTCGAGAGGGAATTCGCAAGGGACATAGTCGCGCAGGTACGCTGCTACATCGGAAGGAGTCGGCTGGCGAAGCGTCGAAGAGGACCGCGGCGGATTGATAGCGAAGCGTACATTGTCGACGGCCTGTTCCAAAACCTTCTGTAACCGGTCTACCAGGTCGACAATGGTCTCCTCCTTGAATAACTCAGTGCTGTACACGAACTGGCCAGCCAGGCCGTCGCCCTTGGGGAAGAAATGGATCTCCATGTCGAACCTCGTCGTATCCATATTAATTCGCGGATTGGAAGCATGGACGTCTCCTATATTGAATGGCGCAGTCTTCACAGTCTGGTAAGCGAGGATAATCTGCGCCAACGGGTTGCGATTGAGGTCACGAGCCGGGTTCAGGATCGAGACGATCCGCTCGAAGGGCAGGTCCTGATATTCGAACGCCGCCATCGACAGATCTCGCGCTTGTTGGATCAGTTCTAGGAACGTCATCCCAGGACGCACTTTCAGCCGGAGGATCTGCGTGTTGACGAAGAACCCGACGAGCCTCTCGGTCTCGGCTCGATTGCGATTGGCGATGGGGAAGGCGAAGGAGGCGTCTGTCTGACCGGTGAGCTGGAACTGAACCATGCGGAAGGCGGCCGACAGAAGCATGAACATCGTCACACGCTCCTGCTTGCATATCTGTCCCAGTCGGGTGAAAAGTTCCGTGGGGAATTCAGCAATGTATGCCTTCCCCTCGTAGCTGAGATGTTGGGGTCGTGGGAAGTCCGTTGGCAGTTCCGCCGCCTGGTTGCCTTTGAGCTGCTTCGTCCAGTACTCGAGCTGAGGCTGCACCATACGCTCGAAGTCTTCCGACCGTTGCCACTGCGCGAACTCCTTGTACTGAATGTGAAGTGGAGGGACCTCGTGGTCCTTACCGGCCGAGAAGGCGACGTAGATCTCCGCCAGCTCCTGGCGAATGACGTCGAACGAAAAGCCGTCGACGATGATGTGGTGCATGCATAGGAGCAGGTGGAAGTGGTTCTCAGAGAGTTGGAACAGGGTTGTGCGGACCGATGGCTCGCGATCGAGAGCGAATGGGCGACGGATACAGTCTCCCATGAGTGCGCGCATGGTTCGTTCGTCGGTATCGGGGTCCACGGGTATGACCTCGAGACGGGGACAGAAATCGACGACCCGAGTAGCCGGAGAATAGTTTACCTCGACGAAAATAGTGCGGAGAATCTCGTGACGAGAGACGATCTCCTGGATAGTGCGCTCGAGAGTGGCGATGTTCAAAGGTCCTTCCAGCTTCAGGATGTAGGGAGTGTTGTAGCAAATGTCCTGCGATCCGTAATATGCGAGTTTCGAGAGGAACCAGAGTCGCTGTTGGGCGAAAGACAAGGGGTAATGCGTCCCGTCCGATGGTGTCGTCATGTCCAAGGAGAGCTCGTCAGATGGGTCGGAAGGGCGAGAAGGGGAGAGGATGGTCTTCCTTGGGAGAGCGATGTGCTGATCAGACGATGTGGAAGTAAGGCCCTCGCGGATGCTGGCCGAAAGCTTTCTGGGGGTGGAACGGGCAAAGATCGTCCTGAGTGGGACAACGACGTGGAATTCTGATTCGAGCGCAGACTTGAGTCGGGTAGCAAGCAACGAGTGTCCTCCGATTTGGAAGAAATTCGCCAGGGGTGAAACTGCTCGAACCGATAGCAAACGGCCGAAGATCGCACATAAGCGAACTTCCACCTCGTCCGCGGGTAAAATGTTCTTGTCATCTTCGGCGGCTCTGTGAGCGTCACGGCTGCCGTCTTTCGCCGCCATCGCTGCCAGTTGTCGCCGATCCAGCTTCCCACTCGTCTGGAGCGGAAGAGCATCCACAGACAAGAGTTGGTCGGGGACCATGTACGACGGCAGCACCGCCCTCAGGCGTTCCAGAAGGCTGTTCTCCACATGCGTCCTGAAAACCAGCTCTTGCAGCCTCGATGTGGCAAACGGAGAGACAGACGCGTCGTCGTAGTCGACGGTCTTGAATGCGACCCAGGTGCCACCGTCAGTGCCGTTGAGGGATCCCTTGATGAAGACCGCGTCCAGAGTCGTCGTCTCCTTCTGACGCGCAACGCTCAGTTTGACTGTCACTCCGCACCGCTCCGCGAGACGCTCCAGGTCCCATGCAGACCAGCCTTGCGCAGCTGCGGCCTTGCGTGGAGGAAGCACAGAGGCGAGGTCGGCAAACCGATCTGACGAAGATGAGAAGACGGCTGTGGCTGCCACGAGCTCCCAAGACAGGAATCGATTCGGGATATGTTCCACCGCCAGAACGGTCTCGTCGCCGACAGCGAAGTCGCGCACCGCGTCCTCGAGGTCCGAATCTTTCCACCGTAATGCTCCGTAGTCGTGCCAGGCAGGAGGAACGATCAAGGGCAGCTTCTGGTTGACGTGAATGATGACTTGGTAACGGAACTGGCTGAGTTCGTTGCAGTACTCGATCGCCTTCGGGACGATCTCGACATGTGCCACAGTAGGAATGGTGCGACGAAGACTGGTGAAGAACGAGGGATCGACCAGCAACTCCGACCGATATTTCTCGCGATCGAGAATGTCGTCCCGCAGATCCTGGAGAGCCTTCGACCCGAGCTCGTCTTGCCAGCGATAGGTCGCGATATCGAGGGCCAGAAGACTGCCGAACGGAAGACTTCGCACATCTCCGATCAGGATACGGCCTCCAGGTGCGCACTTGCCGACGATATCGACGATCGCCTGGTGCAGGTACGCCTCTGACGGGAAATACTGGACGACAGAGTTCATGAATGCAAACTCCGCACCAAATGCAGGGAGCTTGGAGATCTCGTCGGCCGCGGCATGCCAGATCGATGTTTTGTCGCCCATTCCGAGTGCCTTAAGCTCATCCCCCAGACGCTTGGCCGCCTCTGCCGAAGGTTCAATGGCCCACATGCGGTCGACAGAGGGAAGGAACTTGTGAACGAAGATGCCAATACCACAGCCGATCTCGAAGGCGGTCCGTGGGCACTGCTGATGGAACGGCCGGAGGGTGTCGTGAAGCCATGCTAATCAACGTTGAAATTTTGTCAGGTCCCTTGGATACTTGAACTACAGTGAAAAAAGAAGTTGACTTACCGATCATCTCGATCTGCGGGATAGGTCCTCCAGTGATCATGCTATCCCAGCCTGAGAAGTCTGCGCGTGCTTTTGCCCTATGTTCAATAAAGGATGAGCGATGAAGATACGTCCGTAGGACTAGGAACACTCACAGATCATACGCAGCATACATGTCGTCATACACGTCTCTCCACGTGTCCACAATGGCATGTTCATCGTTTGGCGCTGCAGCCGACGCATCCTCGCCACGAGCGTGACCGTCAATCTCGGGCGTCTGCTCGTGGCCAAGGACAACATATGCGACGAGGCTCGGGTCGCCAGTCTCGGTCGGCTTGTAGTAGCTGACGCCGGCGTCGCCGACTAGTCCGGTGCGCAGGATGGTCGCCTCGACCTCGCCGAGCTCGACCCTCCGTCCAGAGATTTTGATCTGTCCAACATCCATCCTGCCTATGAGCTGCAACTGTCCGTCAACCCACCGAACAACATCACCCTACAAGCACCCGTTAGTTCATGTGCAAAATGAGAAAAACGCCGCTGCTCACCGTGCGATAGAATCTCGTGTTCCCAGGCAGCCCATCAACGTGCAGCTCGACGAACGCGTCCGCGGTCTCCGCAGGACGGTTGAGGTACCCCTCGGCGACGCCCTCGCCGCCGATAATCAGCTCGCCGATGACACCCGGCGGCACGAGCCGCATGTAGCGGTCGACAACGAGCACTTGACCCGTCTCGAGCGGGCGACCAATGGGCACGGGCCCGGTATGCGGTACATCGTCGCCGCCGGGGAAAACGTCGAAGGTCGTTGCCACCACGCACGCCTCGGTCGGGCCATATGCATTCCGGATCACCGCGCTCGGAGCCGCCGCCCGCACTTGACAGACGCTCGCATAGTCGAGCGCCTCTCCGCCGGTCACGATCTCCGTGAGCCTGTGGAAGACGTCCGGGCAGGCGACGGCGAACTGGCGGAAGAGCGACGTGGGCAGCAGGAAGCCGTCGATGCGCGCAGCCTGGAAGCGCCGAGCGAGTGCAGGCGCGTTGAGCACGTCGACGCGATCGAAGCACACGAGTGTCGCGCCAAGCAGGAGCGAGCACCAGACATCGGCCACGCTCGCGTCCCAGGCCAGATTGTTGATCTGCGCGATACGGTGTCCTGGGCCCCACGTGAAGATATCGCGGTTGGTGGCGAAGGATACGACGGACGACTGCTTGACGACGACGCCCTTGGGCTTGCCAGTGCTGCCGCTGGTGTAGAGCACGTAGGCGACGTCGTTGGAAGACTCTGCTGGCGAAACAGACCCGTCGCGGTCCTCGTGGACAGACGCAGCAACAAGCGACTTCCAGTCGTCGAGGAAGCTAGTGACGTCCAGGTGCGCGATACGCTCACAATTAAAACTGAACGAAGGCGATGCTGCGGTGGTGATGACAAGAGATGCATCACAGTCTTGAACAAGCGACCCAAGGCGCTCTGCAGGGAAGTGTACATCGAGGGGCACATATGCAGCACCACTCTTCACGATAGCGAGGACGGTGAGAATGGCGATGGCTCCCGGAGGAATGCAGAAAGACACAAAGGCATGGATTTCTTGCTGCTTCGTGGCCTCTAGGATCCGCTTCGAGAGAACGGAAGAGAGGATATCGACTTCGCGGTATGTCAAGGTGAGGTCTCCGTCGATGAGCGCCGGAAGGTCATGATGGGCGATGACCGCGTCTGAAAAGGCTTGAGCGAGAGCGAGACGAGGCGCTGAGGGGATTGGTGCGGGATCGACAGGAATGCCGGCCGCAGCGAGCTGATCGAGAGCATGGGAAAACGGAATGTTGTCGACTGTGCGATCGGGGGTGGTGACGGCGGCCGCGAGCACGTCGACAAGGTTGTCGAGGATGTCTTGGATGGTGTCCGGTTCGAAGCGAGTCGGGTCGAAGTTGATGTCCACGCGCAGATGATCCGCGGAGGGACAAGCGCTCCAGACCATGGCGAATAAACTAACACCGACGGTCGCTCAATAATGTTACTTTTGACGCGAATGAAACCAAAAGAACTCACACATCTGCTGTGCCACCTGCAGGGACATCGCCAAGGTGCACGAGCACAGGGAGAGCAACGCCGCGAAGGCCGTTCCTATTCGCGACGAGCTGCGGTAGAGTAGACTCGAATGGTAAGATGTGGCGCTCTAGGGACGACACAAGCTTTTGTGTGGCGCGGACTACGTCTGCAAACTTGTCTCCATCTTCGGCCTGCAGGCAGAGAGCCAGAGGTCCCCCGGGCTTTCCACAGACGTCGACACCTGAGAACTTTGTTCAGCTCGATGTACCGCAAACCATAAGCAACAACGACTCGTACCGATAGCGGCGCGGACTGCGCCAGAATAGCGCAGATGCAGGATGCGAATCGCGGCAAGCAGAATTTCGTGCAGCGAAGCAGAGGCTTCCTCGCCCAGGGCGACTAGTTCGGTATACAAACTACCGGCGATGGTCGTGGATGCGACCGAGTTCGTGGTGAAGCCTGCGTGGGCGAGGTGATTGTCAGCAGGAAACTCTACGGGCACGCAGCCGCGGAGAGCTTCGAAGGTAACATCGGGCTGAGTGCCGGGGGCGAATTTCTCGAGTTGGTCTCCCATTGTCTCCGGGGTGCGCGAGAATAATGTAGAGAGTGGAGTCAGGCAGGACAGCTTAGGACGCTATGCTGTTCAGCGGCTTGTGCTGGTATCTGAGTTTAGGTACGCGTGTAGGACGTGCAGTCTTTATGTACTGTCCCATCCGCGGGGCGAAGCAACGTCTGCCAAATTACGCAATAAAATCATTCCGTCATTCGAGTCTCACTAGGACTAAATCTGTTACTCAGCTAATTTATCAACATTCTCCGCGTCGAACACGCTTGCGCCTTGAAAAAAGCGGTAGTCGCTAGATTCAGCCGTACAGCGTACAGCAGTAAGCCATGGGCTGGTAGCTTCCATTGAAAGTGTAAAGCGTTTTGCGAATCGGTTAGTCGGAGTTGGAGAAAGAAATCTCATAGGGCCTTCTCCGCTCGGCAGGCGTTTCCGTGACCCAGTCTACATGTTTTCCATCATTTTCTATCGTTGGCGCGGGCCGATTAGCGGCAGGCGCCTGTCCATCCCCTACTTGGCTACTATACTTCGCGGCCTATGACACGAGTGCGTGAATTTAGAGAAATTCTGAGTGACCTGTGACCCCCGCTGGCCAGCCGGGTGATATACGGTGAAAGGCAGTGAAGCAGGGTGAAACCTGGTACTGAAAAACCGACACGGGCTCTGAGTGTGCCACTAGGATCGAGATTATGTCGGGGTCCCCGTAAAACCGTTGTCAGTGAGCTTGCAAGTGCTGTCAGAGGAATTGGTATCTGAATGAAGACGTTGTGATGTGTGTCACCCGGTCCATTGTTGGCAGGCCGATCCCTCGAGCTAAAATCATGGCCATCAGTGGCGCTATACTAGCTTGAAGCCGTAGCTCCGAAGACATATAGTCTTCCATATCCAGGGGCGATATTCCAAGCTAAAGTTGACGGCTCAAGTTCAGTTCAGCGGATCTGGGGTGGCCGCAGAACCTAGGCGTCTGAGTTTACTGTTTGACATATTACTTACAGGCGGCGCCAGGCAGCCGTGTTCAAAAATGTGTGCTGTTGAGCGCGGTCAGCAGCTGTTACTTCCGAGGTGCATAGGAAACCATACGAGACTTCACGCAGACCAGTTCCGCGCGGGGTGTTCTCGAGGCGGAGCGACGCAAACAGCGGTGATCGGAGACGCCGTCTCGACGCTCGCCCGCTGTTCCGACATGGTGCCGCTGACATGCTCTTTGAAGAAGGCTCCAAGCAGAGAAGATGACAGCGCCTCCTATCACCGGTGCTCAGTATGCAGATCGATGGCAGCGACCCTACGAGCCAGCGTTGGGCAGTCAATGACCGAGTCATCCCGCTGGTCACGGTCATTGACTATGGGTCAATGACCCAGTTACATGGGCGGTTTCGTCAAGAGGCATCCACAACTCAGATCTTATTGAAACAACTCACTTAGCTACCTCCAGTGTTGTCAGCGTCAGACTGACACCCGTCGGTGACCCGTCAGTTGACGTCAAGGGCGTCAGGCGCCCAGCAGAGGCGGGGCGCCTGTCGTGAGGCGGGCAGAGGAGCGCGGCAGGCGCAATGGGAGCGTCACCATCGTCGGTGGAAGTAGTGACTAATAAATTAATTATATATACATTCCATAACAACAATGATGTGTGTTGCTGAACCAGAGTGCGCACGTACTGCCCCATGCCTCTGAACATGACCACCCTAGCATCATTTACACTAAGCGCCGCAATAAACTGCTACCGCAGACCATACATGAGACAACAGTGGTCAAAACATCGCTTCAGTGGAAGCATGCAAAGCTCGGGCTTACCTCTGGTCGATACAAGTGCAGCTTTGGTGCTGCCAATTCACCTTTGATGCCCCAACCCGCACCTGACCCTTCTCCTCCGTCTTTTGGTGACGACGAGGTACCACCCGAATTTGCGGAAATCAGCCGGCAGCTCGTAGATGATGCCACTGAAGCCCTTCAAGAGCTTGCAGACCCTGCGCCTTTATCAAGCGTTGATACTCCAGAGATCTCACCCTTTGCGCAATCTTTCTTAACTCAACCAGTCTTCAGTGGAGACATGACCGGTAGCATCTGTTTGTCTCCGATTTTTCTCAGGTGAAATCGAAGAAACACAGGTTCTTGTTCAACAAGCCTTTGACTAATTTTGCAAGAGAAGAAACTGTGTTTACCACCTGTGACAGCATCTCGGATCAAAATGTCGATAATATAACAAAGGACAAAGCGAGGACAAAGAGTACAGCGTCACGGTCAACAGACTGTTTGAAACGCGACAGTACCATACACGACTAAGCAGTAACGATGTTTTGGCATTCATGCGAGACCTCGTAGTATCACTGCGCATCCCGTCTCGTAACCTGTGCCTCCACGATACTGTAATGCGTGGTCCGATTTGCCTAACGACCGGCTCGACGATATTCTGATGCGGCAAAGCTCGAAGATAGGCTGCTGAGAACCGCAGCGTTCGGTACTTCGGCACTGATCAAGAGACCAGGACTATGGCTGCCATGCGTCTGTCAATCCCGAAGCTGGCAAAGAACTTTTCACTGTCATCTTCCCCCGCACACAGGTGCTCCTGAGCTGATTCTTTGAGGACCTGACTATTAGCTTTATCGATAATGAAGATCGAGAAATCGTCGGTGAGATGTCGTCGTCGCGGGATCAGGCTCTCCACAAAGAAGCAGGCAACGAATGCGACGACGGAAGGGGCAGTGACTTCGTGAGTAACCTGGCGGACTATCAGCCGGAAACACAGCGCGATGCTGGGAAGATGCACCCCAAACCGAGCAAAATTTAACAAGTGCAGTCGATACCCCTTCAAAAGCTACTCACATTGGAAATTGGTATGGATGGGAGTAGCTGGGGACGAGACTTGAATCGCGATCAAAGGACGACAGGGTCTTCCTTATTAGGTTGTCTCGTCCATGCTCGGCAATCACCGAGGAGGTCGTCTGTGCATTTTCATATTGTGTCTATGCGTCCACGATAGCTCTGCTCTGCTCGGCCCGACCAAACATATCGACCCCAAGTAGCATTCGACTTCAGCTAGCTTCAGCACCCAAGCTTTTGACATACGAACTACGGCGCACGCACCCGGATTCAAAAAAATTAGCAGATACTAAAGACGCACATATCTCTCCGAAGATATCGCATCAACATCAGCATCCCCATCAACTCCAAGTCGAGCCGCGTGTCATCATCCGCATGGCGATGCCGAGTCTCCGCAGCTGCGCACTCGAGCTCGCGGCCGCGCGAGAGGCTGAGTACGAGCCCGCGGTCGATGGCGCTTGGAATATTATTGACGACAAGTGCTTGTGCGCGACTGGTCGAGCGAAGGATGTCAGACGAGAGCTAGCGGTGAAGCAGGGAACTCGCCTTCGAGGTATGCGCGCACGGTGGCCATGATATGCAGCACCGGCTCGTACGAGCTTGAGAGCGACAGGTCTGCTGCCTTACATGTGTCGAACTCCTCCTGCAGACAAGACGGAGCTTCCCTCATGTTCTTTCCAAAGTCCCGCGAGGCCGACTTCTGTGAGCTCAAGCTGCAAAGTTACCATGCAACGATACCCCGCCCACAGGACAAGGTTGAACATTACTGCGCGCGAATGGTCCAGAGACTGGTGTTGAAACACCGTTCAAAGCGCACGATAGACTTGGAAGATGCCGTACTGACTTGAAAAGCGTCTCTCTGACTTGGAAGATGTCATACTAACCGGAATAACGCTGCTCCGTTTTGCTCCGTCTCCGTCTTTTTTTTTTTTTCGATCTCCCAAGTGGCTGTCTTCCGTGATGCATCACTCAAGCCTAAACCTTCTTATGTCGCCGGACGCGAACACGGGACGGGCCCCAGGCTCGGAAGCCTGCCAGGCGTGCCGGATGTATGTTGCACAGAGCCCCAATTTTGACGTCGGCTAGAGATCTTCAACCCTTCGCAGACGTATTTCGGCTTCTTGCAAATCGAAAGACGACTCGGAACTTTCTACTAGTACAGCGGCAGATGCTTCGCTTCAGATCAGACGCTGCTGGGTCGAGCGTTCGCTTTCTCGGCCGAGCCAGCAGTGACTTTTATTCCTGCGTATCTCAGCGGCGGCTACGCGCGATAATCGCGGAAACGACGCTCAAGAGATTCACGGTGCCGATCCCACGGGCGTACCAGAATGGCCAGCTTGCGAGACTACATGAGGCTCGAGACCAGTCGCCCTGTCATGTAGCCAATTTAGTCTACCGACCGCCGTTACGAGGCCGCCCCGCCGACAAGACGCGCACCACTTCTCTGGAGCCCGCCCACGCTAGCCTTGCACCCCTTCCAGATCACTGCCGAGAATCACAGAATACGGCACGAGGCTCCCCAGACCCTTACGTCGTCGTCTCCCCTTCCTCATCCGCTCCAGTCTCCCATACTTCAAGTTCGACGGCGCTATCATGTCTCCTCACATTGACTATTACCCGGCCTCCAACAGCAATAGTTACGCCCAGAGTTGCACGAGCTCTACGATATACCCCTCGACCGACTTCGTTGTGTCCAATGCGCATGCCCCTCCTTCAAAAGACAAAAGGTCCAAGCTTCTGGATCGATTCGTCGACGCGTATGACGAACTGCAGGCCTACAGGTGCATACCGCCACTTCCTTTATCCATCACTTCCTATGGACTGACATACATACAGGGAAGGCAAGGCGGTCATTGTTGATGGCCATACCCTCAGCATCTCCGCAGTGGCAGCTACTGCTCGCTATGGAGCTGCCGTGACTCTTACTGACAAGCCCGAGACACGTGAGCGTGTTCTGCAGAGTAGACGCGTGATCGTTGGCAAAGTTAATGCTCAGCGTAGCGTATACGGAGTCAGCACAGGCTTCGGTGGAAGCGGTGGGTTCCCCGTCTGTCTCACTTCCGTTCAACTCATCTGAAGTCTTGTGTACAGCCGATACTCGTTCAAACGACCCTCTCCTGCTCGGTCATGCCCTCCTCCAGCACCAGCAGGCTGGTGTACTCCCATCACAGACCGAGGCTCCCCTCCTGGCGCTTCCCCTGGGCGATCCCCTGGCTGCAACGAGCATGCCAGAGGCTTGGGTCCGCGGTGCTATTCTTATCCGGATGAACTCGCTCATCCGCGGTCACTCTGGCGTCCGGTGGGAGCTTATCGAGAAGCTGGGCGAACTGTTACAGGAGAACATCACGCCACTCGTTCCTCTGCGTGGCAGCATCTCGGCTTCCGGCGGTTAGCCCTGCACTGCTGAAGCACAGACATCTGATGCTAACATAATCGTTTTGTTCAGATCTTTCACCTTTATCGTATGTCGCTGGAACTTTGACTGCTAATCCGGCGATTCGCGTCTATGATGGCCCTGCATCCTTCGCGGCGCGCCGCATTGTTCCCTCGAGCGTTGCGCTGGCCAACCACGGCGTTGTTCCGATCTCCCTCTCGTCCAAGGAACACCTCGGTATCTTGAACGGCACTGCGTTTTCTGCGTCCGTCGGCGCGCTTGTCCTCAATGAAGTCGTGCACCTGTCGCTGCTCGCACAAGTCTGCACAGCGATGGGCACCGAAGCCATGACTGGCGCCGCTGCGTCCTTCGACCCTTTCATCCATGACATTGCCCGCCCGCATCCCGGCCAGATTGAAGTCGCACGCAATATCAGGGCGCTCCTTGAGGACTCGCAGATGGCACTGAAGCGTGAGGATGAGGTCCACATTACCGAGGATGAGGGCGAACTCCGCCAGGATCGCTACCCACTGCGCACATCGGCGCAGTTCCTTGGACCACAAATCGAGGATATCCTCTGTGCGCTGGATGCGGTCACACTGGAATGCAACTCGAGTGAGTCTTTCTCTTCTTGTTCGCCCCCAGACTCGCTGAAAACTGCCCACAGCTACCGACAACCCTCTGGTCGACGGCGAAACCGGGACTGTGCACCACGGCGGAAACTTCCAGGCCATGGCCGTCACCAGTGCGATGGAGAAGACTCGGCTGGCTATTTACCATATCGGCAAGTTGCTGTTCGCGCAGTGCACGGAGCTCGTCAACCCGACCATGAACCGCGGACTGCCGCCCAACCTGGCCTCGACCGACCCGTCGCACAACTACTTCGCCAAGGGTATCGACATTCACACTGCTGCGTACGTCAGCGAGCTTGGCTACCTTGCGAACCCAGTGTCGTCACACATCCAGTCTGCGGAGATGCACAATCAGGCTGTGAACTCGCTTGCGCTGATCTCGGCTCGGTACACGATCACTGCGATTGACGTGCTCTCGCAGCTGACAGCGAGTTACCTCCTCGTGCTGTGCCAGGCCCTCGACCTGCGCTCGATGCACCACGACCTCCGGTCCTCGCTGTCAACCGCCGTGCGCGAGCTCGTGCCGAAGCACTTCCCATCTGTGGCCACGCACGCGGACGTCCTCGCGCCGATCCTCGAGCGCACCGTCTTCCGCGCCCTCGACACTACGAGCACCTCAGACTGCAAGGCGCGCATGCACAGCGTCGCTGCGTCCACGACGACGCCGCTGGTCGACTTCCTGTCCGCGGACGCCGCGTTCGCGCCCGAGCTCGCGCACATCGCTGGCTTCCGCGCGGAGCTCGCGCAGCGCGCTGCGGAGGCGTTGACGGGTCTGCGCGTGCAGTACCTCGAGGGCGCGCGCGGTGCGGCGCCCGCAAGCAGACACCTCGGCGGGACGCGGGCGGTGTACGAGTTCGTGCGAATTACACTCGGAGTGCGGATGCACGGCGCGGAGAACCTGCATGGCTTTGAGATGGGCCCTGGCGTCGAGGAGGGCACGGTCGGCGGCAGCATCTCTGTTATCTACGAGGCCATCCGCGATAGTAAGATGCAGGGCGTAATCATCCAGCTCGTCAGGTCGATCAAAGCGGGTGAGATGCAGAGGACTTGATATCCTTGACGCTTGGACTCCCTCATTCTTCTCGGCTCAATGCAGTAACAGAAGGTTCGGATGTATCGTTATTGTTCCAGGTAAATACTTACAATATATGCTTCATAATTGTGTTTTTTCTCGAGGTCGGCGAGGCGGCTCGATGTGATGATCGTGCTTGCTTCCTTGAACTTGCGACGTGACTACCCAAGCTTATTAAGGCGTCGGTCAGCGTGCAATATATCAACTCAGATTCCTAAGGCATCAATCAGCGTAAGTGCATGTATGTGCATGTGTGGTGGAGGGCGGGACTCCATTTCATGCTGCAGTTTTGCTTGGAAGGGCCCCAAAATCCGATTTTGGGGACCAGAGTGGCCCAGTAATCTTAGCGATGCAACCCTAACCCTAGAAAAAGGCCAAAGTCAGCGGTTCCACATGCCTTAACACACAAAGGAGCATTAATAAGCCTTTTAAATACACCCAGGACACTTTTCTCTGCATCGCAACGATACTAAAAACGAGGATAGACCTCCGCTGTCGTTGACACCTAACCCTAGGTGGAACCAATCCCAAAGCGCCTTCTTACATAATCGGGAACGGTCAAATTGTCGCTATAAAATCTCGAAATTCAGAACTTCAAGACTCTGCTCCATAGATCTCATAGCCACCTAGATTAGTATCCTATTTCAAGAGAAGCAGACCCCTGAAGTGCTGTGACGAGCGAGCCTCAACAGTCGGAAGATTGGCCTCGGACGCTCGTCATAAAGTCCCGTTCCACACCATACGCGAACGTATGTACGTGCGCTCATTAGCGTTCATGTTCATACACATAATCAATCCTGCACTTACGCAAAATTATGTGCACATATGGCACGGGCGGGCATCGTAGCCTTCGCTCCAGTGGCAAGGTCTGCTTGCGCTCAGAGCACCGGTGCTGTCCGGGACCCATGGCCGCACATCTACGCCCAGGAGCGCAATGCCGCTGAGCTGGCCCCGGCTGGAGGTGGTGTTGATGCATTATATTCCGTGTACATTTATATGCTGACACCGTCCTAAAATAGTCTACTAGATGAACGTCCTGCCAGTGGTAGCCACTATGGATGTGACGAGGTTCGACCTGGAAATCCACTTTTTCCCCAAAAACGAGGGCGACCTGGTTGGCGGGTTTGTGTATAGAACTGACCTGTTCAAAGAAGAAACCATTGTGGATTTGACGGACCAGATACACGCGGTGCTGCGCCAAGTCGTCGACGATGTGCACTTCGCTATTGATCCACCGCGGTCTTCAGAGCTTCACGGACCCACTCCATCTGACGTGGCGGCGTACCTGCGCGACTACCTCCCCTGCGAATTCCCTCTCGACTTCCCTAGGATTTCGGAAAGTGCGGCTGCGCAACGAGGGACACATTCCTTCACCTTGCCGCCAACCGTCTGCGACGCGCTTCAGATCTCGTCGAAAGGCGAGGAGGAACTTCTCTCGCTGTACCTTACCGCACTCTCTGTGCTCAACCATCGGTATACTCGACAAGAGGATATCACGACAGGTGCTTTTACTTCTATCTTCGTGCATGAAAGACGTACTGACTTGTGTGTTCAGGGGTCTCGATGAGCGAATCGCTGGACGTCGTTCCCTCTCGCCTTGCCGTTCATGGCGATGCCGCACTCTCGGCTGTTCTTGACGATGCGCGGACCTCGATCCAGAGAGTGTCTGAGTTCTCCGGTGTATCTATCAAGGATGTGTCCACCGCTTTGCAAAAGCGACAGAAGTCGGCGTCGGCGCCGTCTGTCATCCATGTCGCGCTTTCCCGCAACTCGATTGGGACTGACAAGTCATTGTCAGGGGGGCTAGGATTCGTCAATCTGTCGTCATACTCTATGTCTATCCATTAACCTGTTCTGTCAGCCTGCCAGTGGACCTCGAGCTTCGCTACAGCGATACCAACGGGTCTCATTGCCAGCTCATCTACGACCAATCCCTCTTCCGGCCAGGTACCATCGAATTGTTCTGCGACAATTTTGTGGACGTCTTCGAAAACCTGCTCCTGCGCCCTGACCTGGCAGTCGAGGAGATCCCGTTCCAGAACTCGGTGAAACATCTGAAACGCGTTGGTGCCCCACTCGCCCCGCCTCCACCTCCGCCATCGTCCCTTCTCATCAACGCTCTCAAGAAGTCTGTGGACGCACACCCCGACATGCCGGCCATGCAAGAGAGAGAGGTCGTGCTGTCGTACAAGCAACTGAACACTGCCTCGTCCTTGCTGGCACAGAAGATTACGGAGATATCGGAAGACGTAGGCGAGCTTATAGCAATGTGCATCTCCCCTTCGGCCCTCGCTGTCGTATCCATCCTCGCCATCGTCAAGGCCGGAGCCGCATACGTTCCCTTGGACGTCCGATACCCTTCTGAACGACTAGAAATGCTCCTGCGCGAGAGTGGTGCACGACTGTTGATCACGACCTCACAGTCGCCAGAGTTCGCCGGCGACGTGGAAGGTGTCACTCACCTCGACATCTCCGACTTCCTGACCGAGACCGATCTCATCTCTCCCATCGACTTCGCCTGCACTCCTCGGACGGATACCGCCTACGTCGTGTACACGTCTGGGAGCACTGGTGTGCCGAAGGGGGTGCCTGTCATGCAGTCGTCGGTGGTCGCACTGGTCTCGAACACGGATGTCTTCCCGTTCCATCCTGGCGACATGATTGGGATGATCAACAACCTGGCATGGGACGCTAGTATCATCGACATATGGTGCACGTTATTTACCGGCGCCACGGTTGTCTGCTTCAATCGGTACGATGTCCTGGACCTGGTCGTTCTTGCCGAGCAGTTCCAGCTGTTTGATGTCACGGGATGCTTCATGTCCATTGCGCTCTTCCGCCAAGCCCTCGATCTCGCACCCCAGCTATTCCGCGACCTTCGCATTTTGCAGGTTGGTAGAGAGGCCTCTTACTACGAGAGTCTGCAAAGGGTGAAATCTATCAACCCATTGATCCTGATCCTCAACGTTTACGGCACGATGGAGACTTGTGTGGCCCCCACTACATCCTGGATTGGTGTTCCCAACATGCCCATATCTGGACCGGTGCCCATTGGTCGACCGATGTCGACTGCTCAAATTCTCGTGGTCGACACAAAGGGCCAACTGGTGCCCCCAGGCGGGGTCGGTGAGCTAATCATTGGCGGCGCTGGCGTCGGTCCAGGGTACCTGAAGAAGCCGAAAGAGACTGCCGGGGCCTTCGTCGAGCTTGGGTTCGATGAACTCGGCCAAAGTGTTGCTCGGTATTACCGTACGGTACGTCGCTTCTACACATTTTTTTTTCCTTGCACGTCTAATCCCTCGTGTGCAGGGCGACGCTGTGAGATGGGGCCCGGACGGACAATTACATTTGGTGGGGAAGATAACTGCTGGTCAGATCAAGATCCGCGGACGGCGACTGGAACTCGCAGAGATCGAGACAGCCATTCGTAGAACAGGCTTGACTAGTGACGCCGCCGCCGTTCATCTCGAATCCGACGGGGACAGGGACGACCTACTCATTGTCTATACTGTTGCTACTGTGCCGGTATCACCCTCGGAGTCTCACACGCTATCATCACGGCTACTCGAGGCATTGCGCGAGATCCTCCCATTGTACATGATCCCTCACCTCGTGCACTGGGTCCCGACTCTTCCTCTGACACTCAACGGGAAGTTGGACCGTTATCAGCTGCAAGCCCGCGCCGTTGTGGACGTCGGTAGCATGCTGAATGATCTCACGGAAGATCAAGATGCTTCTGACGAACCTGAGGATGAGGTAGAGGAACGCCTCTGTAGGATCATGGAGGCCGTTCTTGAACGCACACCGATTCATCGATCCTCGAACTTCTTCCATGCTGGCGGCCATTCACTCCTTGCCTCCCGCCTGGTGTTCCGGATAGAAGAATCTTTCAGCGTCCCGTTCACTCTCGCGGATGTCTTCTACTTGCCCGTGGTCAAGGCAATGGCTGATAAAATCAGGGAACAATCGCTGCCAAGGCATCCGACGAGCCAACGATCGCTCCGGCATACGAGAAGTTCCACGTGCCCTCGGTGCTCGTGTTTTCTGAGGAACCTCACAAGCCGTTCTTGTTCTGTGTTCCCATGATCACTGGTCTCGGGTTCATGTTCGCCGCGTTCTCACTTTCCACCGACCTGTTCAATGTCGTCGCTCTCAACGATCCTGGATACCTCGCACTCGACGACTTGCCACACGACCGGCCGTCGACAGGCCACGCCCGCACTCTTCTCAATCCGGACATGCACACCGTCGACAATCAGGCCAAGTACTACTACGCACGAATCCTTGAGGAACTGGGCCGTGCCGGCAGCGCCAATCCCGGTAGTGCATCGCTCAACATGCTGGGCTACTCTTACGGGGGACGCGTCGTGGTAGAGGTGGCGCGGCTCGCGCAGAGCGATGGCTGGACTGTCAACCTTTTCGTGGTCGACTCGTCGGCACTCCCCATGTTTGAAACCGAGCAGACGCAAGCGGAGCTCGACAAGACTGCGCTCATGATCGTCCCGATGGCTATGAGCGCCGTCGGGCTGCCGTTCGGGGACATGGGCGAGCAGGGCGTGCGCCTGAAGCAAGACATCGAGGCTCGAGTTCTCGCCAACTTCCATGCGCTCTACTCACATACAATGTCGCGGTACGAGGGGCACGTCACGCCGTTCCACACGGAGTCAAATGTGGACCTCGGCTTCGCCCCGGTCGTCGAGTCGTTGGACAAGGTCCTCCTGCATGGGAATCACTACCGTCTGCTCGAAGAGGGATCCGGGAACTTGTCTGTGATCAGTGCCAAGGTTTCTACAGTTATCAACGCATAAGCTTGGTCGTCTCTTCTCAGTTTTAGTACAATATTAGCTGCACCATCCAATACCATGCCCATGAGTTCCACGGCTGAGGGCGCCTGCAAACCTGGCTAACGCCAAGTGGCCGGAGAGTCCTTGATGCACGATACCTTGATCCGAAATATTCGGTATGCGGGGCGCGTATACGAACGTTGCATTGAAACCGACGAGCCTCGACCTCGTTCATGTCAAGCGCGGTGCTGAGCTCTTCACCCGTATTTGAATAGCTCGGTAGGCAAACCACGGAACAATGCTGGGATGGATACCACTGCCTCAATGGCGAATATTCCGCAAGCTGGGAAACGGAGAATCCATGGCTCACTGTCGCATAAGCCACGAGTTAGAGCTCCAGGAGTGAAAGCGAAGATATGAGGAGGTCAGCGGGAAGTAACGTCCAAAGGGACGCAAGCCAACAAGTCAGATATACAGGAGTGAATCCCTCACTCATGACGCACAAAATTTGTAACAAACATTTCGTTTTTCTTGTGTGCAGAGTAGGAGGTCGGGAAGCGCAAGAAAACAAACAGCTCTGATTCGAAGAATCGACGAAACGACGTCTCAAAATCGAATGAACCCGGTCCTGGCGTTCAGGGGTAGCACATGTACTATCATGAGCCATATCTGTGAACGGCCGGCTTAGAACGACGCATTCAAGACAGGAGCCAGTACTCACATTGTAGAAGACATATGACTCGCGGTCTTCTGCTTCAGTTCTGCGCGTATAATAGCGGAGGCCGACGAAAGTGCCCATGCCAATGAATCCGATGGCACATAAGGGTCCTATGTGCCAGAACCAGCTCAGGAAGATAGACCACCCGATGAGGGCTCCCAGCGTGAATGCGCGAGAGAACTCCGGGGCATATATGGGGAGTGTAACCCGTCCAAGCTGTTTATCTCCCTCTACATCTGCGAAGTCCTGTGCCTGTATTGTCGTGAATATTAAGGCGCCACTTATGCACACTGCAGTGGTGGAGATATAGTCTATCTCCCGGCTAGCACCTTTTGCAGCATGTCAGCGAGATTATCTCGGCCGAAAATTTTACATACCCATAATCTTCGTGGCACCAATTTCGAGACTGGTGTAGCCTCCGATGTTGCAGAAGTTCTTTCCAATATAGTGGCCCGCAAGGCCGAGCTCGTCGTAGAGGAATGTCGTGATGAAAAGCATCAAGGTCGGAAGTACAAGGTCCGGACCGTACATCGCCGACCACCACGCACATAAGCCCACGGAGATCCACCGAAGGGCAGTGGCTTGGGGCTCTGTGATACGGCCTGCGGGCAGAGGACGCCACGGTTTATTTATCGCGTCCTCCGCCGCGCCCTTAGACTGATTCGAGATGTTGCACATGAGCTGATGCATCCATATCCACATAAAACCCCATAGAAGTCGTGGCGCGGAGTGCAATGGCGCCGTGGCACATGCAAATACGGACTGCGGGAGGATTATTGTAGCCGCTATTATCCAAAGGCGCAGCAACTTACAATGGGGAAAAAGATAGTTTTCAGGTCGGAGATTGTGAAGAGAACGACGGTTTGAGCGTGGTAGCGCAGGCGGGGGAACAGAGTAGTCATTAGGGACGGGAGCCGAAGAATGGTGCGGTTGGGAGAACGCAGCGGGCGCACCTTGAAGTTAAGTGCTGGGCTACCAGAGAGTACAACAGTATTGTTGAACAGCTTTTGTACACGGCTCGATATCGATATCAGTAAGCACTGCATTTCATGGAGCGGGACACCTACGTGCAGCGTTTATCATACCTCTACCGAGAAGGAGAGTCTGGTAGCTTTACATTCCCACCATGTCCTTGTCGGCGAAGAAGTCTCCGAGAAATGGTACGAGACTTCTGACGCCATATACAGGCCTAGCAAGCACTTTGCAGTGCCCGGTCGTCGTTACATGGATGCTACAATGTGCAAGTCGCCTATGTTAGCTTGCACTACGGAGCTTGAAACCGGGGCGAAAACATCTAGTGCCTCCTCGTCGGTGTACTCCATTCTCGAGGCTCCGCAATGCAGGGCTCACAGCTTCCAGAGCGCTTGTATTTGAGTTTGCTGGCCCGCGCGAGCTCGGAAAATCGAGCGTTACTGGACAAGGCCCCATGATCCTAGAAAATTGCTGCAGCCACATAACACGCGCTCCGACGAGTCTCCTTGCACCGTAAAAGGTACCAATAACTTGGGTACGCAGCCAGCTCAGATGTGAGGATGTTGCACTAAATACCCGCAATGACCATTATGCCCTGTTCGCACCCAGGCGAAGTACACACCTGTCGTAATATCGCGATTCGAATCGAGTAACTCACTGCGACCTCGAACGATAAGCTCCTCCGTGATTGCTTGCTCGGAGTATCGCTTCGGGAGGTCTTTCATGGCGCACAGAGCAGAGCGTCTGTTACCAGCTGTGCCTGGCCTAAGCCTCGGAGTGCGTGATCTGAGAGGGGCATGAGCTGCGCAAGTGTGACAAGACAAGCCCAGGCTCCTATTAACTATTGCTCACGCCGTCTTTCCGAGCGGAGGCCCGCGCACAAGCCTCGCAGTGCTACAATACATAGCAATGGGCATCATGTAACTAGCCATGGGCGCGCCTCGAGCACCCCACACGCGATCTGCACGGACTCATACACCGCGCGCGTCCCACGGCCGAGGTGCCTGCTCGCGGGCGCAGCGCAGCGCGCCCTTGACTCGGAGGTACCGCGAGCACAGGGCCTCCAGCGTCTCCGCAGCGCAGCGCGCGAGCTTGGCGGCGAAGGCGGCATCCGTGGACAGGAAGTCGATCAGCGACGTCGACGAAGCGATGCTGTGCGTGCGCGCCATAATGCCCGCGGTGTTCGTCGTGCTGTGTCCTACGACGACTCGCACTTCAAGTTGATGTGTCGGTGCGGCAGCGCCTCGTAAGTTGTCAGCCGAAGGTGAAGGCGCAGCTGTGGTCCCAAAACTCGAGCTCGAGGACTGAGCCGAATGAGGTACCAGAGCGAAGATTATGTGAAAGGCACTAGCACTGGGCAGCGTCGATTCCGTCGGATGCTGCGTTGAGCTTCGTTGGTGACGCGTCCACAGAGTGCTGAGCAGGACACAAACAAGACCAGATATGCGAATGACGCGAACGCATTCGCACTCGATCCTATCTCCCGCTACCGGCACCATCCTACCCGTGCCGTCTTTTCGAGTGAGAAGTCGTCTTATTCTCACGAGAGAAATTTGGAGCTTTTTTGTCAAAAAAAAAATGCAAAAACAGCTTGAAAAAATAAGTCGTATTTTTTTCTCAGCCTCGGCAACCCGACTATCCGCCGGGTGCCGCGGCCGCCGTCCCCGGGCGCTTTTGGTAAATGGCCTGGCGGACAGTCGGCTCGGCGGCCGGATTGCCGGGTGTCGGCGCAGCGACGAGAAAAAGGGCGACATTTCCTTGCTTATTTCTTCAAGCTATTTTTGCATTTTTTTTGTGGCAAAAAAGTTCCAAATTTCTCTCGTGTCTGCGATGAGGCAAAGCTGCTTGAGGTCCATACTGTGAGAAACACATTCCATTTATGTGAATGCCTTCCATTTCGGGAAGTACATTACATAATCAGCGCTCATGATACAGTCGACACCGGGCCCCGCGTGTGCGAAACTTGTCTGCGGAAAGTTTCTAGAGCCAGAACTCTGTCCGGCAATCTGGCGGTTCGCGTATATGATGGCCCTGCATTCTTTGGGCGGCGCCGCACTCTTATCTCGAGCGTTGCGCTGGCCAGCCACGGTATTGTTCTGATTCCCTTCTCATCTGTGGAGCACCTCTGTATCTAGAGCAGTACTACGTTCTCTGTGTCTGTCGGTGCGCTCGTGCTTAATGAAGCCGGTCACCTGTCGCTGCTCGCGCAGGTCTCCACAGCGATGGCATGACTGGCACCATCGCCTCCTTCAATCCTTTTCATCCATGCTTCCGCGCGCCCGCACCCTGACCAGGTTGAAGTCGCACGCAATAATATTAGGGCATTCCTTGAGGACTCGCAGGTAGCACTGAAATGTAAGGATCAGGTCCACATTACCGATGACGAGGGCGAACTCCACCAAGATCGCTACCCACTGCGCACATTGGCGCAGTTCCTTGACCCCCAAATCGATGATATCCTCGGTGCGCTGGATGCGGTCATGCTGGAATGCAATTCGAATAAGTCTTTCTCGCCTTGTTCGCCCTCAGGCTCGCTGAACGCCGCCTGCAGCTACGGACAACCCTCTGGTCGACGGCAAAACCGGGACTGTACACCATGGTGACAGTTTCCAGGCCGTGGCCGTCACAACTCACAAATGTGATAGAGAAGACTCAGCTGGCTATTTATCATATTGGAAAGTTGCTGTTCGCACAGCGCACGAAGCTTACCAACCTAACTATAAGCCGCGGGCTGCCGCCTGGCTTGGCGGCGACGAACCCGCAACTGGTACTTCGCCAAGAGTATCAACATTCACGCTGCCGCATACGTGAGTGAGCTCGGCTACCTGGCGAACCTAGCCTCGACGCACGCCCAGTCTGCCGAGATGCACAACCAACCAGGCTGTGAACTGGCTTGCGCTCATCTCAGCTCGGTACACGATTATCGCGATTGACGTGCTCCTGCTACTCACAGCGAGCTTTCGGCTTGCACTGCTCCAGGCGCCTGATTTGCGCTCGATGCACCACGACCTTTAGTGTTCGTTGTCAGCCATCGTTCGCGAGCTTCTGCCAAAGCACTTTCCGTCTGTGGCCAGGCACGCGGACGTCCTCGTGCTGACCCTCGAGCGCGCGGTGTTCTGCCCCCGAGGACACTACGAGCACGATGCCTCAACTACTGGAGCTTTCTGGCCAGTATTTATTTGTCTTTACACGACTTATTCAGTGGCCTTTCCACCCCTTGCGAAGGCATCGGAAACTCATCTATCTTGAATGCTTATGGCATCAACCCTCTCATCGATATTCCTGGTGTCGGCGAGAACTCGCAAGTGGCCCACGCTATCGCCTTTTTGCTGCACTGCTCCGAATCATGGCCAGTTTATATCTGATATCTCCGAGACTACAACGGGCGCATCGGCTGGGACACACTTGTGAGTTCGATCTTCACAGGCTTTTGAGTAGTTTAGAAGTGAACAGGGGAGATGTACTATGAGATGTGGGTTTGGAGCGTGCCTGACGCAGGTCCTTGGCAGACTGCTGCATTTCATTTATTGAGCGATGCTATACTTGTAAGTGGGCTAGTCATGCATCACAAGCACAACATCTCTCCCTCTTCATGGCAGCCGCTCTGTACAAAATGCAAAACCGGCTGTTGTGAAATGAGTGTCGCAGATCACAATCTAAGCTTGCTACCGAGGGGTATCGAGGCAGCACGACGAAGCACAACATGGCAACTTGCACTTGACACGCGTCGGGAACGCAGCGCCTCGCTGTCAGCTGCCGGTAGGGGCACGGCCATAGTCCCAATACATTTGAGCTCGTGGACTACGCTGAATGAGGCGGCAGAGCGAAAAGCAGCACGTCGAGCGTTTCTTTTCAACGCAGGCGACGCGTGACGTCACGCGTTCATGACAGGACACAAATAGGACCAAACGTATAAACGGTCAGAGGCGACCACCAGCATCCCACCATGCCAGTGCACCACACGCCCGCGCTCGGTCCAATCTCCTACTGTCAACTGTTTCCGGCCAGGGCCAGCTTTGGCGGACTCCTTGGCGCGGCCATGAAGCCGTGAGGCCTACACGACATCTCGACCGCAAGCAGACATTACTCTTGGACACCTAGTCTACTCCGGCGGCAGCCCTCGCAAGCTTCGAGGCAGGGTTGGGTGGTCCGGCGCGGGGAATAACTCGTGAGAATGCTGGGCGAGTCACGGATGACCGGCACGAGCTGCCCCACTAACGTCGATGGGAAGTACGCCGAAAGGATGTCAGCGGGCTTGATTCAATACACAGTCTAGAAGGCGACTATGTAAGCGCGTCGTGAAACTCGCCTGCGATAGCAGCTGACCTTAAAATAGAGTACTGTCTTCCCTTCAATCCACTTCACCCGGTCGCCACCTCCATACTTTCCACGCCCTTCCGCGGTAGTAGGTCACGTTTATGCTCACGCCGTGAGTTGTCGAGGCGAGTAGCAGTGGTATCTTCAGCAAGGATCTCATACTTTGCTCGTCTACAACACATCCTATCATAAGATTAGGTTCACACACGATAGAAAAAAGCCTACGGTTATCATTTAGAGATACGGTCTTGTGTTTCAGTGGCAGGGCCGGCTGAGTACGTGAGGTGAGCACGTAGTGTTCAGTTATGCGCCTAGGCAAAGCGGGGATTTCTTGCTTCGTGCCGTCGCTTTCCTCCGCCGCCAGCTGCACACAAAGAGCTCGCTCTCACACATGCAGGGCGACAAAGCCAGACTACATGGGTCTGCATCAATGACCTCGAAGCTAGCGGATCCTTGTACAGTCCGCAATATGGCAGCAATCAAGCAACCGTATCGTAGGCAGACAATCATGAAAGACCAAATTTTCCAGGCTTGCAGAATGGGGAGTGTGTGCGTATCACGGTGAATTGAGCTATAGCGAGACTACGCTGCAAATGTGCAGCCTACGCAAGACTTATACAAACTTACCTAGTCAAACTGGCTATGCCTTCTCCGATCTGACTAGGACGACTGCGGACGTCTCCGGCGACGACATCGTAAGCTACGACTCGGCTTTCCGCGCTGAAACCGTCAAGCCAGAGAACCTGCGTCACTTGCCCACGTCGTGCTCGACTCGTGCTGCGAGCTCACCAGGGCTCTAGTAAAGAGATGAGCATCTTGGCGGTTGCACACCTTTAAATGGGCACCTATATGGCAAGTTTACCTACCCTAGCTGCTGCAATTACAAGCGAAAGATGTGCTGCTCGCTGCCTATTTCCCCCACCCCCAAGCTGACCCTCTGAGCAGTGCGATAGAATGTGCCCTGCCAACGCCGCATCTTGCTTGGTCTGGTACGCATACGCACAATGATGATGACTTTTGATCTTGACTATCGCCGCGGATGGCCTTTGTGTGTACAAATTTAATGACCCTTTTGCGAGATGTGTGTGCTGATCCCCCTGGGAATTTCCGTGTTCATGCGCGACCTGATTTTCTGACGCGATGCCGAAGGAGTTTTGAGAAACGTAGCTGGGAGACTGGGTCAACATTCGCGCGCGCAGCCAGAGCAAAGGAGTGTTCCACGTAGGACTAATTGCTATCTTGCACAGGAGGTAGTACTTGAACGCCGCATTGATGGCTAGGTGCACCCTTCCTCACGTGCGTTGCCTTGTGCAACGCCCTGTTCCTACTTGAGCCTGTGCTGTACCTCTCACGCGACGGCTCCGTGCTCACGCATTGCAGGTACCTGTCTCGCCTCCGTATCGTCCTTGGTCACTCCTTGCACTCCAGAGGCACCTTATCTCTTGTCTCTCGGCCTGACGCTTACATGCAAGTAGCCGTTCAACGTTCACTGGTCATCGGACACCTTCAAGATATGTGCGTGCGAGATTATTCTCGAAGCGTCCATGTAGGCTCGTCGTGCCTTTGACGCTGACAAGGCAACACCTGCAGCGACCGAGTAGACCTTTGTACAGCGGGATCGGGACACCCTCGGTGACCCGGGTATGGAGCTTGAACTTGCAGATGAAGACCCACTTGTCCTGTATGCGACTATCCTTTATCAAGTTCGCTACCTTACTGACTGGCCCCTGACAGGTACCGCGTCAAGGAAGTGTTTGTGCACCGGCACCTAATGTGCAAGTTGCCCGATGCGCCGCAGCTATTGCAGCACAGTTTATGTGAATCATGTGTGCTGTGTACTGTGTGGCTACCTACTAATGCTGTGATATTACCCTAGTTATATTTTGAACGTTTTGCGAAGCTGTAAGGGTGATGTGCGAATAGTGTGCAAGCGATGCTAACTTAAAACGGGTAGGTTTGAAAGATGCTGAAAGATCCTATTTATTTAATTTACGCATTACTGCTAGTTCTGTTCAATGAGAGCGAATCATTATGGTGAATTTTCCTGATGTGAGGGGTTACGAGGCGGGACGCACACTGGTACTCTAAGATCGCGCATGAATGTCATACTTGCCAGGACACTGCTCAGCCGGGCTCACTCTGTACTGGCCACACTTTGCAGCGCGTAGTCACTGCAACAAAGCATAGGCCTTCGTAGTGACGCGTGTGAACCGGCGCCAAGTCATGCGTTTCGAAGCATGAGTCACGGGTAGATGAACTATCCGCATCTCGATGAAGATAGACTCGATGTTGAATTATACAGCGAAAGCTGTAATACAGCCAGATGTACAAAAGATATAACTGAGCAGAGACGACGAGACCTAAGCGTTAAGGACTGCGGAAACCTTGGCACTGATCACAGATACAGACTCAGACCCTTCGAGCAGACGGAAGTGGTTGCCGTGCAGGAGGATCGCATCCACCGAGTTAACGAGCGGAACGAAGCCGTGGTCTACGTTCGACTCCGTGTGGAACAGTGTGACGTGCCCCTCGTACCGCGGCATCGCATGCGCGTACAGCGCATGGATGTTGGTGAGGGTGCGGTCCTCGATGTCGCGCTTCAGGAGCACGCCCTGCTCGCCCATGTCTTCCAGTTGCAGCCCAACCACACCCATCGCCATCGGAATGATCGTAAGCGCGATATCATCGATCTTCGCCCGCGTCAGCGCCCCGTCATTCACGGGATGCACCGACGAGTCAAGCACGAAGAGATTGACGGCCCAGCCATCACGCTGCGCGAGGCACGCCACCTCGACCGCGACGTGCCCGCCGTAGGAGTAGCCCAAAATGTTGAACGGCGCGCTGCAGGGTTTGGTGCTGCCCACGCGGCCCAGCTCCTCAACGATCCGCGCATAGTAGTACTTGGCCTGATTCTCGACGGTGTGCATGGCTGGATCGCGCAGGGTGCTGGCGTGATCTGTCGACACTTGGTCTTTGGGGAAATCGTCGAGTTCGACATACCCAGGGTCGTTGAGGGCGACGACGTTGAAGAGGTCGGTGGAGCGAGATAGCGCGCTGAACATGTGACCGAGACCTGTGGCCATGGGAACACAGAATAGGAACGGCTTGCGAGGCTCTTCGGAAAATACGAGCACCTGCGGTACGTGGAACTTCTCGGATGCGGCAGCAGTCGATGGTTGTTCGATTGGCTTGGCAGCGATCGCTTCCCTGATCTTGTTCGCCATTGCCTTGACCACGGGGGTGTGGAAGACGTCCATTAGAGCGAATGGGATGTCGAAAGCCTCTTGTATCCGGAATACCAAACGGGAGGCAAGGAGCGAATGGCCGCCTGCGTCGAAGAAGTTCGAAGACCGACGGATCGGTATGCGCCCGAGAAGAACCTCCATGATCCTACAGAGGCGCGCCTCAACCTCATCCTCGGGCTCGCCCGATTCACCTTCTTCCGCGTCATCAGTCAGCACGCTATCGGCGGCGGCGGCGGCACGGGCTCGGAGCTGGGGGCGATCGACCTTGCCGTTAGGCGTCAGGGGAAGAGTCGGGATCCAGCGCACGAGATGAGGGATCATATACGATGGAAGAGTCTTGCGCAGCGATTCGAGTAGCCGGAGTGAGAGAGCATGAGATTGCGAAGCCGAAGTCGGCGCAGCAGCGACAGCGTACGCAATGAGCAGATCGTCCTTGCCTTTGTGTGATTTGAGATGGACGACGGCAGCATCGTTAGCCAAGCCCGTTCGGTGAATGGCTGCCTCAATCTCCGAGAGTTCCAGTCGCTGTCCGCGGATCTTGATCTGGCCAGCATTCATCCTTCCCACAAAATGCAACAGTCCGTCCGGGCCCCATCTCACAGCGTCTCCCTGTAGATCAGATATTAGACATATAAGGGAGGACCGTGTGGAAGCGACATACCGAACGGTAATACTGGGCGACACCTTGGTCCAGTCCATCGAACTCAAGCTTGACGAAGGCCTCGGCAGTCTCCTTCGGCCTCTTCAGATACCCTGGACCGACTCCAGCACCGCCAATGATCAGCTCACCGACCACCCCCGGCGGAACTAGCCGGCCCGTGGTGTCGACAACGAGGGCTTGAACAGTTGACATCGGTCGTCCAATGGGCAAGGATCCAGAGACGGGCATGTTGGGGACATCAACCCAGAACCCGGTAGCAAAGACACAAGTCTCCGTCAGGCCGTAAGCACTGAAGAGTTGAATTGACGGATTGACGGATTTCACCCTTTGTAGATCCTCGTAGTAGAAGGCCTCTCCGCCGACCTGTAGAAGACGAAGCTTGCGGAATAGCTGGGGTGCAAGATCGAGGGCTTGGCGGAAGAGCGCAACGGACATGAAGCAGCCCGTGACGTCAAACAGCTGGAATTGCCCTGCAAGAACGACAAGGTCGAGGACGTCGTACCTATTGAAGCAGACGACCGTGGCACCTGCAAGCAGCGTACACCATATATCGATGATACTGGCGTCCCACGCGAGGTTGTTGATCATCCCGATCTTGTCACCAGTCTGGAACGGGAAGACATCCGTGTTCGAGACCAGTGCGATCACCGACGACTGCATGACAGGCACTCCTTTCGGCACACCAGTGCTCCCAGACGTGTACATGACGTAGGCAACATCCGTGCGAGGAGCACAGACGAAGTCGATGGGAGAGGCGAGGTCGATCTCGGCGAGGAAGTCGGAGATGTCGAGGCGAGTAATACCCTCTGCGTCGCCAGCAAAGTCTGGCGACTGCGAGGTCGTGATCAGCAGGCTCGCACCACTCTCGCGCAAGAGCATCTCCAGTCGTTCAGGAGGGTATCGGACGTCCAACGGCACGTATGCGGCTCCGGCCTTGACGATGGCGAGGATAGATATGATAGCGAGGGCTGACGGGGGGATGCACATAGCGATGAACTTGCACGCATCTCCTGATACCTGTACGATCTTCCGTGCCAGTAAAGACGAGGCGATGTCCAGCTGCTTGTATGACAGTACGACTTCTCTCTCCTGTACGGCCGGCATGTCGGCGTGCGCATCCACAGACTTCTTGAGAGCTTCGACGAGGTAGGATGACGGCGGAGTCGGAGGCGGGGCGAGTGGGACGCCAAGGCGTTTCAGATGCTTGGTCGAGTGCTGGAACATGACCTCCTCGACTACCAGGTCAGGACGAAGGAGTAGGCTCTCGAGAACATCCACAAAGTTGTCGCAGAAAATATCGATGGTACTGGGTAGGAAGAGAGACTGGTCGTAGATGAGCTGGTAATGGGGCTCGTTGAGATTGCCGTAGCGAATCTCAAGATCGACCAGCAAGCTGATAGAACAGGGTCAGCTCAGTGGCACGAAGTATGTCGACAATAATACAAACCCTAGCTCTCTTGGCAGTCGAGTGTCAGCCTTGGTTGAGTTGTGGGAAAGTACGACGTGAATGAGAGAGGACAGCGAGTTCTGTCGTCTCCGCACAGCGGTGGATACATCCTTGATAGACACGGCCGAGAACTCAGATGCTTTCTTGATTGAGGTCTGCGCATCGCTGAGAACAGCCGAGAGTGCAGCATCGCGGTAAACGGCAAGCCGAGCGGGAACGATGTCCAGCGATTCGCTCATCGCGAGTCCTGAGCAGTGAGAATATAAGTCAGCTCACCTTACACACGTAGAGACAGAGAAGGACGCACCGATCGTGATATCCTCTTGGCGGGTGTACCGATGGTTGAGCACAGAGAGTGCAGTGAGATACAGCGTGAGAAGTTCCTCCTCGCCTAGCGACGAGGCCCGAAGTACATCGCAGACGGTCGGTGGCAGGACGAAGAGATGCGACGCTCGTTGCGGAGACGCACCGTCCGAACATCTAGGCAGATCGAGAGGGAACTCGCAAGGAACATAGTCACGCAGGTACGCTGCCACGTCAGATGGAGTTGGCTGGCGATGGGTCGAAGACGTCCGCGGCGGATCGATAGAGAAGCGCGCATTGTCGGCGACCTGTACCAGCACTTTTTGTAAGCGGTCTACCAAGTCGACGATGGTCTCCTCTTTGAATAAGTCTGTGCTGTACACAAACTCGCCAACCAGCTCGCCGTCGCTCTCGGGGGAGAAATGGATCTCCATGTCGAACCTCGTCAGATCCATATCGACTTGCGAATCAGAAGCATGGACGTTCCCTATGTTGAACGGTGCGGTATTCACGGTCTGATATGCGAGGATAATCTGCGCCAACGGGTTGCGATTGAGGTCACGGGTTGGGTTGAGGATCGAGACGATCCGCTCGAAGGGCAGGTCCTGATTCTTGAACGCTGCCATCGACAGGTCTCGCACTTGTTGGAGCAGCTCCAGGAACATCATCCCAGAGCGCACTTTCAGCCGGAGGACCTGCGTGTTGACGAAGAACCCGACAAGCTTCTCGGTCTCAGCTCGATTGCGATTGGCGATCGGGAAGGCGAAGGAGGCGTCCGCCTGGCCGGTGAGTTGGAACTGGACGATGCGGAAAGCAGCCGACAGGAGCATGAACATCGTCACATGCTCCTGCTTGCAGATCTGTTCCAGTCGAGTGAAAAGCTCCGAGGGGTAGCGTGCGACGTATGCCTTCGCCTCATAGCTGAGATGTTGCGGCCGTGGGAAGTCCGTTGGCAGTTCCGCCGCCTGACTGCCCTTGAGCTGCTTGGTCCAGTACTCGAGCTGAGGCTGCACCATACGCTCGAAGTCTTTTGACCGTTGCCACTGTGCGAACTCCTTGTACTGAATGCGTAGCGGAGGGACATTGTGACCTCTACCGGCCTCGAAAGCGGCGTAGATTTCTGCCAGCTCATAACGAATGACGTCGAACGAAAAGCCATCGACTAGGATGTGATGCATGCATTGGAGCAGGTAGAAGCGATCCTCGGAGAGTTGAAACAAGGTTGCGCGGACCGATGGCTCGAGATCGAGTGAGAACGGACGCCTGATGCACTCTCCCATGAGTGCGCGCAAGGATCGTGAGTCAATATCAGGGCCAACAGGTACGACCTCGAGACGGGGACAAAAATCGACAACCCGCGTAGCCGGCAAATCGTTCACCTCGACGAAAATAGTGCGGAGAATCTCGTGACGAGAGACAATTTCCTGGATGGTGCGTTCGAGAGTGGCGATGTTCAAAGGTCCTTCCAGCTTCAGGATGTAGGGAGTGTTATAGCAGATGTTCTGTGATCCGAAATATGCGAGTTTCGAGAGGAACCAAAGTCGCTGTTGGGCGAAAGACAGCTGATAATGCGTCCCGTCCGATGGTGTCATCATATCCATGGAGAGCTCGTCGGATGAATCAGAAGCGCCGGAATGGGAGACAACGGTCTTCGCTGGGAGACCGACGCGCTGATCAGATGGCGTGGAGGGGAGGATATCGCGGATGCTCGCCGCAAGCTTTCTGGGGCTCGAGCGGGTAAAGACTGTCCTGAGCGGGATAACGATGCGGAACTCTGATTCGAGCGCAGACTTGAGTCGAGTTGCAAGTAGCGAGTGCCCCCCAATTTGGAAGAAATTTGCCAGGGGTGAAACTGCTCGAACTGACAGTAAGCGGCCGAAGATCGCACACAGGCGAGCTTCCACCTCGTCCGCAGGTAAAATATTCTGATCGTCCTCGGCGGCTCTGTGAGCATCGCGACTGGCGTCCTTCGCTGCCATGGCTGCCAGTTGTCGCCGATCCAGCTTCCCACTCGTCTGAAGCGGGATAGCGCCAACAGAGAAGATCCACTCGGGGACCATGTAGGACGGCAGCACTGCCCTCAGATGCTCGAGAAGGCTGTTCTCCACATGCGTCTTGAACACCAGCTCTTGCAGCTTGGAAGTGGCAAACAAAGAGGAAGATGCGTTGTCGTAGTCGACGGTCTTGAATGCGACACAGGTATCAGCGTCGTCGTCGTTGAGGGATCTTTTGATAAAAACTGCATCGAGCGCCGTTGTCTCCTTCTGGCGTGCAACGCTCAGCTTGACTGTCACCCTGTACCGCTCCGCGAGATGCTCCAGGTCCCACGCAGACCAACCTTGGGCGGCTGCGACATCCTTGCGTGGAGGAAGCACAGAGGCGAGGTCGGCAAACCGATCTGACGAAGATGAAAAGACGGCTGTCGCTGCCACGAGCTCCCAGGATAGGAACCGATTCGGAATGTGTTCAACTGCCAGAATGTTCTCGTCACCGGCGGCGAAGTCTCGTACCGCGTCCTCGAGGTCCGAATCCTTCCATCTTAATGCTTCGCAGTCGTGCCACGTAAGAGGAACAATCAAGGGTAGCTTTTGGTTGACGTGAATGATGACTTGGTAGCGGAACTGACTGAGCTCGTTGCAGTACTCGATCGCCTTCGGGACAATCTCTACATGTGTCACGGCGGGGATGGTGTGGCGAAGATTCGTGAAGAACGAGGGGTCGACCAGCAACTCCGACCGATATTTCTCGCGATCGAGGATGTCGTCCCGCAGATCCTGGAGAGTCTTCGATCCGAGCTCGTCCTGCCAGCGATAGGCCGCGATGTCGAGAGCCAGAAGACTGCCGAACGGAAGACTTCGCACATCTCCGATCAGGATGCGGCCTCCAGCGGCGCACTTGTCGATGATGTCGATGATGGACTGGTGCAAGTACGCCTCTGACGGGAAGTACTGGACGACAGAGTTCATGAATGCAAAGTCCGCACCAAACGCAGGGAGCTTGGAGATCTCGTCGGCCGCGGCATGCCAGATCGATGTCTTATCGCCCAGCCCGAGTCCCTTCAATTCATCTTCCAGACGCTTGGCCGCCTCTGCCGAGGGTTCAATGGCCCACATGCGGTCGACAGAGGGAAGGATTTGGTGAACGAAGATGCCGATGCCGCAGCCGATCTCGAAGGCGGTCCGTGGGCGTTGCTGATGGAAGGGCCGGAGGGTGTCATGGAGCCATGCTGATCAACGTGCGAGTTTTGTCAGATCCCTTAGATGCTCGAAATGCGATGAGAAAAGGTCGACTAACCGGTCATCTCGACCTTTGGGATGGGTTCTCCGGTGATCATACTATCCCAGCCTGAGAAGCCTGCACGTGCTTTTGCCCTGTATTCGAACATGATCAGCGAAGATGGATATGCCCATGAAATGAAGGGAACTTACAGATCGTACGCAGCGTACATATCGTCATATACGTCCCTCCACGTGTCCACAATTGCATGTTCATTGTTGGGTGCCACAGCAGGTGTATCATGGATACGAACATGATCGTCAACCTCGGGCGCCCGCTCGTGGTCGAGGACAACATATGCGACAAGGCTCGGGTCGCCAGTATCGGTCGGCTTGTAATAGCTGACGCCGGCATCGGCGACGTGTCCGGTGCGCAGGATGGTCGCCTCAATCTCGCCTAGCTCGAGTCTCTGTCCAGAGATCTTGATCTGCCCAGCGTCCATTCTGCCCATGAACTGCAGCTGTTCGTTGTACCACCGCACAGCATCGCCCTACAAACACCCGAACGCAAGTCAGCTCACTTGCTGAATCTGCAGCAATCACTGCTCACCGTGCGGTAGTATCTTGTGTTCCCAGGCAGTCCATCAATGTGCAGCTCGACGAACACGTCCGCGGTCTCCGCAGGGCGGTTGAGGTACCCCTCGGCGACGCCCTCGCCGCCAATGATCAGCTCGCCGATGACGCCTGGCGGCACGAGCCGCCCACGGCGGTCAACCACCAGCACTTGGCTCGTCTCGAGCGGGCGACCAATGGGCACGGGCCCGGTATGCGGTACATCGTCGTCACCGGGGAAAACGTTGAAGGTTGTCGCTATCACACACGCCTCGGTCGGGCCATATGCATTCCGGATCACCGCGCTCGGAGCCGCCGCCCGCACTTGACAGACGCTCGCATAGTCGAGCGCCTCTCCGCCGGTCACGATCTCCGTGAGCCTGTGGAAGACGTCCGGGCAGGCGACGGCGAACTGGCGGAAGAGCGACGTGGGCAGCAGGAAGCCGTCGATGTGCGCAGCCTGGAAGCGCCGCGCGAGTGCATGCGCGTTTAGCACGTCAACGCGCTCGAAGCACACGAGTGTCGCGCCAAGCAGGAGCGAGCACCAGACATCGGCCACGCTCGCGTCCCAGGCCAGATTGTTGATCTGCGCGATACGATGTCCCGGGCCCCACGCGAAGGTGTCGCGGTTGGTGGCGAAGGCTACGACGGACGACTGCTTGACGACAATGCCCTTGGGCTTGCCAGTGCTGCCGCTGGTGTAGAGCACGTAGGCGGCGTCGTTGGAAGATTCGGCTGGCGAGATAGATCCGTCGCGATCCTCGTGGGAAAACGCAGCGACGAGCGACTTCCAGTCGTCAAGGAAGTTGGTGACGTCCAGGTGTGCAGCACGGTCGCGGTTGAAGCTGAACGAAGGCGACGCTGAGGTGGTGATGACCAGGGATGCACCAGAGTCTTGAACCAGCGTCTCAAGGCGTGCTGCAGGGAGGTTTACATCGAGGGGAACATATGCAGCACCACTCTTCACGATAGCGAGGATGGTGAGGATGGCAATGGCCCCCGGAGGGATACAGAAAGACACAAAGGCATGTATCTCTTGCTGCTTCGTGGCCTCTAAGATCCGCCTGGAGAGAACTGAAGAGAGGATGTCAACTTCGCGGTATGTCAAGGTAAGATCTCCGTCGATGAGTGCGGAGATTTCATAATGGGCGGCGACAGCGTCTGAGAAGGCCTGGGTGAGCGCGGGACGAGGCTGTGAGGGGATTGGTGCGGGGTCCACGGGAATGCCGGCTTCGACGAGCTGGTCGAGAGCATGGGAGAATGGAATGTCGTCGACTGTGCCGTCGGGGGTAGTGACGACAGCCGTGAGCACGTCGACAAGGTTATCGAGGAAAGTGTGGACAGTATCCGGTCCAAAGCGGGTCGAGTCAAAGTTTATGTCCACACGCAGATGATCCGCCGCGGGACAAGCGCCCCAAACCATGGCGAATAAACTAAATACCGACGACCGGAGACGTTATTGACGCAGGTAATTGTAACCTGAAGGACTTACCCGTCGGCTGTGCCACTGGCAGGGATATCACCGAGCTGCACGAGCACGGGGAATACAACACCGCGGAGGCTGTTCCTATTTCTGGAGAGCTGCGGCAGAACAGACCCGAACGGAAGCGTGTGACGCTCTATGGACGACACAAGCTTGTGTGTGGCGCAGACGACGTCCGCAAGCTTGTCTCCCCCTTCGACCTGCAGACAAATAGCCAGAGGTCCTCCGGCTTTCCCACAGGCGTCGACACCTGAAACATCGCTCAGCTCGATGCACCGCAGACCACAAGCAACGGCGACCCGTACCTATAGCGGCGCGGACTGCGCCGGAGTAGCGGAAGTGCAGGATGCGAATGGCGGCTAGCAGAATCTCATGCAGAGAAGTAGAGGCTTGCTCTGCGAAGGTGATGAGTTCGGTGTACAAGTTACCGGCGATGGTCGTGGATGCGACCGAGTCGGTAGTGAAGTTTGTGTGGGCGAGGTGGTTGTCGGCAGGAAACTCTACGAGCATACAGCCACGGAGAGCTTCGAAGGCGACATCGGGCTGAGTGCCAGGTGCGAACTTCCCGAGTTGGTCTCCCATTGTCTCTGGGATGCGCAAGAACGATGTCGAGAGAAGTGTTAGGCAAGATGGCTTAAGAGGCTGCTGTTCAGCGGTTTGTGAGCTTAAGTACGAGTGCACTATATGCAGTCCTTATGTACTGCCCTTGAACCTCAACTACGAGGACCAACGGGAACGAGGCAGCGTTTGTGAGATTAGCTCATAGAAGAAAGAGAAACCGTTCTACCATTCGAGCTGAACAAGTCCGTCACTCAGTATCTTTATCAGCATTCTCTGACGCGAGCTGGCTTACGCCTTGGAATGACCTGGCAGTAGTCTCTAGATTTAGCCGTACAGTATACTGCCTCAAGCCAGCTTCCATTGAAAGTGCAAAGGGTTTTACAAATCGGTTGGTTGGCGAAAGATGTCAAGTCATTCCCGCCCTATAAAAGTTGTGTGTTCAGCAGGACCCCTTCAGGCAATCTACATGTTCTCCTAGCGATTTTAGAATGTAATTATCCTTCTCGTGGGTGTGTGCCAATTGGCATAGACGCCTGTTGCAGTCTCCATTCGGCTTACTACTACACTTTTCGGTGCCATTATAGCACTCGCGGCAATTAGTTAGCCATCGCAGGAGTAGAATGCTTACGTCGCAAGTATCAGAAACCTGTGTATTATGGAACATGCTGATGACTGATGGACATCCACGTCTGGCAGAGGCTGTACTTTCTGTGGCTTGAGTTTAACTGTCGACTGGCGAAAGCGCTATCTTAGCAGCCCTGAATGCCGACAAGCAACAACCGGGGCTTTTGCCCGAGCGATAACGTTTCCGTCGACACCTTCGCAGTACTCTTTATCGGCATGGAAAGTTTCGTTCATAGCAGCATTCGCCTGCGGAGCTGATATCGTGACGACCTGGCTCGTCAGGGGAGATGTCCCCATCGACCTTCGCTCAGGCTGTTGGAGCACCCCGGCTCAATCTGCGATGTTTATAACATGCGATAAACATCCGCCACTGCTCATTAGATCATTAGAGTCGAGCAGGGAAAATCAATAAGGCCGCCGGCGGCAGCCGACCTGAAGTGCGTCGGGCTTCTGCGCAAATGTCGGCTTATCCAATGGAAGACTGGCAAGCTTCTCAGTGAAGAAAAGCTTGCGCTTAAAGTACCAGACAATTAATGCGCGAAGGTGGGCTCGTTATTGAGCATGAAGCGGTGGCGTGACCCTGCAACGAACGCGGGATGGGCTCTGAAAATTTAGTGGACTTTTTGAGTCGAGAATGCCACACATGATGTGGGGCCAACGCTGTGGATAACAGGTAATGCGGGGCTGCTCTGATTTTGACGTGCGCTTAGTCTTGCGCTTCTTGACAGGCGGAGTCGGCTTCGAGTTATGATCCACCGTTCGAACGGGCGGTCTGTTGTGCGGCCTTTCGTAATAGCAAGACACGCGGACTCAAACTGTTGTTGGTTTTAGCCATTTGGAACGCTAATCACGGTGCTGGGGGCTGGAGCATGTAAGAGTCAGGGTATGAAGTGTCATGAAAAGAAGTAGGGTCAAAATCAATGCTTACTTGTGGCGTCATGAGTGTTGCCGCGCCAGACAGAGAGTGAGCTAGTAGCGCGAAGAAGCCATGGGGCGAAGATAACTGTTGAGAATGCGTAGTGAGAGATAGCAGGGGGGCTGAGAGATAGCTGGTGCACGTACAGTGTGTGGCGTATGGCTCGGCTAGCGCTGCTAGGCGCTTGCATGGTTGAGTCGTTGACCTATACCCTATGTTTTTGGTGATCTTGGAGCTTTATCGTTTCTACCTCTAACAAATCCGTCCATATTCTGGGGACCAGTCGGATTGGATGCTATTTTTTGTCGAGTTGCGTCCGTAGTGAACAGCATCTCGCTTTTCGGATGTATCCCAGTTGTCTACTCATGGAATTATTCACGATTCAATATTAGAAATTTATCTCCGATAACTTCATTACTTAATGCGTAGTTGTCTGTACAAGTCGGACTCTTAGTCTGTTACTCAGAGCCGGGGCAAGTCTCTCACGTATTTACCTACAAGACACCCCCTCAGTCCGTTCCACGACACAGTCAGTGCAATGTAGAATACGGGATATTCATCCTTAGAAGCGGGAAAATTCCGTGTGCGTGCGAAGGGTCAGTGCGTCGTACACGTCTGCCGCGTGTCAGTCATAGATGTCCCGGCCACATAATGCAAACTCACCAGCAGCTGCAACTCGAACGTGTCGTCTCCCCCATCTGCACCTCACCCGGTCAGAGAACGACATCCATTTGTCTTGGCGCCCAGGGTGAGCTCGTGATTGGAAGACTCGTCGACGTCAAAGACTCTGGTATGCGGTCCGAATTCGGTGCCCCCGTGGCAGGGGTACAAATCGACGCCTTACGCTATGAGCTCGTTGCCGATCTTGGATGGCAACGGCCCGCCACCAAAACCTTCAGAACGACAAGTAAGCGATAAACAGTCACAAATCGCGTCATTGATACTTACAACTATTTTCAGAGTTTTCAGTTATTCGACGTCATCCTTCAATTTCGCACACGCCTGTACAACAGTGTTAGATGCCTCAAGATGCCTCTGACGCAAGCCAGAGCTCACTTCGGCGAACGCAGGGACCGTCAAGAATTTCGTACACTTGGCGGCCTCGGCCGCTTCGATGGTGTTGCGCGGGGTAGGAAACACAGGCGATGCAGGCGCTTTGGGAGTGAACAAGCATACTGGGAGCCCGCTCACGAGAGGATAGTACAGCTGGATGCATATGCCCATGAGGTGACACGTGGGCAGTGCCGTCGCTCCCAAAATAACCTCACGATTCGTGGACTCAGCGATGATTACTGTTACAAGGGAAAAATCAGTACGATACCTTTCTATCGGTTATGAAAAACCACGCACGAGTGCTGCATGTATGGAGCATATCGACTTGGCGCTGGGGAGTCGGCTTCAAGAAGCTAGTCGAACCGGACGAATGAAGGTAACAAACAACGACGTCCGTCGAGAAAGGCTTGTTGTTAGGAGGGTAGAGTTCGCACAGATCTATGGAGCTTTCCCCGCGTAAGGTCGGAAAGACCTATTCGAGCTCGGGAAGAGGGTCGATTTGGAGAGCGTACTTCTCGCTTTCGAGCTCGCATTAAAATTTGAGTGTCGATGAGTAGGGAATGCGTACTGGGCTGGCAGATAATCCTGCGGCGGGACGTGCGCTTGAGCATATTGACTATAGCCGGTGCAGAGTTCCTAGGCGACATGGGGAATGGCTAGAGGGGATGGCGTGGTGCTCAGCATTTCTGGCTACAGGATGTAAGTCGAAGTAGGACATACCACTACGCCTGCTCTCATCATTCCCGCTAACAAGGCGAGATACAGCGACGAGTCGCAGTTGACGAGGATGACGACAACCTCATTGTCGAGGCCTGATCTGTTTGGAATGAGCTTGTGTGCGACTCTGTCGATGGCACGAGCAAACTCCGCAAACAAGATAGCGTCCACTGGTAAGCCAGGCCCAGCTGACAAGAGGGCGCACGGCCGCTTAAGACTGTGCTGGGCGTGAAGGTCGACGAATCCCGGAAGGATGGGGGTTGAATCATCGAGTGGGGGTCAAACAGGGTTAGAGGGCATTTCGGTGCAGGAATTTCAGTGCGTCCAAGCCAATTGTCCTCTACCTTGAATGGTATCTAACTGACGGGTAATGGCCATTAGGCACGGATAGTGACTTCGGTTGACTCAGAGTAGTTTTGGTAGACAAACCACTTACATGAGAAATATGAGCAGGCGTAATCATGTGGCCTGACCCGCTACCCATCATATCACTCAAAAACTTGAGATGCGGTTAGTCGGGAATTTGGATAGCTCTCCAGGCTCATTCACGCGCTTGTTTCTTGCCGAAACGGGATGTGAAACGCCGGACATGGCCGGCGAGATTGTGATCCACTCCCTGGCATCTCGGCATCTGGCAGCTTCGTCATGGCCAGGGGGCGCCTAATTAGGTCGACCTAAGACCTAGTGGACCTAGCAGACCTAAGGACCCTAACCCCAACGCGCTTGAAACAAGTAAGTCATTCTCACGCTAGGTCGTGCATATAGCGATCGCGAACGACGCAGCAGCCAGCACCTCGTCTCGATTTATTTATCGCATGCGCCCTGGGCAGCGCATATGCCCCGGACAGAACGCCCTTGCAGCAGCCAGCGTCCTGTCTCGATTTATTTATCACCTACCTGCCCTGGCTGCCTGGCTGCTAACTTACTGATCATGCTCTCACAGCAGCCAGCACTTGCGGCCCGTCTCGATTTATTTATCGCCTAAACCCCAGAAGGAGCACCCTTGCAGGCAGAACGCCCTTGCAGCAGCCGGCACCTCGTCTCGTCCTCGCATCACTCCCTTCTGGCAGCCGGCACTCGCAGCAGCCAGCGCCCCGTCTCGATTTATTTATCGCCTACATCCTGCTTCGAACGGAACGCCCTCGTAGCAGCCACAGAGCAGCTCGGACGCAACAGAGTGTATTGGGAGAGACGAGGACATAGAGGATAATGAAATAATGGGCAGGCCAAGATAGGTATGTGTGCTCACTTCGTCACCCATCTCTTCGCATGCTCATAAAGAAACAGCCGAGCAGAGCGGAGCAGCCTATACGCTCACTTCGTCACCCATCTTTTCACACAACAAAATGGTCGAGCGGCCTATGCGCTCACTTCGTCACCCATCTTTTTGCATCTACGAAAGTGACACTAATGTCTCGACAATATCCGGACGTCTACGACG